AGGGTAACCCTCTCTCACCCTTATCGTGGCTCAAGCAAGCTTCCTTCAACATCTTGTGCATGGGTCTCGTCGTTGGCTTCATCCACTCTGGCATCAAGAATCTTTCCAAGGGTGAAAAGGTCCTCTACTACTTCCTCGCTCTCTTCATCTGGCGTTATCTTCGCTTTTGCATCAACATCATCGGCTTCTGGACCTACAAAGCTGCCCCCATGCCCAAGAGCAACGCCAACTACCACCCCGGTCGCGATGTCACCGTCGTCATTCCCACGGTCGATCCCCTCGGTGTCGACTTCCATGAGTGCCTCACTAGCTGCGCTCGCAACGGCCCCCGCAAGATCATCATCGTCACTGCCGGAGAAGATCTGTATGAGAAGACACTCGGCGCTGTAGCTCCCGTCATGGAAGAGTTTCCCCTTGTCAACTTTCTGGTCACCCGTACAGAGATCGCCAACAAGCGCAAACAAGTCGCCCACGTCATCCGCTATATCAACACCCCTATCACAGTCCTTGTCGACGACCACGTCTTCTGGAACTCTCCCGACCTTCTCAAGTCCCTGCTTGTCCCCTTCGAAGACAACCAAGTTGGTATTGTTGGTACCAACAAGCGGGTCCGCAGATTGGAAGGTCTTTCTGTCTGGCGCCGCTTCTGGAACATGCTCGGTTGCCTGTACCTCGACCGTCACAACTTTGAGATCCGCGCCACTAACGCCATTGACGGTGGTGTCTTTGTCGTTTCCGGTCGGACAGTTGGCATTCGCACTTGCATTCTCGAAGACAAGCAATTCCAGGCCGGCTACCTTCACGAGATGTTCTTCTTCGGTCTTCTCGGACCTCTCAACCCCGACGATGACAACTATATCGCCCGCTACATGGTTACCAACGGTTGGAAACTTAGGATTCAGTATACCAACGACGCAGAGATCGAGACCACCGTCGGTGTCGGCGAGCCTGTCCACACCAAGTTTCTCGGTCAGTGCCGCCGTTGGGCTAGATCGACTTGGAGGTCCAACGCCAGCAGCCTCTTCACCGAAGGCACTGTCTGGGCCACTCAGCCTTACTGCGTCTACGCCGTCTACCTGACCAGCTTCACCAACTTTGCGCTCTTCACCGATGCCGCCCTGGTTTACCTCTTCACCCAGTCTTCCTGGTATTTCGACGCCGCGGAGCCCAAGTACGCCCTCGCCGCTCTTCTCTCCTGGATCATCTTCACCAAGACCATCAAAGTCTTCCGCTACTTCTCGACCTATCCTCAAGACATCTGGCTCTTCCCCGCCTACGTCCTCTTTGCCTACTTCCACTCTTTCATCAAGCTCTGGGCCCTCTTGACCTTCTATGACCACGCCTGGTCCGGCCGCAACCTCGCCGCTTTGACCAAGGGCGAGAAGAAGGACGACGGCAAGGAGCTGTCCCCTCAGGGCCTCTGCGACGACGGAGATATCAGCGACTTGGACATTGGTCCTTCCGAATCTCCAGTTCTCTTGAAGACCATGGCCCCCAAGGGGTCCCAGTCTGCCACTATCACCAAGGCCTAAGCTAGGAGGAGGACTTGTGCAAAGAAAAAGAAAAGAAACCAATCATAAAAAAAGGGCGAAAAACAATAAACAATCACCAAAACAGAATTTGCATTTTCGGGGCGTCACGGATCGGAATAACAAGAGAGAACAGGAAAATGCATCATAGAGATCAGTATCACTGCCAGGCACTACAGCGGCATTCAGAATTTGCTTTTCATGGCGCACAAGAGGACAACAGGACATCAGGACAACAGGACAACAGGACAACAGGACAACAGGACAACAGGACAACAGGACAACAGGACAACAGGACAACAGGACGGAAAGTTAAGGTTCATTGTACGATACCCCCCTCTGCTGGTTTCTTCGGTTTTAGGTTTTCGGTCGTCGGGCGAATGGGTTCTGCATTAATTCATTGCTTATGAGATACTCTACAACAACATACCCGACGAAGAGCTGGCTCTTGAGGAAGGATGGATGGACGAATGATTAGGAGGACGAGAACATGATGGTAATGCGGATAATACTAGAAGGGAGGGGAGGAGGAGATACGAAGTCAAGCATTGGCAGATAATATATGCTTGATCCAAAAACTGTGCCCGCTATAATCATGCAAAAATGATGTGAAATGTGGAGAATTGCCTGTGACTTGACGTGACGCCTTTGTGTTTGATGTGCGGAAGCTGCTATGGTGCCTTGCATCTGTCTGCCGTGCCGTGCGACACTTGTGAACTGGTAATGAGCCATGGACACTCAGTCGTACCTACCTCTATTTTGAAAGTTGATCATTGGTCCTACTATAAGCTTCGGCGAAACAACTTGAAAAGTTAAGATCGACTGACAATGTATATAGTATCTTATTGTTGAATCGTGGAATCTACTTGGTACCGATTGATTCAGGAGGGACATGCCGTTTGCAATCGAATGCATTCGTCCATGTCGCAGCTCTTCGGGTATGCAATCGCAGTAAGCGCTCATGACTTGTGTTGTCCATTTCCATTGTCTCAAGACCTAGACAACCTTTTCATACTGGACTGTATATCACCTTGTCTTGTCATCCTCGCGGATCCATAACGTAGAGGTAACCTCGGTGCATGACAAATGTTACAACCACCGCGAATATAAGGTTGATCAAACCCGCAAAAGCAAAGGCACGATGGAATATCCGCATACTTGGGGGGCTCTGGGCGCCATGGCTTCCTTTCCCCCTTCTTTTTAGCCTCTAAAGAGGGGGCGCGGAAAATTTGGGACAGGATTTTCAGTTGGGACACATCAGGAATCTTGGCGTTTCCTATAGAAAAGTGTTAGCGAAGGGACTTTAGTTAGCCATTCCACTACGGAACCTTTTTCTAAAATTGAATGGATGGTAGAGTGCGAATGTAGCTATCTTGGTCACTAAACGTTGTCATCTTTAGTGTGCACTAAGCTGCTACATGAAGTTGATGATTCTATAGCAAAAAAATGCTTTTGTCATAATGATTCATTGGTCGTCTCAGCGTTATTAATACTGTTGCTCTACTGCCTTTGTGGAAGTTAAAGGACGAATGCCGGTGTAGGACCTACGCGCTTTCTCTACCATCTAAACGGGTACGGCGCTAGATGGGTCGAGGTTTGTTCTAATAGTACCGTTGAGAAGAATAGCTTCTTAGAAAATAGTCAACGCTTGCTGAAGTTTATTGCGTAAAATTATTGTAACGTCGACGTTGTCATAGAGAATCTGCCTGGAGACGATGTGGGTGAAGTAGAGGAAAGAGAAGACGAGCTAGAAAATGGAATGAAGTACGTTAGCTTAGCCGTTTTTCCTCGAAAGTTGTATGTGTAGAGATGGCGCCTTGGCCAAAATCGATGCAACGTTGAGAACGCTTTTCTAAATGTGTTGACACGGGGTTTCTATCAGAGATGATGACGGAATGCAAGCCCCAATCGTGCAACAATACTAGTAGATAAGTGGCCAGAGCCTCCCCCCATCGTTTTGCTGTCCGAACTTTCTGGCCCGAAATACACAGCGTGCGCTTGTCGTGCTTGCCGCTGACGGTCATAATTGGGTACATCAAAGCCCCCTTCCGGGACTTTGAATACCCTGCTCACAAGACACATGGGTAGAACGATGACGAAATTGATCGTAATCAGATACCCGGGGATAGGTAGTGTGTCAATGGGATTCAATTCACCGAGGGGTTTCTTTTTTGATGTAGCGTTCTCCAAGCATTCTGGGCAATGCTCGACGTAATCCCTGACCTTGTTCCTCATTCTTGCGAATGAATAGGAGGCCAAGTCTTTCATTATCCTGTTGATACCAAAATGATGCTTCGACGATGTCCTTGACGCATTTGTCAGGTATACACAACCGCCACTGATGCTTCGTTGTCCTGTGAAACAACAGGTCATTTTGGATGTCAAAAGGCATCCCAGAGGTAACTTTCCCTCAACGGGGAAACCCCGTGTCATGTATCCTTTTGCTTCTTATCTTTTTGTGAGAATTTTAGAAAAAGGTTCCGTAGTGGAATGGCTAACTAAAGTCCCTTCGCTAACACTTTTCTATAGGAAACGCCAAGATTCCTGATGTGTCCCAACTGAAAATCCTGTCCCAAATTTTCCGCGCCCCCTCTTTAGAGGGTAAAAAGAAGGGGGAAAGGAAGCTATGGCGCCCAGAGCCCCCAAAGATAGATAGATCTTTTTTTGGTGAACGAGACGAGAAGTGAGAAAAAAAGGAGAAAAACGAAAAAAAAAGAAGTGCCCAATAACAGGATTGAACTGTTGACCTTCGCATGGACTTGATATCAGAAATCTGATATTAGTACGACGCTCTAACCAGCTGAGCTAATCGGGCTTGGCTTGATTGTTATGGGGTACAGCAATTGTACTAACTATATTCTCATTGCTGTCATCCCTGAACATCGTGGATGCTCCCGTGAGTGTATAGGCACCCTCGTCCGAGATAAAACAGATACAACCAACCTCCAGGTTAGGTGGACTAGCCCGCTACCGCTCGTTAAAATAAAAAAGGCCGTTGCAAGACTGTAATAGGCATTGCGATAATTCAAAAAGACATCGGCTAGTGTCCCATTTGGATATTTCTATTCGGGAATTGCCTAGAACTCTAGACCAGAGGTGTAACAAAGACGCTTGGATGCATAGTAGGAGTATACCCAAGGCATAATGTCAAAGGTCTGAACTGTTTTGTCCAGGACAAGCCAATGTACACGTAGTATCATCGTTCTCTTGCACCATCACCGCCGTAGCCATCGCTATCACTCATTACAGTCCCAAGTATAGTTTCGATCACTTTAACTTGAGTTTCCCAAGTTGACATCGTCATGTGCATCACAGGCTCGATTGCTCCAACAACAGCGACAACGACAGCGACGACGGCCAGCACACAAGGTGGTAAACTTCGTACCCAGATACCTAGAGGTAGTTTTGGACTTGGGTGGGCGACAAGCGAAAACTGAGGGAAGGAGCAGGCCCACTAGCGCCCGCGGCTGCATGAACCTTAAATTTACTATGGGCCCAACGGTTAATCGGAGATCATGGACATCAACCAGGCATGCCTCCAATATATCTCACCGTTGAAAACAGGCGGATTGCCCGTCAATGTCTGCAATAGTGGTGAGTATCAAAGGGAAGAACTGATTCAACTGATTGTAGAGATCGAATCGTCATACATTATCATTACAAGATACCAAAATACGCTAAAATTAACTTTTCAACATTGGCCGGCCGGGCAGGCGATACTGGAGCCATATGTTGACCCGTCCACGCCGGCGAGAGTCAGAATTGCGCCTACTACTCCCCCAAGGCCCTCCCCCGAGATAAATCCGGCGGCGAGAGCATAGCCGTAGAGATCCCAGGTCCTCATGCTGTACTTCCTCCAAAGAGCGGCAATGATGGCACCGAGAAGGGCGGCGTTGGCAAACACGGGGGCGGGAATGACCCAAGAAAGGGCGATGGCGCCCCAGTTGGGAAGCCACTCGCGCCACTTCGCGCGCTCATCAACGAGGTAGTAGTGACGGACGATGACCTGGATGATGGAGACAACGCCCATGACGATGGCGAAAATACCGGAGGAGAGAGGAATCTTGACCGTCGGATCGGTGACAGCTTGAGCGACGGCAGCCCAAGCGGACACCGAGGGGATTTGGAACGCGCAATTAGTGTCTGCCAAATTGGGGTCGTAGATGCAAGGGTAGGCCTTGGTGAATAGGACAAAGAGTCCCGGGGCGAGCCAGACGGCAACAAAGGTGCCAATGGCCTGGGCGATCCACTGCTTGAGCGGGGGGGTGCCGAGGAGGAAACCGGTACGGAAATCGGACACGAGGGCGTTGGCAACGTCAGCACCACCGGAAGCAAGGCCACCGGCGGCCAAGTTGATCTTCTGGGCGTGGTGGATGGAAAAGCCAGAATTTCGGGTGGCACCACCAAAAATGAGCTGCGAGGCTTTAGAGGCGGCGGTGAGAGGGGCGGAATCGGTGACAGCACCGATCTGGATGGCAAGGAATGAAAAGAGGAAGGCAAGAATGGCGGCAAGGATGGTGAGACCCGGGTGCATGTCCCACTGGAAGTGGAAGATGATCATGGCAATGACCATGGAGACGATAAGGCCGACAATCCAGTGCCAGTGCTTGACCTGCTCGTTCGCTTTGGCGGGATCCTCCACTTCCTCGCCAGTCCGGACAACCTTGGCGGCTTGCTTAGAAAAGAAACTGTTGGTCTTGCCACGGGCGACAAGGGTGTCGTTGATGCTAACGCAAGTCTGCTGCCACGAGGACTTCAAGCCGAACCAGATGACCTTGTACTGGACGAGGAGCTCAGCCATGGAGGAGCAGACCATGACCATGACACCGGGCCACAAGAGCCAGTAACGAGGCGAGGGGGTACCCTTGCCGAGGTTATGGAGGGAGAAGAAATTGTAGAGACTGTCCCAGCGGGGGTCGTCGGGGTAGGATTGATGACCGATGCACTCGCCGTAGTGAACCAAGACGGGACCAATAATACCCCAAGCCATGAACGAGCCAGCGAACATACTGATAGCAGGGTTAAGGCCAATCAAGATACCGGAGCCAATGAAGGCAGGAGTCCATTCAAAGTACCAGCCCCACGACTCAATGTTCAAGGCCCAGCTCTTGTAGCCTGACCAAATGTGAATCCATGTGAAAACATGCCAATCGTAGAGGATACCAATGGCATAATACGAGCCAATACGGTGAGCCAGAGCGGCACCGAAGGCAAGACCCAAGCACTTGAGCTTCTTCATGGCCTCAATGCTGCCAGCCGCACCAGCGTGCATGGAGCGGATAGTCAAGGCGACAGCGGTGGGCGTAGGGAAGATGAGCTTGAGCTCCCGGGCGACCTGAACGACGAAGAACTTGCGAAGAGGGGTGACGTAGAAGAGACCTAGGAAGGAACAGACCAGAGTAATGGTGAAGATGGCACCAATGTCCTTCTGCGGAGTGGCGTTCTCACCCATGGCTCCAAGTTGGTACATGGCGGGGATACCGGCGACGAAGATACCAGAGATACCACCAGCACCGGTAGCAGCGGCCTGAATGATGGAGTTTTCCTGGGGACCAAAGGCACCACCGATGATGGGAACCTGGCCGGACTTGGACATCATCTTGATGATACCATAACCGAAGATAGCACCGAACATGTTGGCGCTGAAGGTGAAACCGGTCTTGAGACCTGCATGTGGATTGTTTGGTTAGAGATAAGAGTTTTTGAGACAATCGAAGCTCGTAATCGAATTCACGTGAAAAGGGAAAACTCACCAAGATAGAGGTTGGAAGCGCTGACAAGACAGCCCAAGACGATACCGGTGACAACGGCACGGATGGTCAAGGGGTTCTCTTCATGGACGACTGAAGCGTCCATCTTCAGGGGAGCAAAGAGATCCTCTTCCTCGATCTCTCCAGTGCTCTCAACCTCAACCGACATTTTCTCCTTGACATCGTTGGCATTCTCGTAGGCGGGTGTGCTCTCGGAGAAAGGGCGGACGTTCGCCGCCGAAGCGTCGAACGACTTCTTTTCCTCCAGGATGGCCATGTTTCCTATTCGGTGGGGAGGAATAGGTGGAGGTCCGTTGGGAAGTTGTGAGCCAAAGGTCACAACGTAGTCGACTTGTGGTGGGACACAGGAGAAGAAAGAGACGGGGCCGGAAAATGGTGGAGGGGAGGGCGGCCCCAGGTTGATATTTATCAGTTGACGGTGCCACCATGGCTATGACTGCAACGGTGATTCCTCCTTTCTTCTGCAAGTTAGACAGTTGCTCTATTTGTCTGGTGCATCCGGAGTACCCCTGCCTGGTGTGGGCGGCCAAGAAGCTAGGGCATATTCTGGCCGTTGGGTGTGTAACTGTACCTGCTAGGATCATGTACACCATCCATACGGTCCAATACGGTTCTGTTTGTTAGCTCAGTACTTCTGAAGTAATTCACCAGACTCGTCCCAAACGCTGCTGGAACACTATAAGACGCCTAGATACCAACACAGAGACACATGGTCAGTATTAAAATGTTGAAAGAAAATGGGTAATTTGAATGAAGCACGCGTAGCAAAGCTGACCATAGGTCTCGAGCTAACCAATCGTTTTGGTGTAAACCGTGCTAGCTCAGTAAATACTAGCCCAATACATACATACATACATACATAACGACTGAAACTCACCTTCCATTCTTGTTCTACTATGTGCACATAACCAGAGCCTGTTCGACACCTACAGACACGGGCTGCATCCCACTGGCTCAAGGTCTCGTGGGCGACTTGCCAGTGGCCCAGCTGGGCCAGAGAATCAGCAAAAGGTCAAAAGCTTCCAGTCCCCTTCCTTTCCCATATCACGTCGATCCCCAAGGCGCTTGGAAGCTCGAGCCGCTTGTGCTCCCGTTCGCCACGTTGCTGGACCGGCATAGGCCGTGATAAGCAGCACAAAGATGACTCGGAACCTGGACCGCAACACCATGACAGACGGCGGGACCGCGGGATGGCATGGATGTGATAACATATGAGATGCCAATTTGCCCTGTCCTCAAAGAGCACCCACCCTTGACCCTCGATCCCCGCCTTGCTGCAACAGGGTCAGCAATGTTGCAAGGTCTCCCTGCTAGGCCTGCAAGTGCTGCAACCCACCTCTGCGACCCAGGTCCACCGTGTTGCCACGGTCGACGCCGGTCGTCTGACAGCCGCTGATTGGCTGGAGGATACACAAGGCATCCCAATTAGGCAGGTCGGATGTCGTGTGTGAAAGGGGCAATTGTTCGCCGTTTACGAGGCTAAGCCGATTCCCTTGCACCGCTGACAGCCTGGCCACCACTTTTGTCACTCTGTCTCCGAAACTTCATCGATGCATCAACAGGGCGCGGCAAAGGAAACCGATGGATGGGCTGCGGAAAAGGTCGCCCGCATGATGGGGAGGCGGTATGCGAGCGTAACATTGGCATCTCGATGGCCATGATAGGCACGCACCTGCATAGTACGCAAGAAGTCAATTTGCAACATGGCGAAGGATACCAGGAAGGGGTGCGATCTAGAATGACATCCATATTTGATATGCGCAACCTCAATAAGTGAACGCCAAACCGGTGTCGGCTGAGATTCTTTCGATATCAAAATCTAAACTAATTTTTCACTCACAAATCTGTGCGCCTTGGTAGGTTCTGAGTTTGGTTCGGTTCCTGGCAGGCCGATGAGCGTCAGTCGCGGGGGGCGCCGGTACGCGGGCGCGGGGTGCCTGCCGAAACACTGGGTGCCGAAAAATGACCACCTCTTTTCAAACCTCTTCTGAATGACTCAATTGTCACCGTCATATTGGTTTGATTGAGAATTCAATTCCTGTGTTTGGTAGCCACAACACTATCCAGTCTCATTGGCATCGGACCCTCGATCTCGCAATCCTCACCGTCGACCTCAACCTCCAATGATTCATCTTCCCATTCCCCGCAATCGTGATGGCCTGCCCCTTCCCTGCCACCTCTTATTTTGGTTGGGAGCCTTCTGAGAGTCAGTCAAAACACTAGCCAATGTATCGCTTCTCTAGGCCCAACGAGTCTCGCAACCCAGCAGATCTTTGTCCAAAATGGCAGGTGCATGGTTTCGAGAAACAGCCGAGGGACGTCCATTCGCCAAGACAAAAAAGCACACTGCACCAAAGGCACACAACATCCCCACAGCAACCCTCGGACTACTAACCCGCCCACAAAAGTTAAGGTTACGCGAGGCCGAACAGGCACTGACCATATGATATCCATACACACAGACTCGGGCTAATGTTAAATTTCCCTTTAGTTCATTCTGTTCTGTGTCCTCGTGCGAGTCATTTATAACCAGAGCCTCAAGAGAGTTGCTGCCCCGAGTTCATGGAAGTCGATGCGGAGCCTCAGGGGGAATTGATTCCCAAAATCAAATGAACATGCTGTCGCACGGGACGGGAAGGCTAAAAGCAAAAAGAAAAAAACCAGGAGTACCAGAGCCCTGCCTGAGAACACCACGGCTCCCTGGTGGTTCTGGTACCGTGCCGACTATGTAATCCAGGACATTGGTAAGGTACAGGGTAGATCCAAGTGCGAGCAGCTGCTATTTCGCAAAATGATCCCATCTAAACTCTTGGCTGCTTCTAGACAAGCAGGTCGTTAAACTAGGTACAATTGGATCCTCAATATGGTCTGAGGCCCCACCATATAGTCGCGGCGAGACGGGTGATTGACCCAGGCTCCATTACTCATGATCTGGTCCGGCCAATTCACATCGAAGACAGACAGAGGTTACAGAACCCAGCTGATGATCCAGGCATGTTCGTCCGCCGCAGGTAATGCACCATCTCGAGTACCGATATTTCACATCAGTCTGGAGACGACATTATTGAGAAGGCGCTGAGTCAGAGATATTGAGCTCGCGAGCGACACTCCTCCAGGGTCGAGACGGAGGATCGAGCCATGCCAAGATAAAATGGCTGATAAGCGCTACGCTCCAAAAGCTTACCTCCTGCCGTTCTCGATTAGTTCCGATCGTTGGTGGCTTGGCAACCACCAGTCACCAAACCCATGACAACCTGCGGTGACTTTAGTTTCAACTTCAGTTGTCGGTCGATGTCTACTCTGCGTCGGTCAGAGTCGGTTATTACTTTTGAATCCTCTTATAGCGTTTTGTGGTAGACCGACATCCCGATATTACCAAACCTGCTCCTTTTGGTCATCCGTATTCTACATCAAGAAACTCAAGAGATCAGATCAGATTACGAGGCTGGGTTACACTGTGTCTCTTGGAGTTCAACACCGTACATATTGAGGCATCTGAAATCTCGAGAACGCTTCACAAAGCAACACGAACTGGCATCCGTCTTTTTCAGTCACTGTAGTCATGTACACTACCTATGCCTATGTACCTCTTCATATCCTTGCCTTGCAATACACAATGGCTTGTCACTCTCCTGGGCTGTGATCGCACCGGACGTGATGGGATGGGCTCGGGCCTCTTCGAGATTTCCATGCTGACTGAACCTCCACAGTACATAGTGTAGCTCCAATTTCACCACGTGCTGGTATCCCGAGTGCGGGAAAGCCAAATCTCCGTGTCTAAGTGCAGCCTCACTGCAGATTCACACGTGCACGTTATCTTGGCTTCCAAGCGCTCCCTTCCCACCGGATATCAGAGTGATACCGTGTCCCTGCAAAAAAATAAGTTGGTTAACACGAAGTCACACACACCTCACCGAGGACCAGGCAGGTGAAGTGATAAGGTATGGCATGTCTCGGTCTGATCATGCGAGGACCTCTCTTCCTGTCACACATCCGTCCTACCTACATACCTAGACTACCTAGGCTGGCCTTCTAGGGCTGCATCGTCCCCATCGTCTTCCCGAGAGATCCCGGACCAGACTGTCGGGTGGCGACTCAACGTTGCGGGTTGTGTGAGTTTCCCGATCTCTGTCGAGAAAGCCTAGGCTAGGCAGTGCTATGAGGACCAGCTTTCTAGGCGGATTCGTCCTGCAACTTTCCCCTTGGCCGAGTTGGTGGACGCCGCTGCATTTGACGCCGTTGGCTCACGCACTGGAAGGACGGCAACAATTGACACCTCTAGGCTTACTCGCTCGGTGTACAGTATAAATTCATGTTTAACATGGACTGGTTTTTGCAAATCCCCCTCTTTTACAAAGGATCTTGACTGGCCGCATTCCCTCTGGTGAATAAGTCTGTGACATGCAATTGCAACGATTGACGGTCCAGAAATGCATAAACAGGGGTCTGACTGTGGTGGAAGGGCACATTCATACCTCTTTACCGGGGGTATAGTTACTTAATCAGACCTATTTTTATAGCCCCGCGGCGGTCGTTCAGTGGCCAAAAGACCTATGGTTCGTTACTTCCCTTCCTGTACATAACCCACCCCGTCGCTTGCAAAAATTATGGGCTACCGGCATCCGTACCAGGAAATGGGGGGTCTAGCGAACAGTAATTCAACTGTTGACAAAAATTTTGAGCTGCATAGTGACTGTTCAAATCGCAGTTACAGTTTAACGTAGTTCAACATTGATCTTTCCTAATGTAAACCTGGTTCAACTGTTTCTGTATTGTATTCCGACCATTTATTATCTAATAAAAGCTGCTAAACGTTTGAAACTATGAAGCGTTGAATTTTCTGAACCGTCATTCTTCTATAAGATTACTATAGAATATTAGTTTAAGCAAGAACAAACGTCCAAAAAATCGAACTGTATAGTGGCTGTTCGCTAAACCCCCCCCCCTTCCTGGTATGGATTAGTTGCATTGAAAGGGTTTCTACTGTATGAATGACGAGCAGCAAAACCTTACAAACCACTTTATACCCTACACAAGGACAAAACACTCCTCAATTGCGTTCGTCAAAGCACATATTACAAGAGCTGCCGGTAAGTGCAAGTTCCACGCTACCCCCAGTGATACTTTATCGCCCAGTCCCTCAATTTCATTCGTTCCTGCCGGTTCGCGTTGCGGGGATACCTCATCCACCTCCGGATATACCAGACACACACAAACATAACAGCCGGCTGCATCCCCCTCCCACCAAGTCTGACCTCCTAGTAACCTGTGCGGTTCGACGAGCTGCAGCACCGCTCATTCTTTCACATACACCATACCAAAAAGGGACACAAGACGATGCATCACAAACCTGAAGTCAGCGATGAGGTGCTTGATCATCTCTAATTTACTGTCAATGGAAAGCAGATGCGCAAGATACAGGACTGATGGGCAAAATATTGATCCGAAAGGAAAATAACCAAAGGAAAAGTTGCTATCAAGTCTGATACCCGCGGGCTTTCCTCAGTTGTGGCCATCATCTTCTCATATGCCTGAACTCCCTTTTAACGCCGATAGATGTGCCATCGGCATATGGTAGGTCTATGTCATCCGCTTCAAATTAGTGGACACACTGGCGCGTATCACCAACACAAACCATTTCAGCTCGTCTCCTGACAATCGTGGGTGTGATCATTGTCCGACTGTCCAGGCTACCTCCCTTTCACAGATACCGGCTGTACCGTAGGCGGTCGGAAGTACGTAGTTTCTGTATGATTCAAGTTTGGGGAGCGAGTCTTGGTTTTTTTTCCACCTCCCCTGGAATGTTCATCATGTCCTAGACTTGTTCCACATGAATAATACACTCCAGGAGAGCTGTTGTTCCATTGTATGATGTTACAAGATGGCGCATGTGTTCTTTGTGCTGGAGTTACTATACCCTGTGTCGTGACTGGCAAGTGCGCTACCAGACTCGTGGGTTGCGTTACCAGTTTTGGAGGTATTCTGACATCAAATGGGACCGAAGTAGAACAACCTAAGACCGAGAACAACCGAAGTAAGCAAGGCACAGGTGATAACTTCCACTTGAGTGATACCTAGGTGAGTCGGGTGTTCCTCGGTTAGGTTGCGTTCGCGCTGACAAAGACACGACTCGGAGGTTAACCATGCATTATCAACAGTTGACGTTATGAGATGTGTGTATAACTCTTTTGTGCAGCTTGTACATATGCCGGATATAGCGGCTCAAGGTTGACGACGAAAGGATTACATTGATAATTGATCATTTGGCAATCATAACGGTTAGGCGTGCATTTTAAGTAGTGCAGCCGCATGTTCTTGACGCAGGATTCATTTTGCATGCGCTACGGGATGCGATAAGGTGAGGTACATGGCATTGGAATGTCAAGTTCAGGCTTGCCAGACTGAAGCGGCACAAAGTCTAACCAGTTGACGTTAAGTAGTGACACTGGATTCCAACTCCTTCTTGGATAAGGTGTGGTGCAAGACGTTGGTCAAGAATGCCGAGTGCGGCAGATAGTATAGAAAAGACGATATTCAAGCTTTGTTTGTAAGCAGTTGGCTGCGCGGTTGATGCAGGGTGGTTGAATGTTGAAAATAGAGGAAACCGTGAGGCAGTCGACAACAGAAGGACAGGCGGAGACGAGGAAGACGAAAAGGAATTGGCCAGTAAGAGCGCTCGGTTTGGTGCTTCTTGGCATCCACTTCTCCACCAGCTCAAGAGACCTCGGCAGCTGCCGCACAGGAGAGAGCGCCAAGACAGATGGCAGCTTCACGTCAGAAAGGAAGCGACAGCTGTCAGCCTATTGTCATCGGCTCAAAGCAGCCAATGCCAAGCAACGGATAGGCAAGCGCAGCGCAGGCGCTGATGTGAGGTGAGCGACTGCTGTAGGTTCACCTCCTCCCGCTCACTACATCAGACTGTGACGTTTCTGCTATAAAGATCATAATCCTCGATTTAGAGTGCGCCAGATGTCATACTCATGGACAGCCTTCGTTGGTGTCTGTTGTGTTAGGTAACAGAGTCACAACTCGTCTTGCTTCGGCAAGCCCAGGTCTATGGCTTCACAATGAATTCAAGGTGATCCTCCGACGACGTGGTAGCTCCCGCAGAAGATGTTTGCTATAGTGTAACAACGACATCACGTATCAAAGCTGAGAGATCAAGACAAGTACAAAAAGCGCCGTCAAACACCGATCGCGACTTTGATACTTTTGAGGAAACAATACTCCATTTCGCCAGGGAATCGTTGATATCTTGGCAACATGTCAGTCGCGGCTCTCAAAGTCCAACCCAAGGACCACCTGACTCTTCCACTCACTCCGAGTCCAAAGACATCCCCTTCCGAATTGGGAGGACTTCGGACTGCCGGCCACTCGGCTCGTTGTGTCTCGGCTACGATTGGACTCTTATTCAGACGGCGGGATGAAAGTCAACACCCGAGCACATATTGGTCTCCGGGGATGATCTCTTAGGAGGCCCTGTACTTCAAGCGTTACCTCGCCTGTCCGGCTTCAAGTCGGACAGGACCTGCCAGATGAGCGTGATGCAGAACTAGAGGGAAGCTACATGTCTTTGAAAGCGAGTTCCTGGTATTGACGCCGCTGGTACACGCAGTCACTAAGGTAGTGCAAAGCACCTCCCATCCTCCAGTGATTCTTTTGAGGAGTGACCTGAGTGTGAACTGAGGTGTTCGTTCCATTACGAAAATCTTACCGCGGGTCGGAAAAGGGGGCAAGAACGCCTCACCACTCCATGGAGCATTTCACACCTCAGTTTCAAGTGATGTTCTGATATTTAGGGAAATAACTCCCCACAATGGCATCAAACTTTGCTGGCTTGGGTGAGCCCTTCCCGACATCCTCATCTAACAGCAATCCCAATCCATTTTCCCATGAATTGTCCCCTTTCTCTTCTCTCCTCTCTTTATCCGAGCTGCATCTGACTTAATCTTCTTCATCAAGTCCGCAATCCCCAAAGTCTTCATTGGTGGCGGCCTGCAACACCTCACAGAACTTGCAGTCAGCCATCCTCGGGTTTACCTCCAGTATTTGGCTCGCGGCCTTTTAGCCAACTCCTACGCTCCTTACTCGGCTCTTGGCCTGCAAAACGACATTCTTTTGTCTATTCTATCATTGTTCTAAACTTGGTCCATTGTATCTTCGAGATGCTGCTATTTCCCACGATCCTTACCGCCGCTCTTGCGGCCACCGGCATGGCGGCTGCTATCCCTAGCCGTGACGACACCACGGCCAACAAAGGCACCGCTTCACTGCTGCAAGTCCGCAATCCGAGCTTCGAGTTCAGGCATGGCCCCCTTGCGTTGGCCAAAGCATACCAGAAGTTTGGCGCCCCGATGCCGGAGGATCTCAGAGCCGCCATCGCTAGGTTCCGCCAAAACCAGAAGCGAACGACTGGCACCATTGCAACGGATCCTGAGAAGCACGACGTCGAGTACCTAACGCCCATTTCCGTTGGTACCCCATCGCAGGATCTCATGGTTGATTTCGACACAGGGTCTAGCGACCTCTGGGTCTTCAGCACGGAGATGTCCACGAGTGACATTAAAGGCCAAACTGTGTATGATCCGAACAACAGCTCCACATCCGAGAAGGTCCAGGGATCGACTTGGAAGATCACTTACGGTGACGGCAGCTCGTCGAGCGACGACGTCTACCTCGACACGGTCACGATTGGCAACTTGACTGTCCCTAACCAAGCCGTGGAGGCGGCCAAGAAGGTTTCATCCGAGTTCACCGACGACTCACACAATGATGGCTTGTTGGGTTTGGGCTTTAGTGCTATCAACGCAGTTGAGCCTACCCCACAGAACACATTCTTCGACAACATTAAGGGCAGCCTTGACGCTCCTTTGTTTACCGTCGATCTGAAACATGGGACCCGTAAGCTTGCCTCCCCTGCCTAAGAGCAATTCATGAGAAGAAACTAACACTTTTAACATATAGCGGGCAGCTTCAATTTCGGCTACATTGATCCCACAGCATATATCGGCAACATCTCTTGGACGCCGGTTGACAGTAGCCAGGGCTATTGGGGTTTCACCTCCCCAGGATATGCGGTTGGCACTGGAGCGTTCCGTAATCACTCAATGAGTGGTATTGCGGACACCGGGACTACGCTACTGCTTCTGCCCAAGTCCGTCGTCAGTGCATACTATAAGGAGATCCAGGGCGCCCAGTATGACAGTGATCAGGGCGGTTATATTTTCCCTTGCAGCCCTACTCCACCTGACTTTGTCTTTGGCGTCAACAACGGCATTGTTACTGTTCCAGGAGACATGGTCTCTTATGCACCAGCTGATAGTGCCAACCAGAACTGTTTTGGTGGCATTCAGAAGGATACAGGTATCGGTTTTTCGATTTTCGGCGATGTCGCGCTTAAGACCAGCTTTGTCGTATTTGATGCTGGCGGCTTGCAGCTTGGTTGGGCGGCAAAGAACCTATGATTCGGGTGGGTGGGTATGGCTGGACCATCCAGAAAGACTCATTTCCTCTTTGTTGATCAGAAACCTAGAGTTCCCCTTTTTGCTCGAGCATACCTAATTATAATTTTAGTTGAGTGGTTATAGTATTACTTCCAGGAGAAAATCCAGAAAAACTGTTTTGAACAACTGCGAGGTTCTATTAAGGGCAGTCGTGCAAGCTTCCGCCTGGACACAACGAAGAGAGACACGTTGAACCATACCTAAGAATGATTCCAATTTGGATTGATAATTGTGACAGCATTTACATAGCAGTATAGTTCCCGGCCACTATGCCGATTGCGACATGCGATTTAACCGAATGCTACGAAGCTATGTAAGGAACCAGCCTGCAATTTGTAAATTTAATCTCCAACATTCAGCCGTAGATTGCTCAAGTTTATATGAGCTTCTCAAGATGATACTTTAGATGTTTGAACATGAACATACCTTGGTAGAGTCAAATGATTAGTTGGTGGACTTCTCGTCTTCTGGTCCGTTATAGACCGCGTCAACAATAGGTGACTTATAATCTCAGACCATCTCGGATCCTGTATGTCCTATTAGAGCACCGGGCTCTGTTTGAGAGTCAACGCGATACAGGTACCATGCGATGATACGGGTAACGGGTCGACCCCAAGTATGGAACGGCCCAGGGTCCGGCTGGGACTCTTAGTTATCAATCCCATATTACTTGAGAGCTGGGCATATATGGACAATACCGTGTTTCCGGATACCACACTCAATAGTAGAGGTATGCAGAGGAGGGAGATAAACAGCAAGAAATAGATAGGAAATCCCAACCTCAAAAATACATGATGAAGGGAGACGTTCTCTCTGCGTTAAAGAGGTGCCCCAACCATCCTCCTCCGGTTTATTATGCTCTCCCATGGCACTGCGGTTCACGGCTCGTGGCTCAATATGTTTGGAATCACAGCCCTTCTGCTGTTTCTTCTAGCAACAACATGCGCAACAGCAGCGCCCAACTGCCCACCTCTCGGCCCGGTCTTCGAAAAGCCGCGAAACTTCAAGTCCAGCGTCGCCATCCGCGCCGCCCTCGCGAACCTGACCGAGACTTTCCAAGCCCGCGACGAAGACAACTCGGCCGCCGTCCGCGCCAACATTACGAGCTACAGCCTCGAGGTGTTCAGCATCAGCGATACCGACCCCGTCATCTTCAGCTGGCATCACACCGCGCCGGCGCACGCTTCCAGCAATATCACTAATGGCGGGGTGAAGAAGACGGACGCGGACACGGTCTATCGCCTGGGTAGCTTGACCAAGATCTTTACGGTTTATACGTGGCTGGTGCAAGACGGGGATGTCAAGTGGAATGAGCCGATTACCAAGTACGTGCCGGAGCTGGCGAAGGCGGCGGATAAGGCGAAGGATGATCCGGTGGGGAATGTGGCGTGGGGGGAGGTGACGGTGGGGAGTTTGGCTGGACAGCTTTCGGGGGCTGTGAGGGATTGTAAGTGCAGTGGTTTTCTACCTCTAAACAGGAGTAGATGTTTTGAGGATGTCAAGGACTAACAGTAAGGATGGGGTGGGGGGCGCGAAAGATGGTCTTATGGGCGAACTTACGCAGACGGTAGATCAGAATACCGCGGTCCAGCTTGGGTTTCCGGTTCTAAATAGCTCGGATCCCACTCTGCCCAAGTGCGGCGTTTGGCCCCATTGTAACAGGACTGGTAATGAAGTCCTTGGTTCGTTTTGACCAAGAAACGAGAACCTGACCACTTGGCAGAATTCTTCTCCGGCCTTCTCCAAGTATACCCTTCCTACGCCCCCTTTACCACCCCAGCCTATACCAACACAGGCTTTCAAATCCTCGCCTACGCGCTCGAGTCCATCAAGGGCAAGTCCTTCCAGACGCTCATGGAAGAATCCATCCTTCACCCGCTCAACCTCTCCAGGACCTTCTACCAGAAGGCCGTTTCCAACCTCGGCATCATCCCCGGCCCTGGCACCTCCTCTGACGCCCAATGGGACTACCAACTGGGCGACGAGAACCCGGCCGGCAACATGTACTCCTCCGTCCGGGATATCTCAGCCCTCGGACGCTCCATTATGCGATCCACGCTTCTAGCTCCCGTGCTCACCAACCGCTGGCTCAAACCCGCCGCTTTAACCTCCGAACCCAACGCCGGCGTCGGCTATCCCTGGGGCATCCGGCGCATCGTCTTGTCGAGTATAACCAACGGCAAGCGCGTCGTGGACGCGTACAACAAGGCCGGCCGCATCGGGTACTACAACTCGCTTTTGAACCTGCTCCCCGACTACGGCGTCGGCTTTTCCGTTTTGCTGGCTAGCCCGAACCTGCCCGCCAACGCAAACTTCAACCTCGCGGATGTTCTGGGGGATCAGCTGTTGCCGGCGCTGGAGGAGGCGGCGAGGGAGCAGGCGCAGGATACCTATGGCGGGAGCTACTACTCAAACGGCGTCGGGAATTCGTCACTGAAAATCACCACGCAGCCCGACCGCCCGGGACTGGGCATCGAAGACTGGGTGTCTAACGGGACGGACATGCAATACATGGCGACCGTGCTGGCAGCGGGGTACGCGCCTGTTAATCCGTCAATCCGTTTGTACCCGACGGGCTTGGAGACGGTGATTCCGGGCGAGATGGATCGCAAGAATGGACGCGCAGCAACACAGGGGAAGAGGGTGGCGTATAAGGCCGTCTTTGAGGATTTAAATGTACCAAGCAGGACGCCGCCGAGTATGTTCTCGACGGACTGTGGGAGCTGGGTCAGCTTGACCGGGGTAACGTATGGGAGTATGCCGCTGGATCAGTTCTTTTTCGAGGTGGATGGGAGTGGGAAGGTGGTGAGTATTGAGAATGCGGCGTTGAGAATGGTGATGAGGAAGGGGTGAAGTGAGGAAAGTGGTGGTGAGGGAGGGGGAACATGTAAAAGGGGTTTGTGGATTCGAAGTGCGGGGCTGGTGGCTCAGCTGGTTTGGAAGACGATCGGACAGAGTTTAAAAAAATGATTTGGATGATGAACGCCAGGAGATGGACGGGGATGCTTTGCTCCAGGGAATTTATTGGAGATAGAATGCGCAAGAGGTACAAGGATGCAAACGACAAGAGAGACCGATGCACTCGATTTGCACTGTTCGATAATGGTCTTAAAAGTGACACCCACATCATAGCAGATGCATATATTTCGTGCCGACGACAGATGGATGGAGTTGAGAAATCAAAGTCGAGCTCGTTGCGCGAAGCATAATGGCGGTGTTGTGTCGTGTTGTGTTGTGTTGAGGGATTACGTCACTGTAATTTGTGGTACATGATGGCCAGATCTAACATCAGACATCAACAAATCTTAAAAGGTTGTGTAGTGTAGTGGTTATCACTCTGGATTTTGAAACTTCAAAACTTTCAATTCTTCCAGTAACCCCGGTTCGAACCCGGGCACGACCTCTATTTTTTTCCAATATTTTCCTCTTTTTGTCCCAACCACGCATCTTGCCAGCGTCGGCGACCGGCGTTTCCTTTGGTTTCCGATGACTTCGATGCCGTACATGCCAAGCCATAAGGTACCCGTATGATGACATGGCGTGAACCCCACTTAGCTCCTTTTTTGCGCTGGAGCTTCAGCTACCGTATCGATCTCCAAGCTGCGGACATTGGAGTGTAAAGAAGGGGTCCTCTTAAATGCTTCTGTCAAAACCTCATTCATCAAATCGGACCTTATCCGTTCAATCGGGTATGGTGTAGCGGTAACATCGTTGACTCTCACTTCTCAGGAGTGACTGCTCTCTCAACAGCCCCGGGTTCGACTCCCGGTATCCGAGTCTCAAACAATTTTTTTTCAACCTCTTCCTTTTTGGCAACCGTTTCAACATCATCCATCTTCTTGTTCATGGTCAAATGACAAGACTGAATGGCCGGTTCGTGGTCTCATTATTCATTGTCGTCATTATCAAACAGAACCTATCCATCAACTTTTCCCTTTCTCCTCTTCCCCTTCTTTTTTTCTCATCCATCTCTTACACAAACACCCCAAAATCATTGACTTCCCTCCCCCGTAACCGAGCATGAATGCTTATCTGTCCTTGATCACCTGCATCAATCGTCCGTACCACCCACATTGTTCGCCTCTTGACTTTTCGCCATGAACCCAAATCTATACCACAATGTTTGTCAGTAACTCTTTCTTGATAATCATCAAGATCCAAATCAGCGACGATTCAAAGACTTACCCTCAATCGTACTCCTCAAAGGAAATGGATCAGTCGTTGACCTCGGTATCCCCGTCGTCGTTGTCGGCATCGCTGTCGGTCGTGGTTCTGCTCTCTCCCTCTTATTATGCTCGTTCGCAGAAGCCAGGTAATAACTCTCGGGCTCATCCGTCATTTCCAAGTACGAGGCTGGGTTCTCCGACCAAAACGAGATGCGCGCTGCTGCTGTTTGAAATTGGCTCTGGAATTGGGTGTGAGGTGCGGTAAAATGCTGATGATATGGGGGCATCACAGGAATGAGCGTCGGCTCAATGGTGGGCGGAGGAGGAGTGGGTGGTGGATCTTCCCAGTAAGGTGGGTTTCGGTTTAAGTTACTGTCGTCGTCGGTTGGTGAAGAAGAGTGTCGTCTTTCCCTTTCGCAGCTGGGGGACTTGCTTGCAGGGCTCGCTGACGATGTTGGTGATTGTGGCTCTTGCCCTGTTGCGGCCTTCTCGGTGATGCTATCAGCCCAGATGCGTGATTCCATCTCGTTCCACCTGCTGATCGCCGTGCCGATAATGAGCTTCTCTAGATCCGTTGTTCCCTCGAGTTTGATTCCCAATTTGCTGGATCCTAAGAAAACAAGATCTCGGGCGAGCGTGCGGACCAGTTGGTTCTTGGTGGACAGCCATAGTGTTGGACTCTGCTGGCACTCGGGGCTGAGGAGATTTGATGGAGCAGTCGACGACGACGACGAGGAGGAGTCGTAGGAAGTGGTGGTATGCAATGGTGAATGTCCCATGTCCAGAACAGCCCCGAGCACCAAATGGAAGAGGACCTGGCAAGATTCTGGGGAACAATTAGAGAGATATTGGGGGGTGAGGATGCCATCGAGCCTCCTGATCAGATGAGATCGGGACTCGTGGCGCGCGCAATGCTCGTGCTTTTGGGGTGGCTTGCTCTTGTTGCTGTTCCTCCGTCCGTGGTGTGCTAGAGAGACTGCCAGTACGAAGCGGCGGAACTCGGGGATGAGGTCATTGCCTCTGGATTCGTCTGGAAACCGGATAGACAGAAGACTGGAGCAGCAGAGGCCAATGATGTGGCCGCTGGGTAGGTTGGAGTCGGGGTCTTTGAGCCATGAGACTAGGGCCCGGTTAAAGGTGGCCTGATCAGACTGGAGGGAGAAGTTGGCGGAAGCTGCTATCCGGAAGAGCAGGCCGCTCGTCCTCGTTATGAAGGCGTCGAGTTGCATGTTACTGAGTTCGGAAGGATGGTTGGTATTGATGATGCTGTCCTCGACACGCAGGATGGATGGAAGACTGGGCGAAAGAGGAGTTTCGTGGTTGGGACACTTGGCTTATATGAGCTCATGGTTCAAGATCAGGTGGGGCGAGAGATGGGTAAGGGAAGTAGAAGAGGGAAGAATGACTAGGCTGGGCTCGGTAGGTATGCATAAGCCATACCTGGATGGTGTGAAGCACTTGACACTTGGAGAAAGCGCTTTGACGTCGAAGAACCTCTTGGTCCTCCCGTGATTCTTGCGGCGTAGAGCTAAGTCTTGACCACTCGTGACATACAGGTTGGTCAGTTGCCCGGAAGCAGTGAACAGACCGAACTGGGAAAGGGAGATCTGGTTTGCAGCGCCTTTGGTCGTTCATGACGTCCGGCATTTATGAATGTGGCTGCCGTGGTTACTTGAATAAGAAGCGGTGGCGGCAGGACTAGTGTGCCTTTGTGAGCACACTAGAGGATGACGGGAGAGGAACACAGCTCAAGGATACTTCCAATGGTCTGTGAATCTTGGTAGCATAACCGGTTAGAGATGGTGGATCGGGATGCGATCGTGGCGAGCGTGGATATGAAAGGGGCAGCTGGCTATCAAACTCCAAACAGGATCCGGGCTGGGGACTAAGACTAGTAGGGACTGGGCATTATGAGGCGACATCATGCATGACCAAAATAGCGCTCACATCTTTTGGTGAAGGATTTCAGGTTGGCAGTAACATGTATAATAGCCTGGATTATTGCCAAATAAAGAGCGGATGCCGGTAGTATGGACAAAGCAGCAGACAGAGGCTGGCTGAGAAGAGGAGTCGGGTGGCACAAGTTGCTTGAGATTTGAACGACAAGCACGACCGAGAGTTCCGTATCTGGTTAGCTCTTATAGGAAATGGCTTTTATGGTGGAAGAAGGGCATATTCCAGGGATGATGGGTCGATATTAGAATAGAATAGTGGTGGAATGGAATACCGAAAAGGTTGGATCCATTGAGACAAACCATGCCCGGTTCTCGCTGTTGTCCAACTGTGGAGAGAGAGAGAGAGAGTCACGGTGTGTCGAGCCTGTAGGGTGCCGAGACACATGAGCCGGACAACGTTCAGTTAACGGCAAACCGGGCGTTCGGGCCAGGGGAGCAGGGTTGTCGAGTTTCGTCATGGGGTCCAGGAGAATGAGAGGACTGATGTGGTCAAAGTCAAAGGATTCATAGCCACATCGCCATCGTGAGCAGCGAGGAGCAACAAAACAGGCGGAGACCACGCCACCGCAGAGCAGATGGCTCCAGCAACCTTCTGCTAGTATTGGTGTAGTGTAGTGTACAACCATGAGGAGACGAGGTCCGTCCAGGAAAGACAGGACCTGAAAGATGGATTTTCTCGTGTATCGTCAAGTCTACACTAGCTTGGTTCCTCTTGGGTTGGGTTCCACTCGCTTTTGCCTCGCTTCCACCGTTCCGCGCCCTTGTTGGCATGGAAGTATCGCCGCCGTATTCCGCAGTCGGTGTCGGTTGGAGAGTTGTTGGGACTTTTGGGCGAGACACAGTGTCGAATTCTGGAAGTTCATTGTGAAGAAAACTTGAGGTGAGGTGAAGGATGCCAGAATATCCCCGCGGGCCCATGCTGGATGGAGCAAAAACCAAGGGTCGCTGATCAGGGTTCTCACCGTTCGGTACCATCGTAATGAGGGCTGGCAAGGTTGGCTCGTGGCCCATGGGTTGCTGTATCAAAATGGACTGGCGGCCGCGGCCTCTCAGTGGTTCTTTCAGAGACACACCTCCTGCCAAGCCTTGACCTAGACCAGACTGCCCGTATCCACTCGCGAGTCACTGCAGCGCTAGCAACCCAATCAGGGACGTGGGGCCAGCCATGGCAAGCTGAAGGCTCCCGCGGCTGCACACCAGGCCAGCTGAAAACACTGGAACTTGGCTCCCGATCTGGAAACCCAATCTGAACCTTGCAACTCCACCATCCCGGCCGACTCCTGCCTGCGACAAGCTGCCCTGCACCGCAACTCAACTGCCTCCTCCATCACGCTCCATCGTTGCCATCATGTTCCCTGCTAGCCAGCCAGTCCGTTTCGACCTTCCATCCATCCATCCATCCATCCATCCATCTAACCAGAAGAAATGAACAAGCCGAGCCATCATCGTCCATCCCACCGACCCCGCCTTGCCGATCCCTGACGAGCTTGTTTGGTTGAGCCGCATGCGCACAGTTCTCCCGCCCTTCCATCGAGTCCAACTGTCCAACAAGTCGTTGTCCTGCTGTTCCAGATTGACGTGGCACTGACAGCAGCTCGTACTATTGCGTCCGACCGACGGGATCCACGAGCCATCTACACTTGACCATGCCGCGCTGGATTGGATCTACCGACTGCCAACTCGTCCTATCGACGAAACTCTGCGACGGGTACCCGGCGCGGTGTGATGACGGCATTCTCCACGTCTACACCAATTGTCTGAACCGGACAGATGGGGCCAAGCACAGTCTTCAGCTTCCCTTGACGATGACTTGTCGCATATCAGAACCCTCATTGTTGGTTGTTGCTGCCGGCTTCAAGCACACAATGAAGCTGGTTGGAATGTTGGGAGCATCAGCAGGCACACTGCAATGGCCATATGGAAGCGTGTCGAGCGAGGTGTGTGTGCGTGCTATGGGACGGCGGCCCAAGATTCGGCATACTGATCGGGGCGAACCCCACGGGCCGCGACAGAGGGAAGACGCGTTGTCTTCCTTGTTACACGGCATCAACAATCACTATAGCATCCTCTACATACTGCGCAGGCTTCGTGCCTGGATATCAGTGCTACATCAGGTCAAGATGTCCTGATAACAGCCCAGCTGACCACGAGCACAGCATACTGCCCCAGGTCATCCGCCGAGAACATTGAAAGCCATGGCCAATGGCAACTGCCCAAATTGTCTTTCCCTCGGGTGGCTTTCTGGACGTCATCAACTCGGCCTTGGAGATGCGTGTCCTCTGGGCTGGCATGGTTGGGGAGATTTAGACCTAAAACAATATGCACGGTTTCCCGACGCCTCAATCACTTCCCTGCACGATGTTTTTAAAAGGCCAGAACGCTCTTGGGGGGGGCTCCTCGTTCTAGACTTCTTGTTGACACGTGCACAAACTGCTCCATCTGACCATTCAAGCAATTCCCCAGACGCTGCTCCGAATACTGTACTGAGCATTATCAGCTTCTACTGCGTTACGGGCGGCGAGCGTATCTATTGTCGGAAGCTTCAGGAGCTTCAAGAGCTCCAGGGACCTCCCCACAATTGTCTATTTGACAAGCTCCCCTTGTTAAGCTAGCGCAGGCCATCCGCTTTCAACTTTGTTCCGCGGGAAAACTCGGCAAGGCCCGTCCCAGAGGCTCTTTTCCTTGCCAGTGTTCGCTTCTTACGCGCCTGAGAGATGAGCTGACCATCGATGTCACTTGGATCACTGATGTACTCTTGTGGATTCTTCCTCCGCCTTGGGATCCTTGTCTTCACACGAATAACTCAAAGTCAAGGATGGCGATAGCTTGACTCTCCGCAGCTTGCTTGGCCGAGTCGACTGGATTGTGGCGAGCGAAGACCGACAGCACATTGTCGTACTCCAGCCTGGCTGAATCTACCAACGGCTCTCCGCCAAGGCCATCTCCTTTCCAAACTTCTCGGTAATCGGCAAATTCACTAGCTTTGGTGGCCCTCAGGATCCGCACACTCTTCGTGGTCGAGTCTGGAAGGATTGCGTACAAGTCGCCTGTTTTGCTGATGGCTAGTTGACCACGGTTGCTGCCTTCGGTGATGACTTGCAGTGCCCGCTGCGTCCACGTCCCTAGTCACTGTCAATCGGCTTTGCCAGAAATATGAGAACGGTAGCACGGCGATAACTTACCATCTGGCGACCGGTGATAATGTTTCCATAGGTACGTCCCCCCTTCATTCATCATATCTCTATTTAATACATGCACACCCCCTTCTTGGTCAACTGCTTGTGCCTCTTGGTTCATTAGGCCCTTCCCCTTGGGTATGTCAAAGGCAGCGATCCCACTGCAGTCATTTTTGATGGTGCGCTCTTTTCCCCGTACACTGGTCGGAAACTTGGCGGGATCCCTTAAGTCGGCAATCACTTCACCGCAACCGTTTTTCCATACATATCCGTCGGCATCGCTATAGGCATAACAAATGTTATGGTTGTTTTCGGCCCCGTTAGGTCCCGCCTGCTGCTTGTGTTTGGTATCGAGCGGATCGTCCCAGCCCGGATATTCCACAAAGCCTCGATATACCCAAGTGACGTAGAGGACCCCGTCGCGGGAGGTCATCCCGTTGACGTACGGACTGCTCTGGACGCCTGTCAGGTAGGGGCCGATGTATTCATAGCGACCGTCCTTGCCGTTGTAGGTGTAGAGATGATCGTTGCCGAGCCCCGCCTTGCCGTCACGGTGGGAGAAGAACATGTTCTCGCCGAGGAAGCCAAACCGGGGGTATGTCACGTCACGGAGCGGCTTGTGGGTAGATAGGATTCCCGGGAGGCAGTCAAGAGTGGCCGAGAAGATGTCTGGACGCCAACTGATTGTACGGGGCTGAGTGGCTACGTCCCGCTTTGAGTAGCGGTATCGAAGACTGCTCGATAATTGTGTTGGCGGGCGTAAACATAGAAACAGTAGGTGAGAGAAAGGAGGGAGACGCAACTCACATGTCACAGTGGTGATCGAATGCCAGATGGATTGTTCCATCACCCGGGCAAATTCCAAGCGAAATGGTGTTATGACCATCGTCAACGGTTTGCTTGTAGTCACGCAGCTCGAGGACTTCCCACCCGTAGGCCGTTTTCTCGCTGACTTGGTCTTCGTTGCTCAGGACAGGCATGCCCGAACGGGGTCGTAAAAGCCTTCTTGCCACGCAAAGATACAGTGTGTCACCATCGTCTGGCCCGGCGTTGGACCAGTATGCTACATATTGGTAGCCCTTGAAGGTGACTATGGCGTCCTGCTGGAACGCGTAGGCGTTGAGTTTGTGTTTGCGACCTGGGGTGGCAGATCGACATCCCAAGTTCGTGACGACGGGTTGAGGCAGCTGCACGTGTGCGGTGTCGATGTTCTGGTGCCCCAGCTTCGGCATTGGATCGCTGGGAGACATCTCGCACAGGAGGATGACGGTCACTACTGAAAGATGAGATCCCAGTACACCGTGTTATGGAGAGTTTATGGGAGGTAAGGTGAAGAGGAGAGCATTCACACAGTCGGGTGCTACTTTAATCAGAACACTTCATGTTCTACAGTGCCTTGTACATCCGGCCGATACCTTCACCTCAGACGAACTGACATTCTCAACAGAAACCCTTCTGGCCAACCATCGAATTAACATCATCGAACATGATCTGATAGCATTTATATATTCAGGCTCGCCAAGTTGAGACTTTCCCGAGCTAAACGTATTCCAACCTTGGACGTGGCTCTCACTTCACCTAAAATGTCTTTTTCTTGAACCTCCAGCATGCAGTATCAAAATGGGTCCAATAGTACCGTCTCCTGATTTGTGGATGATTTACTTTCCGGCCAATCCTCCTCGCTTTTTGCACATCAGAGCTGGAAAGTTCGTTAGCTCGGTACTTACAGGGGTCTTGAGTGGAAACAGGGCGGAAGACAGAGTGCCTGTGCATGGCCTGTAACTTTACCGATTATAGAAGGTGAGGAGGGGAGGCTATATAGTAGGTGACTTTGGCAGTTCAACTCTTTTTCACTTTAGAGGCAATATCAATGGATTTCACCTAATCAGATCGCATGTATAGACGTATACCGTTGTACCATTCCCTTTCCCTTTATCATTCCCCTGCAAGAAGAGAGTGGGGCGCGTATTAGACAAGCAAACTGCCATGTAAAAGGACTGATGTTTACCCTACCTCAACCCCAATCCCTAACTATGCAGATATTGGATAGGTATTTGGATTACCAGGCCACCAGGTGTTCGTGAACTGATTATACAGTGTGGAAGAGGTCAATACAATTCGCATTCTTTTAGGCGGTTGTAATCAGGTGTTGGCGATGGCGATGAGGTTTGAATTGGGTTCTGGAAGCCCTCTCCCTCTCAACTGTCCCGAAACTCCCTACCTAACCGTCTATGTACCTAGCGCGGATTTACCCCGGAGAAATAAAGAAACCAAACAAGGGAGTGTGCTACCCCAACTTTCCATTCACTTATCCCCGCGCCGACGCCGTGATCATTATCGCCACGCCGTTCGGTGGAACAACTGGCCTCGGGAGAAATACGAATCAACGTTTCTTTGGTATGTTATTCTTCGGCAATGACGGGTTCTATGAATTACAAACTACGTAGCTGAATATATCCCCTGGTGCCGGTGGTTCCTTTCTTCGTCTGTTCTGGTTCTGGCTCGAGGTTAATGTTACAGACCAAACATACCTTGAAATACCTACATGTTGAGTTATCATGATAGTCTCTGGATCCAATTCAACTAAAAACACTCTCACACCCAGGGTTTGGCTCTTCAGATCCGACTTGCAGCTTTCACTTTACGACTTTACGAGAGATCCATGCCTCGGGTTGTTAGGTCGTGGTTGATTCCACCGCGCCGTAACGTCGCTGGGCGGGATGTGGGGTACACCCTCGGCCCCATAAAACCCCCCCCATTCCTTTCTCCTCAGCAGCCAGGTTCCACATACAGCGGACTCACAGTGGATTCGACTTGTGCTTCCCCCAAGCCTCAGCTTTCCCCCCCATTTCCCGGGCCGTTTCCCCAGAGTCCACTTGTGGAGTTGGCAATAACCTGAGCACGACGACATCAAGGCGACATCAACAAGCACGGGTTTCACTCTGGCTATTCCCCCGTCCTCGATGGACTTCTTATTTGCAATATCTCTTGATTTCCACACTGCTTCGGCCTCGATATCCTCCAGTCCTCCTCCACCACCACCCTCCACACGAAGGACAAGCATTTGGTCTTATCCGCACTTTGTCCATGTCCATTTAACTCCATGAATGACATGGGACCAATAGGCTAATACCAAGCTTTGAGCTTAGCATGCTTACCCCGTGCTTGGCACGTGGAACACCGTGACCAGAGATGCTCATCCAGACATCCCGGGGCCGTTGGTTTGTTCACGTCTTCTGATTGGCGGGGCCTTCTACCTTACACGGCATGCATTGTCGGGATTCTGAGGGGAGTAGCAGGTGAGGAGGACAAAGGGACAAGGGGGGAAAGAAGGCTACTCCACGGGGATCTGAGGAAACATGGAGGCTTGGGGGATGGCGGCGGCGACAGTATGCAACACGGTCTGACGACCTCTTGATGCCACTCGGAAGAAGAGGCCGAGTCCCGATCTCCAGCCTCCAGCCTCTCGTCCTTCCCTTTTTCTTTCTAATGGTACTTGCTATTGCTTACTCGGGACTATTTACCTCGTGGAGTTATTCCCAAACATATTGCTACTGAAGCATTCAACAAGACATATGGACCAAGTACAAATGTGCCCACTGCTAACATATGCCAGATAAGACGGTAGCAAATACGACACTCTTTTTCTTCAATGTCCTCACAGGCAAGGCAAGAGACGACAAATAGGGAGGAGCCAGTTGCAGTGCAACGTCCCCCTCCCCTTGGTGGAAAAAATGCCACCGGTAGTGGGCGAACAGGGGATGGGGCCAATCTCTTGCCCAGTTGGAAGAAAGGCACACTCTAGCTCCAACTCTGTTACCCTTTAGATGCCATATCTTGTACTCGCAGAAAGGGAAACGGGCCGGAGTCCATCCATGCTTCTCCAAACCATGACTCCAATCAGGCCCGGTAAAGAGCAGCGAGGGCATATGCAGATGCGTACAGTGCATCCATCTTGTGCGATACAAGCGAGCAAACTAACTATTGTGACAAGAGAAATTCGGGGCCGCGGCATCATGAATCTGGAGTATGGGGTAGCGTATCTCACTAAGCCTACACAGTCAAGCCGTCAAATCGCTAAGAAACTGAGACTTACAGGTTGGCCTTGCATGGGGTGTTCAAGAACTGGCCGAATTGGTGTTGCACCGCTTTGCTCCAAGACATACAGGAACTACATAAGGGTTCCGGACACCGGCACCGTTACTCTCTACTTGCTGATATATTACCCGGGGGCTGGATGACACTCTTTATTCTCGTGAGCATTTTCCTCTTGCATCTCATCCAACAACCTTCCTAGGTACCAACGACTCAGATCCGAATCAAGAGATTATACCCTTTGGAGGAGACTTCTCACTTATCGGTCAACATCTAGCCAGGGTCAAAGAGGCCTCGAAGGCTGTTCATCACCTCATCCCAGACACAAAAGAGGCCATCTTATACGAGAGAGTGCGACCTTACCAAGCCGTCAAGATGGGTCTTTCGATAGGAAATAGGATCCTCCGAAAAATTGTCAAAAATGAGGCTATGGCAGAAGATCCCCCAGAGATCTATGGCTGGCGTGTCTATCTCCTAGCGTGCTCTGTGAGTTCATGTTCCTTTGCCTAAACAGTATCACTCCAAGGATCTTTTCCTGCTAACCTTTGCATCTCCATCACAGGCCTGCTTCGGCGCCATGTCTTTTGGCTGGGATTCCTCCGTCATCGGCGGCGTCATTGAACTCGAACCCTTTAAACACGACTTTGGCTTCATCGGCAACGATAAAGCCAAGGCCAACCTGGGCGCCAATATCGTCTCTACCCTCCAAGCCGGCTGCTTCCTCGGTGCGCTGATTGCCTCACCTATAACCGATCGCTTCGGCCGCAAGTGGTGTCTCGTCGCTGTCTCCCTGGTCGTCATCATCGGTATCATCATGCAAGCCGCCGCCTCAGGCAACCTCGCACCCATGTACATAGGCCGTTTCGTCGCCGGCGTGGGCGTCGGCGCCGCCAGCTGCATCAACCCCGTCTTTGTGTCTGAGAACGCTCCCCGCTCGATCCGCGGTCTGTTGACGGGCCTCTACCAACTCTTCATTGTCACCGGCGGCATGATCGCATTCTGGATCAACTACTCCGTCTCTCTGCACTTCAAGGGCAAATCCATGTACATCTTCCCGCTCGCCATCCAAGGTCTTCCCGCCGCCCTTTTGTGCGTCTGCATGCTCCTCTGCCACGAAAGCCCGCGCTGGCTGGCCCGCCGCGACCGATGGGAAGAATGCAAGTCTGTGCTGGCGCGCATCCGCAACCTCCCCCCAGACCATCCGTACATCGTCGACGAGTTCCGCGAAATCCAGGACCAGCTCGAACAGGAGCGTCGTCTCCAGGGCGATGCCACCTACTGGGACTTGACCCGCGATATGTGGACCGTCGCCGGCAACCGCAAGCGTGCCCTGATTAGTATTTTCTTGATGATCTGCCAGCAGATGACGGGCACCAACGCCATCAACACGTACGCGCCTACCATCTTCAAGAACTTGGGCATCACCGGCACGTCGACGAGCTTGTTCAGTACCGGCATTTATGGTATCGTCAAGGTCGTCAGCTGCGTCATCTTCTTGCTGTTCTTGGCCGACTCGCTTGGTCGTAGACGTTCGCTGCTGTGGACGTCGATTGCGCAGGGTCTTGCTATGTTTTATATCGGCCTTTATGTCCGCATCTCGCCGCCGATTGATGGCCAGCCGGTGCCGCCCGCGGGTTATGTAGCGTTGGTGTGCATCTTTTTGTTTGCTGCGTTAAGTTTTTTTTTTTTTTTTTTTTTTCTTTCACCCCCCATTCCCATTATTTGTACCCTACTAAACGTTGTACCACATATAACAGTTTCTTCCAATTTGGCTGGGGCCCTGCCTGCTGGATCTACGCCTCGGAAATCCCCGCCGCCCGCCTGCGCTCCCTCAACGTGTCCTACGCCGCCGCGACGCAGTGGCTGTTCAATTTCGTCGTGGCCCGCGCCGTGCCTACTATGCTGGTCACGGTCGGCGCCCACGGTTACGGCACCTACCTCATCTTTGGCAGCTTCTGCCTCAGCATGTTTGTCTTTGTCTGGTTCTTCGTGCCCGAGACAAAGGGTATCTCGCTTGAGCACATGGATGAGCTGTTTGGCGTTACTGATGGGCCTGCCGCTGAGAAGTCGTCGGTGCAAGGTGGAGATGATATCGGGTCGGAGATGGGGAAGGGGGATCAGAAGTCGAAGCATGTGGAGGTTTATGTTTAAGTCCTTGTTTTTTGGTTGTTTTTGAGTATGAGAAGGGTCAAGAAAAGAAGAGATGTTTTGATGACTTCTCAATTCAGGGAGACAAAGGAAGTTACAGTCGCCTTCGTCTCCTAGTATGAGATAGATGAATGAATGAAGATATCTTCTCGCGATTTACGGAGGATTATGGCACCATGTTAGTAGTCATGGAGCTTGCTTTATACTTAACGGTTAATACTTGTGGAGGTCAACGTTCACAACATGTGTTGACGTTCAAGACCATTAAGACACCGACCGTTCAGTTGCCTCTACAAGGAAGTCGTGCGTCAGGAATACAGCACCCGCGTTCATCTCCTTCCAGGGTTCCGCCGTATTGGTAACACTCCAGTCGAAATTTCGCATCAACTGTCATGATGTTAGCAAGCATCGTATCAAATTGTTGAGAATGAATGTTTCCAAAGGTAGGAAACCTCAACATACCTCAAAAATAGCCTTCCCTATCTCCATCAGCGCAATTGGCTTTCCGAGGCACTGGTACTTACCATAACTAAAAAGCATCTCGTGGACCAGGTTCATCTGAGCCAGCTTCTTGGGGTCCTCATTCAGCCACCTCTCAGGCCGGTAGCAATCGGCATCCCCTCCAAAAATCTTCTGGTCCCTGTTCAACCCCCAGACACAGTAGCCAATATTGGTACCGCCAGGAAGATAGACCGTCTGACCCTCCACTGTCACGGTATCTCCCTCAGGCGGCACCTTCTTCTGGGAAGAGTTGGTTACCGGAGGGTGCATCCGCATGCCCTCCTTGCAACATGCCCACAGATAAGGAAGTTGCCTTTGCGTAGCATTGGAAACAACACTTGGGTACGGCGGCGCTCGTCCATCTTTAACGGCGGCATCCACCTCGGCCTGAAGTTTGACATAGACACGCGGGTTAGTAACGAGGTACAGCATGATGCATCGCATGGAAGTGGCAGCGGTCTCGGCACCGGCAAGGAGCTGGAGAATGGACTCGGTAATGAGCTGCTCTTTGTCCAAGCCATGACGGAACCACGAGGCGAGCATGTCGCTCCCCTTGGTCATGCCGGGGTCGTCCTCAAGACGTTTAGAGATGATTTTGCGAGTGTTGGCCGTCATCGCTCCGAAGCCGGTCTTTGCTTTGTCCGATGGTCCCAAGAGATGCATGAGTGGCGTACCAAGTACGAGCTCTGTCAGTCCGAGGCCCCACAGATACATGATTGCGTTCATGCCCTGATCGGCGTGCTTGATATAGCCATTCACATCTTGATCTGAAAGAAGCATCCCAAACGGCTCGCCAAATCCAATATGGCTGATGACATCGAGGGCGAGATACTGAGCTTTCTGTGCGAGATCGAATGGGTTTGTCTTCATCTCGGTCGAGCAGTACTTGGTCCGAATAAGTTGGACTAGTTCTGCAACATGAATATTTACCGAACTCTCGAGCTCACGGTTTTCCTTGCCAGAATACTGTAACGTGACCAAGTGGCGTTAGCGATCAAGCTCACGAATTCTTTGCCTGCAAAGGGGTTCTCACTCCGCCAGCCATCTGAGCTCTACGTTTGGTGTGTATGTTATCGTCGAGCTCGCTTAAAATGTTGTCGCCGTTCGGTTGGAAGCGGGCGGCAATGTAGAACCATCTTGTTCGCGTGTATCTGTTTCTCGCCCCATTGATGTGTGCCAGCAACTCGAGAGATGTAGTCATCAGCTCGTTGGGTCCGATGCGAGCAATGGGTCCTGTTGAAAGTCAGTCGGTGTATGCAAAAGTTACCGGGCTCAAGCGTCGTCTACTTACCGTATTTATCCGTGGCCTCCTTGAACTTCAAGTGTACATTTCCAGAAAGGTAGGCAAGGCCATGCCAAATCTCGAACCAGCCAGTGCCAAAGGGTCCTTTGAAATGGCGCAACCGGCAAAATTGCTTGATCTTGAGGACCACCCAAATCGCGAGCACAACCGAAGCGAGGAGCCATCGTGCCTCATAGATGAGAGTGGCTGCGCCCATGGTGAGACACAAGTCCTGTCGATGAAAGTAGCCAAGCTTGGTCAACAGTTGTAGTGATATTGAGAACTACCGCTAAGAAACACTGTCTTTGTTATAGCATAGGAAGTGCTTCTTCACCACGTCGAATCCAACTTTTCTCGCTTAGTCGACTGGTAGTTTCTTTACGAATCTCAGCCCTTTTCGCACGCCCTTCGGCACCATGCCTACGGTGGCATCGATGTTACCGTGCCGTTGGTTGGAAAGGGAGTATCATGATCTGAAGCCTCTATCAGCAAGTTAGTAATGCAATTCACAATGGCGTAGCTTTGTCCACTTATCATATGCGGTACTGATAGTCACGGCGGCCATGAGAATAATATAGCTGAATCTTGAATTCTTACCTCAGTCTCTCTGCTTGGTTGGTCTCACCGTCCACTCGGCCTCTGGAACATTTTCCGCGGCGCCGCTGGAATGCTACCCTAGAGTCTCGTCGTGGGGACCCAACCTTGTATTCTGTTTCATATGGAAATCAACATGTTCTGAAGCCTTTTTCGATTTTGGATCTAGATATCTTTGAGCCTTTGCCGGCAGTGGTGGTTGCCATGTAAAAGAGGGGTTGAGGGCAGGGAGTACAGTGTAGGTATGGGTGCGTGTGCTATGCGAGGTCCTTTGCGGATATCTTCTTCTTGACATGATGTAACACGGTTGGTGAAGTTGGTGATCTGAAGTTTGCTATCGTTTTGGGGGGATTTGGAACTGTGACGTGTGGAAATCGAGCCACCCCGCCTCCAGTGCGTTAATGCAGAGCTTATTCGCAGCCAAACTGTCAGATCTGCCACCTGCTATCGGGTGCGACACATCTCCGCCAGCAGCAGGAGTGCCCTTGCTCTTACTCATTTTCTTGTCATACATACAAGACTTTGACAACACAAAGAGCCTTCACAGTTCTTACAGGAACGCTTTATGAAGGGGACAATGCACGATAGACGCAAGATTAAAGACTGTTAAACTCAGTCGCAGTTTTGTTACAAACATGTCCCAAGCTCTGTTGACAAAGGCATCCGTTGTTTTGTTTTGCTAACTAGAGATAGGCTGAACTTTGCATCGGCAGAAACCACCACGGACTTGATGGGGATGTCCGGTATGCTCCAACCAGTACGGCGTGTCAATATGACGATTGACTACCGTCGTTCCTGACTGCTTTTTATAATGATACTTCGGAAGGCTCGCTCTTTCCTGTTCAGTTTCGCTTTGTCTCGCCAAGACAGCAGGAGATTTGAACATAGGTTTGGACACTGTTATTATCCCGCTTGTTCTTGCCTTTTTTTTTCTTTGTAAAAACACAGTCACACCTCAACTGCCAGTCAACCCATTTGACGTCCTTTCTTGCCCACAATGTTTATTACACCTCAAGAGTCCCACTTGATTTCCGTCCGCGCGGGGCAGGGCGATCTTGCTGGACTTGCCGTTATCGTCAAAAGTCTTGCTCAGCGGGAAAGGGTGACCGAAGCAGAGGTCTTGATCTCGTGCAAGGACGACTTCCAGAGAACGGCGGCGCATATTGCAGCTCAGCTGGGACAAAGATGCAAGTCACTTGAGCCGCCCACTGCCAACTGAACATTCCCGCCCTCATGCTTTTTTGCTGTTGTTACGATAGAGACTAATGGAGCTTATCCGTGTCAGCTTCAATCGAGACATTGGCAGCCCTGCTCGCTTCAGAAGAGGACAAGACCACTTATTTCAACATGGCGAATCGCTTTACGGGCGACCGGCCGGTTCATACAGCAATGCGTTTTGGCTACCTTGAGGTCTTGAGAACACTGGTCACGCATGGCGCTGACCCGACAGCCAAGAACCGATTCGGAGATACGGTATTGGACTATCCGGGAGAATATGAGATGGACGAGGTCAAGAGCATTGTCGACGAATACAGGGCAAGGTTTCCACAGACCACGACATGAGTAGAGGTACGTTGACGAGGGAAGAGAAGACAGCAAGTATGTATCAAAAGAAAGCATGAAGAAGTTGGCACCGCCTTCTAATCAAGCGGAGATCGAGCAATGAGCATGTCTTCTCCAGAAGGCCCAAACACACCACGTTCCCTATCTGCCGGTTCAGTTGTCCACCTGGTCCTCCTTCCTACACTGGCGGGCCGGGTCTCTCGTGCTAAATCGAGAAGGCGGTCGTCTCCAAGGCTTGGAACTGACGTCAAGAACGGGCCAAAGGGAACATGTACTGGGGGTGCTCTCCTTCCTTGTGAGTGAAGATGGAGAAAGCAAAATTGATCATGAAGGTTTTTTCTCTTTTTTTTACTGTACTGCCCAATATCCCTTCACGATCTCGTCATGCGTCAGTTTTCAAAGAGCAAGCATCATTCCGAAGACGGGCTTTTGGCTGCTCACCCTGCATAGTACTTAGATTCGATATCGATTCGACCTCTCCTCCATCATGACATCGACACTTGTAGCCACTCCCTCGAGGATCCCGATCTTCCGCGCCGCGAGGCTCACCAGTATCCCGATTACGAAGCCAAGATTACCACCACTCAGTATAAAGACACATTTGGTGAAGGTGGTGGACAAACCTGCTTCCACAGTCCGCAACGAGATCGGAGCTGTCCCGACCAGTATGCAGCAACTAGCGGTTTCCAACACCTTGATTCTCGAGGCCCCCGGTGTCGACTTGAACCCGTACAACAAGATTCTTGTCGGCGCTGTGCTAGATGTAAGACTGCCTCCCCAACCAAACAGCTAATCCCAAGCCCACTTCCTCGGTGCTAACTGCCGCATCTTCGCACCAGCTCTTCGAAGGAAAGTCTACCCTTAAACACCTATCCCTCTGGAATCCTGACGCCACTTTCGTCGACCCCATAACCACGGCACAGGGGTACAATCGATATGCCGCACAGTGGTATGCTCTTGCGCAAGTGCTCAGTCCCGTTAAAATCCAATCCCACGAGGTCATCTCATCCGGGAATCCAATCGAGATCAAGCTCCACAACAGATACACATTGCCGCCGATCAACAAAACACAGGATATTCACAGCTTGGTCAAGATTTGGGTGGATGGCAATGGCAAGATTGCTAGAGTGGAGGATAGGTGGGATGGGGAGTTGCCTGATGGAGCGCTCAACGAGGTATGCCCAGGTGTATCTGGCAAAGACAACCCCAAATACACTTGACTAACACACGGATGTTTTTTGACGAACAGACAGTGTTTTGGTTCGCCAAGGCCGTGATGCGAATGATGAAGAGACTGCTGGATGCTGCATTCCGGGTATATTGCAGTGCAGCTTGGTGGCTACTTCCTATCGTGGTATGCTTCGATACATTGGTTATGATCCACAAGCCACTCAGAGTTTTCTAACGTGATCTCCATTCTAGGCTTTCCGAAAGGCATTCGCAATAACCATACCCGTGATTGTCAAGGTCCCCAGGACTGAGGAAGAGGACATTCAGATGAGGGCCATATTGGAAGGGTTCCAAGACAAGAAGGAAATAACGATTCTATAGTCTGCTTAAGGCAACTTGGAGGGAACCTGAGCAACAACAAACAACGGCACCTACACAAAATTTGGTACTGAGGCTTCTTGTCCGCAGCCTGGTAGACTGCGACTACACATTTGCCATTATTTGACAGCTTTAGCATGTTCAGATAGAGGTTCCGTTTCGAGACTGTGCCGACAGCATTTCTACATGATTAGCTTGTTTTGGAGTGCATTGAGCACTTTCTCAGGTTTTGAAACTATGTTTTCACAGGTGGATGCGGCCACTAACACGGGCACATAGTGTACCACTATACACGGCATTGTTCGCCAGACAGTTTTTCTTCTCAACTTCTGAGGTCAGTGATTGTTCTTGATCGTTACTAGTCCTTGCTGATCATCATCTGACTTTACGCAATCTCCTCGGAGACTAGGTATCAACTGTCAAATGCATCCGGTTCGTATGTAAATCTTTAATTTGTAAGCATTGTGACCCTGTCTTGCTAACTGTGAAGAAAACAAAGGCTTGAGCTGACTTCATGATGCCCTTCTTTCGGCAGCGTCGTACAAAGCTTGTATATCACTCTGCCACTGCGTAACATTAACCCTCACCACGCGACGGTCATACGTTACCAAGCCGTTTACCTCGCCTTCCACATCCGTCGTCTGTGTATACACAGCGCCGCTACACGCATATCGTTCCACCTGGGCGCGCAACTCGCCAAGCAATTCGTGGGTGCGATAGTTGTACGAATCTAGGTCGGGACTGATCTCATATGTCTCTGGAATTGTGGCTATTGCTTTGGGGTCGGGCCAGAGGCTGGGTTCGGGGGCAAGTCTGTTAGTGATGAAATCATCCCAAGGGGAGAAAAAGAAAGGCGTCTTACTTTTTGAAATCCGGAACGTGTCCAACTCCTCCGAATTCACCTTGGAAGCCGATTCTGTTGGGGTCATAAGGCGTATTAGGACTACTATAGAAGGGTGTACCGCACTCAGGGCTGGCATAATGGTGGTTGTCGTGGAAATCCCCAGCTCCATGGTCGAACCAGCCAGTTACCGAATCGATCAGTCTTGTCGGGTCAAGCGCGCGGATGGCATCAGTGATATGAAATTCTGGGTAGTTGCCGTTATCGCGGATTTGACCCCAGCCCTCGTTGTAGATTACCCAAGTTATGATACTGGGGTGGTGCTTGAACTGGTTCACCATAACGCTAAGCTGACGCTCAAACTCGGCTTGTTGGGCGGGAGTGGGAAAGTCAGTTGCCAGACTAGCCGCTGGGCGCATGGAGGGCATGTCTTGGATAACAAGGAGGCCAAGCTTGTCGCAGGCGTAGTAGTAGAGCTGGGGCTCAACTTTGATCTGGTCAAACATGTGAGTACTCGCCTCTCCAGTCTTTGTCATGGTCAACCGCAACTCACATGTTTCCGAACCATATTCATCCCCAGGCTTTTGATCAGATCAAGATCGTATAGCATGGCCTCCTCGGTCGGAGGCAAGTAGATTCCATCTGGCCAGTATCCTTGGTCCAGGGGCCCGAACTGAAAGACGAACTTGCCGTTCAGGAGCGGGCGCTGGATCCCGTTCACCACTCCCTTTGAGATCGTCCTGAAACCGGTGTAACTTGTGATTTGGTCGTCGCCCATTGTCACGCTGATGTTGTATAGCGTTGGGGAGTCGGGCGACCAAAGTTTGGGATCCGGGACCTGGAATGAGAACTCTTGGTCTGATGAGGCATCGTGGGTTGCAACTTCGATACCGTTTTCAAGGATCGAAACCTTCACCGGAGTCGTGGTCTTGCTGCTGGATACACCGTCATGGCCACTAGAACCACCGTCAGTATAACCATCTAACAGATCCCAGGTCAGTTACCTCACCATTCCCTTCCATATCTGCCGATACATCCAGATCCCCAATATAGTTATCCCCTGGGACACTCTCCATCCAAACAGACTGCCAAATCCCTGTGCACGGGGTATAAAAGATATGCGACGGCGTCCTCGTCTGCTTCCCATGCGGCGTGTAGAAGCCCGGCTCATCAGTCGGGTCCCGAACAACAACCTGCAACTCGTTCTTCTCTCCGTCATTCTTCAACGCATTCGTCGCATCAACCGTAAACCGGAAATACCCGCCCACATTATGCCCCAGCTTTTTGTCGTTCACGTAAACCACCGCCTCGTAATCGACTGCTTCAAAGTGTATCAACACCCTTCTCCCCGTTTCGTTCATCCAATTATCTGGGAACTCTAGCGTCCGCTTGAACACCATGCCGGTCACGTTCATCTCTTGGATCCCACTGAATCCGCTCTCGATGCACGAGGGGATCAGCGTCTCTTTCTCTTCTGTCGGCATCCCTCCCTCTCCTCCTCCTCCGTCGTAACCTCCTTCTACTTCCACATCAGGGGTAAGAGTGCTGATATCCACATTCATCCGCGCCGATGACGCAAAGTGAAGGTTCTGGTAACGCCAAATTCCGTTCAGGCTCTGCCACCACTTGTCGTCTCGCTTCAGCTGCGGGCGTGGGTGCTGCGGCCAGTGGTTGGACGGGTCGGCGCCCACGGAGGCCGTCCATTCGGTGGTGAGGAGGGCAGGCTGAGGCACGTAGGGCTGTGGTTGGCTTTCTCCGCTTCCGTTGGGGCCGCTGGGGATTTTGGGCGGGTTCGCTGCGCCTTGACTGATAGCGGATGCGTGGGAGAGGGGAGTAAAGAGGGTGAGGAGAGAGAGGGATAGGGAGAGGATGGAGAGGGGTGCCATCGTGGTATGTATTCATGCGGTTAACCCTTCAACTTTGCCGGTCGCCGGGAATGTGAGAGGCTGCGGGAAGAACGAAGCTCTTGGATTTAAATCTCCAAAACGGCGGGAGGTCAAGTATATGTCTGATTCCAGCTACATCGATCGGTTTGCAATAGGCCCCGCTACTCTTGAAACAAGATGGGATGGCATATATTGTTGGTCAACGCCCAGGTACATGGCGTACTGGCGAAGCATCAGGCAGGGCGACGGGTTACTCGACTCATGCCGGTCAGATACACAACTTCACTTCTTTCCAAGATCGTCGGTCAGGGGATCCGTTGACAAGGCTTACCTACATACAGACCATTGGAAGGATGATGAGCCCAGACTTGTGATCTTAAAGATCTGCATCTTTATTTGCCCTATCCAATTGCCGGGATCAAGTGCAGTCTTCCCTTTTCGTGGGGAAAAGTAACTGAACACCGACTTCTCCATGGCCAAGCATGACAATGGAACCAAACATTCCATCTCAACAAAATGATGATGGATCATGGGGTGTCAGTTCTGGAACTTCCAAGACCACGGCAGTCAGTCAATTAGTCAGTCAAAAGCAGCTCGGCCGAGAAACGGTCAACCGCAGACTCGTATAAGAATGTGATGACACTGCCCAGACAAAGAAAAGCAACATAAAGCGAGCGACTGGACTACCCGAAAAAAAAATCCTACGTTGTTGTTCAACGGTGATACCCAGTTCATGTTGTGCTTCGACGGTGATGCTGTGGTGTTGTGTTGTGGTTGCGTTGCAGGATATAACGGCAGTCTCTTCGCTCAACCACTCTTCTTAGCAGCGTCACGAGACACACACAAGATATTTTCGCCAAGAGGTATATGTACGCATGTTACCACTTCTCCTCTACTCGTAAGACATTCATCAAAGGCGCTAGCTAGGAAAATGAGGAGAGAATTCCATTGGATTGGTTCCTCTTATGCAGCTAATCCTGCCGTGCATATGCTCCTTTTTCACCAAAAACTGCCACTGAGAAATAAGTAGAAGAGGGAGATACCCTGTATTCATGAAGTCGCCGCTTTTTATGATGCAATGCCGTTACGTTGAACAGCCCTTCAGTTTAGACATTGGGCAAGAATAAAACAATAGAAGTTTGTTCACCTTGCTGAACGGTAAACAACCTAAGTTGAAGTTACAGTCCATGCTTACACGCAACCCTTTTCCACGTTCAGTCATACATACATACCTAGGTAGACTATAGGTAGTGTAATGGTAAAAAAAAAACGTCACCCCTTACCCCATTGGATATTTGGGGGAGGGTGACACTAACTTATTTTTTTGCCTTTGAGTTCACCTACCCTTTTCTTTGTGTCCCAGGGAGATTGAATCACTGCTCTACCAAGATACATACCAGTGGATGCGTGACCAAAATTTCAAGTTTATGCAATCAAACCAGGCGGGAAGGTAGGTCTGTAGGTCTGCATGCATGCTCTTTCACAACCATGGGCGAAATACCTACAGGTAATATTTGCTTGGCACTTTTGCAGGCCGTTACTACCTCTACATACCTACTAGGTATGTACCAACTATTCTACGCCCAATTTGAAGACCCCGGGAAACAACTCCGACAGCGAAGGTCCGGACACATGGAAAAAAAACCGAACAATTCCACTTCGGACTTATGTACATACACTACATCCAATGTCTCACTTTACCACGGCCAGCTCGCTTTAATACGGCAAATCATAGGTAGGCAACCTGCACGCGCTCCCTTGGCTTCTTTTCCCCAGAAAACCAAAAAAGTGAGACATTCCCACATGCTCTAGACTACTCCGCCTCTCCGCAGATGTGCGTAACGTACTACACTACCTACTACGACTCTCAAATCCGCACGCAGTATGACGATGAAGAAAAAAGTGGCGGCGGGACCTTGAATATCACTGAGCAGTGGTCTCTGTGTGGTTCGGGACACGTGGCCAGGCATTGAAAATTAGTTGTCTATCGAAGGGAGGTCGATTGCATTTAGTGAAGATGGTGTTGTTGTACACTACGGAGACTTAGATGCTGGCAGGTGTCGTTGAAGAGTGTTGATCTGCCGCTTTTTTTTCTCCCCCGCTGATCTGTGATCTTGGATGGAAACAGTGATGGGGGGTAGCTCGGTGAGTTGGTTTGAGCGTGAAGGAATTAGGAAAGGACATTGGAAAGTGCATGGCTACGTTGTTGTTCAGCACACTTTGTGGTGAACATCATGATCAGTGGGAATGTGTTTGGGAAGGAAAACTAATTAGTTTATCTTTCTCCTTCAAGGCTATCTAGAAAATGATCCATGTATACCCTCATAGCCAATAAAGGAACCAAGATGGCCCCATCATTGTCCTTGCCTACCCTCCTTACAAACACGCCTTAAGCTTCTCCACAAGCTCCTCAACAGACACCACTCCCTTCTCGGAGCTCTTGGTAAGCTCACTCTTCAACCACTCCCTAGCCTTATCAGCCAACATCTCCCACTCATCCCGCCCCTCCACCAACTTGGCCTCCAAATACGCCAACACCAAAGCTGTGGCTAGCATGTCCGTGTGCGGCATCGACACTCCATAGCACTCCTCGACTTTCACCTCCGTCAACTGGGACTGCCCCAAAATATCGAGCAACTTCTCTGTCCATGACCATGAGCCATCAAAGTGCTGGAGGCTTACGAGGGCTTCGAGAGGCTCAAGAGGTGTCGCCGTCTCAGGCTCGACTTGGGCGGGATCTGTTAGGTTGGTTAGTAAACTGGACTCTGGGAAAATAGTAGAGTATCTAAGGATTTGGTGCAGGGGATGGGGATCAGGGTAGGCTGAAAACTTACCTGAGCTGTTGGAGACTGGGAAGCCAAAAAGATGAGCTCCTGGGATCCTACGGGAAACGGCTGGGGCGCCGAAGCGTCCGCCTCCATAGCTATTGGAGGAAGTGGCTCCGAAGGCCGTATTTGAGCCCATCCTTGCTGCTGTAGTCACATACATGTCGTTAGAATCAGATTTACAAGTAGATACAGGCAGCTCAGCTTCCAATGGAATAAAGTAAGAGGATATGTCAGAATCAGGAGCAGAAGAGGATGAAACAGGAGCAGAGTACAAAAGATGTCGTGAAGAGATATTGAGTTGATCAGAAAGTGATTGATCACAGTAGAGAGCACTTGGTGCAGGACAAGGAGACATGGACATATCAAAAGAAGGGTGGTCCGCCAGATTGGAATACAAAGCGGTCGCCGGTAAACAATTAGAGGAAATGGACTTGCCCTTTTTCTTTCCAGGTGGACTTGCCATAGTTTGTGAATGATCTGCTGGCGGAGCCGGATTTACACTAAAGAGCGCCGAGCCAGGAGGCGATGCCGGGGAATATGAAGGCGATGCCGGGGAGTATGAAGGCAATGCCTGGAAGAGTGGAGCAGGCATTCTTTGAGTATCAAAGAGGCATTCCTCGACCAAAGTTTCCGTAGGAGACGAAGCTAAACGAGCAAAGGAGCGCCCCATTTTTCGCGACCTGACGACAGGCTTAGACCCAAAACTCTCAGTAGACTTGTCCGAGGCAGCTCCAGAAACTCGCTGATTCACTTCGTGCTCCGTCCGATCTTTCTCCTCTACCGCGACATAGCTGCACCACTTGCTGCCCACCTGAAAAGTGACCCCGAGCCTGACGGCTTCTCGCTCTACCATATCAGAGAAACGGCCCTCGTACTTATCCTTGAGCAGCTTCTGGTCGGGGTCACTCGAATCCGTCGCGTGGTATATCCAGCCGCGACCCTCTTCGAGTTCCTGTACCGCTTTGCGGGCGGCGAGCTGGTGGATTGTTTGGCCCTTCTCCTCCAGCACGGCGACTGGGATCTCAAGCTCGAGGGGCCCGTGAGCGGAAGTGGCGCGGAGGATAACTGATTTGGGTGTTTTCTGTGCTGTGCTAGGGGAGAGCAGAAGGTACACGCTAGTCCTGATGAAAGGGTAGAGCGGGGGGATGGTGAAAGGCGCTTGTAGGATTGTTGGTTCGGGGACTGCGGGAACGTGCGAGAACTTTTCTCCCAGAGATAAGTCCGCGTCGGCATCGGGCATCTCGATATCGAGATCGACTGAGGCGTCAAAGAGGGAAATCGGCTTGGCTGGCTCGTTTGGCTTGTCAGCGCCATTTGCGAGACGGATGGCCAAAGCATCGGACACCTTTTCGACGATTTCAAAATCGTCCATTTCCTCATCGATGGTCTTCGCTCCGGCGTCAGAGTCCTTGGCGTACTTGATCTCCAAGGTGTAGTCCTTGATATGAGGAGTCAGACCCGCCTTGAGCATCCTGACTACCTTGGCGTTCATCTTCTCGCTGTCGGTAACGGTCTGCGCAAACCCATTGCCAGCACGAGCGGCACCTTCGATGAGAGCATGACTAACATCATTGCCAATTCCCAAGGTAAACAAGCGGATTGCGCCCTGGGACTCAGACACCTTCTTGTTGATCATGGTGAACAAGTGCTCCTGGTTCCAGATCTCGCCATCAGTGAGCAAGAAGACTTCCAGGTCCATGTCTTTGTAGCGCTTCTCGAACGCAGCTTCGAGTGGTTGATACATCTCGGTGCCTCCCAAATCGGCATCCATCCGACTCACGTAGTCCATTGCTAGCCTGAGGCTCTCATGGTCATACGACCGAGAGCCATCACTGAACAGAAACTCATAAGTGGAACCGAATGAGCAAATGTTGAACTTGGCGCCCACGGGGATGGACTTTAGGAAAATTCGAAGAGCAGACTTGAGGCCTTCGATTCTAGCACCACCCATGGAGCCAGAGCGGTCACAGACAAAGACGATCTCGGGGCGTGTTGAGGGTAGATTGAACTTTGGCACCAGTGTCGCCATCAAAGCGCGCTGATGGGGAATATCAGTGTGTGTCTCAAGCAGAGCAATCGGATTGCCGGTGTTGGTGGCAACTACTTGCAGGATGAAATCCTGGGCAAGCTCTGCGGTGCCAAGGGCAAGGGTAGCGGAGGCTTTCTGCAATGACATATCAGTGCCGGCAGCTGCTCCAGAGGAGGTGTGACCGATGGTGACAGAGATGGGATGGGACGGGGACTGGATGCTCTTGATGTTTGAGCCCCCCGGCGTCTCAACATCGACAGTGATCTGGATGCCAGACTTGGTAACGGCTTGGGGCGCATCGAGAAGGGTACCAGGGAAATCACCGTAACGAGGAGCAACAGAAGCTGGAATGGTGTAGCGGATCCCATCCACCCCGGCGTCATTCTTCAGTTCGCCCAGATAAGTGATCTCCACCTTGAGAGAAGCACCAGCAGGGACGTTGCCGACGGTGGTGGTGAAGACATCACTAGCATTGGGAAGCTGTTCCAGCAGTCCGGCGGTTTCGCCCCTGTCGATGGCTTCCTGGTACTGTTTCCGTGCCTCATAACGCTCCTTGACGACTCCACGAATTACACGGTCTTCGTTGATAGTGCAGACAAAACCAACGACGGAGACGCCATCATACAGCGGAAACGTGTACCTCAGCTCTGGGATGCTCTTCTCGGCAGAGGGGTTGACAAATGTCTGCGTCAGAGTGGTTCTGCTTGACGAGCCTACAATGTGCGTGGAGACGGAGAGTTCTAGTTGGGGGAGATAGTGTCTTTGGATAGTCCAACTATTAACGGCTTCAGTGTAGTAAAGACCGGTAACATGGCCATGGCTAGTATGACCGTACATTTCAGGTCTTGTTGCGCCGAAAGGCCTGGTGAGATAAAGAGTAGGCGTTGAGATGATTGTATGGGGTACTTGTTGATTGGGGAAGTCTGAGATGCCGCGTTGTGGAGGAGATCAACTAGGGAGGGAAGGATGATAGCAGCCAGAAAAGATGAGGAATTAAAAGAGTCTGACTAGAAAGAAGTAGAGACTGGACATCGGTCTCCATCATTATATACCCGTTTTCCTTCACTTCAGACATACTCTGTTGTATGTGTACCGGTGACAAATGATTGCCATCTTTCCTCCGTCCCAGGTATTCTTGGCATATGTTTGCCCAGCTGCAATGCACTTGGCCGGTAACGTGTTCTACCAATCACGCAGTCACTAGCTGCCGCCGGCAGAAAGCGACAGCTGTCAGGCATGGCTTAGACGGGAAATACTCCGCTTTACAATCATGGAGCTAGGCAGCAATAAACAAGGGCAGTGTTCTATGGGCTCCCTCCTATGCACTGCCATGAGACTTGGGGTTAGACAGCATCACTACCGTATAAACTCGGTCCGTTGATTTTCAGCTTCAAAAGAAAGTTAGGCATAGTGAGTCATACACATGCCTGCCGAAAAAAAAAAAAAAAAAAAGTATCGTGAGGGAGATGTTGTCGCTTCCCGGAGCACTGTAGAGTTTATCCTTTTGGTGCTCTGTCTTTTCCACCTGTTTTCTTAAGGGCGCTGGAGGGTCGAAACATTCACATTCACCATCTTGCATTCAAATCCTGGTGGGCGTGAATACTTAGGGGAAAGCATGAACGTTTGTGTTGTAGCCATTCGAAGAATTTGAATTAAGTTTTTGTACCTAGAATCCCCTCCAGGGGAAAAAAGCAAGAGAGGGTATCATGATCCGTGAGTGTACTGGTATTACATGCAGTAAGAATGGAGGAATGTGTTGAGACCCGGTAACGAGAGGGAGAGAGGAAGATGCCTTCTCCTTCTCTTCGGTGCTGTGTGTGTGCTCGTGCTCGTAGGCCCCCTTCTAGTAAAGATTCCCTTCCGACATGCGAAGAGATAAAGTGGTCCTGGCCCTAGCCAGATGTAGCGAGAAAGTACCCTTACAAACCCATATTCCGACCCAATCCGTTCGCTCGCTTTGAGATCATTCGTTAAAGGATTACATATCCCTTCTGTACACATAATGTTGCCGTTCGTTGTTGTGTTATACTTGTTGGCGTTTGCCCTGTGGGTTCCTTGTTCCACAAAACCTCAGACCGTGCTAAAACAGCACAGCTATCACGTCAACCGTCTCAACTCGGACTCCGAGGTATCGAGACGAATTGTAATTTAATTGGGCTTGTGCATCCTGAGTACGTGCAAAAACCAATCCTCAATGGGGAGGAGGTTGAGAAGCACGTGGTTGAACTTCCAGGCGATTAGGCAAGCGCAAGCTCCGGCCACCGCATCCAGAACAAAGTGGTTGGCAGTTGCGACAATGGCCGTAAGAATGATGGCAGGGTAAACCATGCCGGTGAAAATGGCGACAAGTCTCTTCCACCCGAAGCGGCCCTGTCTCCTCAGGGGAACGGTGGCAATCGTGAGGCCGATGAGAAAAGAGTATCCGAAGTGCAGGGAGGGCATGGCAGCTAAGGACAAGAGAGTTAGCGCGAGCAGCTTCATTGTGATTTGCGAGTCAAGATCAAAACATACCGTATTGGTTGCAGAACTTGTTGGTAGTCCAGACACTGCTATCACCATCCTTTCCGTGCACGGTATCCACAAATCCATAGGACTTGGCCTCCTTCGCGTCCTCACCGTTGTAGGTGGGGTCGCTGAGGAGTCTGGGTGGCATGCAGGGCCAGAACGTAAATACGATAAAGGCCAAAAGGTTGCACATGGCCATGGTACGTCTCCGGCGCTCGTACACATCCGGGCCGAAGTGGTTGACGAAGTTGCGCCAGTCGCGGACAAGGGCGCCTCCACCATGGTTCTCGTGGATGCGGGCGCGGGGGCGAGTGGTGGTGACGTAGAAGAGGACGATGAGGAAGAGAATGGTGCCGGGAATGTGGATGAAGGAGTAGGTTCGGTTCGTCCACTTGAGGATGGTCGGGTGTCCAAGGAACCAGCCCTGGACGATGGGCTCGACAAAGATGCGCAGGCGCTTCTCCATATGAATAATTTGAAGGGCATGCTCGCGCGCGGTATCGACTGTGCTGGCCTTGAGAGTTACAGCTGTGAAGGCTCGTCCAAGTTGGTAGACCTGTCATGGCACCGTTAGCTTTGATTCGTGTGCAGGGGACGTGATGCGACGCTGACAAGCGCGACAGCCCGGGACTTCAGAGTGGCATACCCAGTAAATCAGAGCCCAGTACCACACTTCGACAAGGAAGGGGAACTTGCGCAGGACGCGGCTCAGTAATCGGTCGCGATGAATCTCGGTGTTCGGCGTGACGACCTCCCGTTCCCAGCCCATAAACTTTAAGGTGCGGAACCTCTTTCCGTATGGGAGATCCTTTTCGATCGCCTGGTTCTCTACCACAGTCGACGACGAACTGGACCGCGATGGGCTCCACGGCCTCCTACTATCGCTGTTGTACTCATCTTCCTCGACCTTGGCTTTCCTGCCTCCTTCGAAATTTTGCTCGTCGTTCAAAAGCGATGCGGATGGTAGCGCCTCGGGGTCGGTCTGATCGAGCGGGTGCCAAGAAGCTCTTCGGCTTGAGGCAGTTGAGCTGGTGTAGGTCGTGTTGCGATTGACGAGGGTACCACCGGCGAGGAGACCCACGACAATGCCGGGCTCCAATATGGCTCCGATCGCCATTGGCTCGGGTGCGAAACTCGGAGTGGAGAATTAGGTTTATAAGGCTGGACGGTAGGACTGCTTGAACGGCTCAAAAACAGTAAGACGGCTGTCCAAGGCTGTGAATTCCTTGAGTTCCAATGGGCGCGACCACAATCGAAAAATTCCACAAAGCCAGGAAATGGGCGAAGAAGGAGGGATGTCGCGGTGGTGTTGTTGGCGTAATTGACGACGAAGGCGGTACGTACAAGTGTAGAAGACCGCTATGGAAGGTGCAGTGTACTAATTGCGCTGTGTTGCGAAACCCGGACTGACAACGGTGGACAAGCAAGGCGACAGCGACAGCCACGAAAAAACAACCGGGCAACAGCGAAGAAAAAGGGCAATGAAAAGCGCAAAAAGTAGGCCCAAACGGCAAGGTTTGACTGGAGATGGGCTGGCTATAAAGGGCGGGCTATTCCACAGTGTCTATCGAATCTTGGCAGCTTGGAAGGTATGGATTCACTGCATCACATACTATGTGAGACCCAGCGAGTGGTGTCGATTAAGCCACTTACAGCCTTGGCGCTTGCGGTGCCCCATCGGCAGGAGGGAGTGGACGAAAGCGCATGGAGGCGCTGGCTTCGACCTGAGGCAAAGAGAGAGGGTGGAAACAAGGTGGAAAAGTGGGAGGTGGGCGCGCGGCCCGAGGACAAGGGGTGAAAAACTGCAGGGTAACAAAAGGAATTTCTTTTTTTTCTTCTCAAGGGGAAAAGAATGCTCGAGATACGCGGATCTCTGTCCAATTTTGGGAAATTGTAGGGATGGTCCCGTCCGTGACGTGTGCACGGCAAGGTGGGAGAGCAGAAGCGGTTTCTTGCCAAACTGAATCCTCAACAGTCCGGTCTTGTCTACCTACCATATACACTAGAGCAGGCACTATCCAGTCGTCACGTCTGCCGTTACCTGGCTACCCATTGATGATAGAAATATCGATCATATTGTACGTAGAGCTGTTACGGTGCTCACTGCGGCATTGTATGGTGTACACCGGCTCACAGGTAGCCATGAGTGATGACGACGCGGCCGCCCCCTTCCAATCTTTCCCCGTGTGTTTTACCGATTCGGGGCCCCGGTACACTAGAGGCGCCAAACTCCGTCGTCTCCACGGTCAAGCGGCGCCCGGACATTAACCTGACCCCGTAGAGGTAGCCATTGCGACTGCAGTGTGGGCATGGTGTCACACGACACCTCAACACTTTGTGTGCGCCAAGCAAATCCCCATACAGTACTAATCGTCATGACGCATGGCCACTGGTTGGGTGTCGGTGTTTGCAATCCCGTGCACAAAGGGCTGCCAAGGCACAAAGCCCCCTTCTTTCAATAAAATGCGAGGGTGACCAGTAACACAGCGCACCGGTGTTAGAGCTTCGTCGACCTAACAAACCCCCAACCAACGATAACTAGATCCCGCGTCTTCCTTGGGACCCCTTACATGTGGGCGTTGACATTCCATGTCCGGGAGCTTTTCGTTTACTTCTTGCCAGAATGCGCACAGTTTTGCGGCACGAGATGTGCAGGAACGTCCTCCGACGGAAGTTTGAAGCATTCGTTTCCTCTCCTTTTAGGGCGGGCAACCCTGCAGAGACTTTGAGGAGTAGAAGGAGGCAATCAAGCCGGCCAATCAGCTGTTGCGATTTCTGCATCTAAAGAGCAATGCCTCACGGTGCCTATGCATGCCCAGCTTTCAAGCTCAGATGATGATTGACTGAAAGTTAACAAGGAGACATATCGAATTTTCGATTCGCGAGCGAGTGGACGAGCCTGATAAGGACAACCTTGGTACACGACTATCACGACCAGGAACGGACGCTGCTTGGGGGGCTGCGGATGCCAAGAGCTTGCTTTTGCCGAAAAAAAGATGTCAAAATAAGCTCTTGGCGCCCCACCGTCCCCAAGCAGCTTTGCCGAGATCCGCTTTATATGGGGCCTGGCTGCCCCCCTGCTGAAAGGACAGCCAGGCTCGCAAGGTCCGTCGCCGACACCCCGACCCCGTCGGCTCGCAGTTAATTACCTAGTTCAGTTGTTATCGTGAGTTGCTCACAACCAGAAGCATACTCTCAGAAAGTAACAGCATAGGTCCCATTCCCAAGCGGGGAAGAGTACCTAAGTGTAGCGAACAAAGCCATGAAGCTTTGCTTGTATGTACTGGTCCGTGCCCGGTACCTGACAGGGAGACAAGACTGGACTTTGGCTCGCAACCGCAGCAAAGGTCCGAGGGACCGGTCGAACAACCTCGCCTGTCCATCCCCGGCTCCCCAGCCGTATGGTTTACCTAATCGATGATCATGACGACAGAGACATGGATCGGGGGGAAACGGCAAGCCGAGGCCTGACAAAACAAAATATTCCGCATTTCCTATCAACACACAACGATTGTTCGTAGAAACAAAAAGAAACTGAAATGTCAAAGGGACGGTCAATCCTCGAGCGAATTGGGTACATACCTGCCATTAGCTGTTATGTTGGTATATATTGCACAAGTCACCTTCTCAGTGCACGATACCAAGTTATGTACATAGTATGGGTATGCCCCGTAGTTCTGCAGGGTATCATCGTCACAGAAAAGTAATTATTGCGAGATCACGGCAAGCAAGACATCTGAACTGAGGGACTTCTTATGTAGTTAACTAGCTTGTAGGTAACTGTAGACAGACGAATATTTGTCCACTTGGCGATGGATAGATTAGGACCTGTATACATACTATTCTCACGTGCGCACGCCTCTGTATTCAGCGTTCATTTACATTACGCGGCATAGCATTACTTAGACACGAGCAATTCCACCGGAAGTTCTAGCATCTCGTGCATAAGTAATAATGGTCCGCCCTTGACATAACGGTATCGTAATCGTACACAACTTCCAATAAAACGGAGAGACCTTGCGTTCCGAGACCGAGCTCCGAGTCCGGTCGGCGTGCCAGACCCCATTCTTTCCCTGCGAGCCCCTGGAGCGGATCTCCAAGGAACATCGATTGCCGCGCTGCCGTGGGCTGCTGTCCTCCATGTCTTCCATTTCAGATTCGATTTTTAGTTCAGAAGCATTGCTCCATTCTCTCAATCCACCACCTCATTTTGGCCATTGCACGACAATCTTTGGCGGCCCATGATGCCAGCGGATTATCGCATTGAAGATCGCGGGTCCAGCACTCCAGAACGGATACCATAGTGCCACGTTGCGGCAACAGCTGACAACGCGGGGATTTGCTGCCGGGTTCCTGGGGGTGGCCAATGTCGCTCATGTTTCTAAATGTTTGACTTTGCGCTGACGGGCAGCTGGCGCTGTGGTCGGGGAGGGGACAGAGATCCCGTTATCATACATCCCGTCGGAAAAAGCATTCGTTATCCAGCCAATCAGCCATACATTCAAGTTACACAGCAACTGCTGTGAGAATCGATGGGTCCCATTTCCGTGCATCCCCGGTCTCTTTCCCCCTGCGTCTGATGTTCGGCGTCTCTTCCATGGTCTCGACAATATTCCTCCTCGACACTTGATTTCATATGAAGGGCCCAGAGCAAGCCATAGAAGTGAAGTGCTCGAGAACCATACACACTTGAAGATGACAGTGCAGCTCAATTCCATGCGGTTGCTAGTATCTCCGAATTGCCGGATCGAGCTGATACCGCCATCAATTAAAATCTTATAACATGGCCATCGTAAGCAGCCAACCGATAAGTAGAATCCTCACTCTAATACTCGGTCTAGCGGTAAAGCAGTCCTATGATATACTCAAATGAAATCCGGATAGATCATATACGGTGTGGCTCTCGAAACCAAACGTTATGCGACTGGACCATCAACCACAAGACATCAACCACAAGACGTTGCTTCTGGGGATTTGAGTTTAGACGAACTCTTCTGTACCTTGCGTACTACCCGGATGTGGAAGCTCAACGCTGTATTCCTAGGTAAGCTTGCCTACTCGCGTCTTGTGTCCGCCATGGTACATAAAGATCATACGAAGTATCCTAACCCCCACAGCTCTTCACCCTGACTGTTTGCCCGGTTCTTCACCAAATTGTACCTCAAGATCCAAGACCACATCCTCCCCTTAGTCAACCCAAGAGCCGTGACTCTATAACATGTCCTAGACAATTTCATCACGCACCACCAGTCAGCCATGATCTCACTAAAAACATTTAGTCACCAATATTGATAGCCAGTGGTCCTCACATAAGCCACAAACCACAAACCACAACCAAAACAAGTCTCTTGGGGGCGGGATACCCAACTGCAAAAGTCGAAAAACATTTTGCAATCCTCAAACTCCAAAAACCAGATATACGAAAAGGGTGAAAAAAAAAGAAAAGGAAAGAATAAAAACACCATTTCAAGAAACAATACACACCCCCGTCACCGATCCCTTGGGCGGATACTGATGTCCCTCCTTCTCGATCCTAGGCTCGCACTTGCACCACTCGTCCTTCGGCACTCCATCCATGATCTTGGGGACGTGGTGGCCGCAGCCTACCCAGGTTACGCCGTCTACATGTACGAAATGTTCATCAGCGACGGGAGTCAGCAGAGTCGGCAAAGGAAGATTAGGTAGTTTATTATTAAAGTGAGTGAGTTAAAAGTGAGGATCAATGGGATAGGTAGGTAGAGGTACGGCAAGTGTACGTTAGACAAGCAGGATTGATTGATGCCCAAAACCTAGGTAGGTAAGACGGAGGAGGGGATGGTGTGTGAGCAGAAAGAGGGTTTGTGTTTGGTCGCTGTTGGTTTGTGGGCTGATGAGGTTGTGACCCAAGCAAGCAACGAACCAAGGATAGGTAGTTACCTATCTAGGTAGGGACCGGAAGAGCCGGGAATGATGGAAGGGATGGGATGGATGGAAGAGATGGGCCGCAAGTGATAGGACAGCAGGTCAACTTACGGCAGACGGGACATGCTGTTTTGTGGCACATGTTGGGTGAGATGAGACCCGGTGGTTTGTTGAGAGCTTGCGGATCTTCAGTTCGCTAGGTGGTAGCAGTGGTTCGGCGAGTGTAAACTTTCTTGGGAGATATCTCTCGCAAAATGTACTTAGCACAAGCCGAAAGAGATGTAGTATGTGGTGCCTCGGTCTAAACCAACGGAAAGGCTGTGCTCTCAGCTTAGGCTCTTCCACTGCCAAACCAGACATATGCGAAGAGCTCGGCCGCAGCATGACGTATGAATGATGAGGTGAGCCAAAGCACTGGAACTCCGCCTCGATGGTTCAAAATATCTTTTTACGTCTCCATGAAAGGATCAGCTTGGGAACTTTCAGCATATGCGAGTTTCTAATAAGCTTCTTGTCCTCTTTTCTCGCGAATAACGAGTGCCTTGCCTACCTCTACGTACATATTCTTCTCGTTTAGTTCCTTCATCAGCGACGGCCGCGGTGGTAGTCCGGACCAGGAGAAAAAAAGTGAAACAGCCTTAAACACTTCACTTTGTCTGGTTTGCGACTGCCTCATAGAGTGGACTACTTATCTTTTGACGGCTGGTTGACGAGGCCAGAGCCTGTCCATAGAGTAGGTTATCCGAATCATGACTGGTTCTTCCGGTTTCATCCATTGGGGTTTCGGTTGTTTACCTTAGCTTGGCCTAGTTGAAAAGCTGGTTTGCACATTCTCTACTAGATTCTCAGCTTTAAGGAGAGGGTGACCGCGATGTAGAGGTAACTTACCGGTTCCTGCGCTTTCCTTTCCCGGGGCCATCGAATCTGGGATCCATAAACATGGGCAAATTGCTTCTTTGTATCGCTTCCAGTAGCTCTTGGTTAATACGGTATCAGCGTTTCGTTGACCGTCAGCGGTGGTAAATGGGCTTGAAGAGGACAGAAGTTACTCGTCGGTCTAGATAAGAAATACCTACTTTTGATTCTTGGAGAGGCTGGGTTGACCCTGGAGCGATGAGCTCGAAACTGCTCTCCTTCTCAACTCAAGATACAGAAGACAAGCTAATTGCTCTGAGCTGATGTAGAAGTCAATGTATTGCCCTTACGTTAGTTGCTTGCGGTGTTGTACAACCAAACCAAAACAAATGATCGGAGGGTATAATGTTCTACCGCAGCTTTTGTGTGTATCTTAACCACTATACTACCTAAGTGAACCCCCGGACGAGATATTTTGCGCGGCCGTGTGTCGATCCTCTTTCAAAACACCAGACGCCAGTCCCAGATGCAAAATCAGATGTAACGCAATCCCTTTACAGTTGCCGCCCAAGAGACTAGACATATAATTAGACAAATCAAACCATCACCCTCTTCACTCTTGCGCTTAAACCAGGAGCACAGCGTTCAAGCATCCGTCGTTCTGTTGGAAGTTAAGGGTTAGCAATTCGTCCATGTAGAGTTAAGAGGCGGGGTTGTGCTAGCCATACCTCAGGGTTGTTGGTGATCTGAGCATAACGACCCCAGGCAACTTTGCCCGACGCGGTGACCATGCCAAGATCGGAAACGTTGACCTCGATAATGGTACCCTTGGACAGAACACCAAGCTGGGTATAAAGGGGATTGCTGGGGTTCTTCTTGACGCCGAGAATGGGGAGCTGGACCGTGACATTGAGGGTAGGGTGGGTGACGTTGGCCTTCTTGTAACGGAGACCCATGGGCCGGATGAAGCGTTCGTACTTGACTGGGCGTCTGGTGAAATCGGGTCCGACGAATGTTGGCTTAGTGACGACGCGCTTCCAGCCCTTCTTGTGCACCTTCTTGCCCGTCTTGACGACCTTGAAAAGCTCCTCTTCGCTGATACCCTTGACCTTAGGAATAGGGACCGAGAAACGAGCGGCCTTCTCGGCACGCTTGCTCTTGATCTGGGAACTGCACGAAGAAAACGGTCAGTCTCTCGTCATCGTATGGGACCCTTTCCAACCTCCATGACCACTGCCATCATCGCAATCACATTGGCCTCCACCTCCGCCTCGGCTGTTCGCTTCTCATGTGTCCTCCCATTCAAGTGACGTACCTCAAAGCCTTCGCACTCGTGGGGTTCGACCGGTCGAGCAGATAAGCGGGAACGGGGTTCGAAGGGTCCTTTTCCTCGGGGGCGCCCTTGACATTGCGCTCCTCGTGCTGCTTGATGGCCTTGCGCATCTGGATCTTCTGGGCATGACGCTCCTTGGCAAAGAGCTTGGCCCTCAGGCCACGCAAGTTCTGTGCATTCTCGCTCTGCTTGTGACCCTCACGGGCAGCCTTCTTGCGTGCGCGCTCCTCGGTGTCCAGACGCTTACCGTGCAGCTTCTGGGCGCGTTCTGCGAAACGAGATAATCGGTTAGGGACTGGGAACAGGTCGACGGTATTCAAGATCGAGTGCGAAGGAAACTATACCGATGTATTCGTTCTGAGGCTGTATTCAGGAAAACGTCGGTTAGCATGGTCTGCTCTCAAGTGATCGGAAGAGGTCATGATGTTGAGGAGAGTGGCTGTGGATTGAGAAGGGCAATTCGAACATGATATCCGTACCATATTGGTGTTTTAGGCCCTTGAAAGGTCTTGCGGTTCAAGATATGTGGCAACGCAATCTGGCCTTTAGATGTTGTAGGGCGACGAAGGGCGACGAGAATGACGATGCGGTTTAGGTCAATATGCTTCAGTACCTCTACCTATGCGAATGCCTGCTGAACGGACGTCTTGAAGCCGATAAAAAAACCATTCAAGGCTAGCTTTCCTTATCGGGCGGCTCCTCCAGTGGCGGAGACCCGTAAAAAGGTGGACATAGTGGGGCAGTTTCATCCCCTGTCATTGGTTGATATCTCCTTAACAGATCCGTGCCATGTCCAGGAAAACGTGGAGTGGGTTCGGATGAAGGTGCCAGCCAGCTGCAGGGCATTGGAAGTGCACCGCGGCATCCAGAGCCGCCCGTTGAGGACGAGAACCTTGATGGAAGGCCAGTGGACAACTTCTTTTAGATCTGGAGATCACCTTACCATTCGTAGAATGGCTCCTGCAACTAGGTTATTACCAAGGGACACTAGTTGTGTAGCTCGCATAACCCGCTTCAACGAGCACAGTAGGTATGTCAACAAAGGTAAAACCCAAAGACGTGGTATGCTTGGGGGTCTGAAGATATCTAGATACGCTACACCGTGTCATGACAACCTATACTATAATCCGTCCGACGGGCTCTATTGCCAGCCAACGCCCGCCAATGAAACCGGAATCCGTGCAAAATGACTAAACTCCAGACGCTGATGCAAAATGTTTCTGGGTGTCCGTCCTGTCTTCCAGCCAACGCCATTGCAAAACCGTCTCCAAAAAACGAATTCCTGCCTTGGAATTATCACGATGCGCCGAAACCTTCCCAATTTAGAGGCAAAAGAAAGAAGGAGACACGCCACGCAACCACGACATATCAGCGGTCTCCGGCTCTGGACTTGAGTTTTGCAAGTGCTGCCCGCTTTCTTTCCTCCTTCTCGCGCTTCAACTTCTTCTCCAGCGCCTCCTGCTCCATGTCTTCTCTGCGAGCCTGCAACTCTGCTCGGCGTTCCTCCGCGTCGATGTCGGACAATCCTGCCTCCATGTCTGAGTCATCCTCTTCCAGTGACTCGTAACCACCGCGACGACCATAGCCGTACCCATCGTCCTCATCTTCGTCGTACTCGATAAAATCGTCCAACTCTTCATCCTCCTCCTCGCGTCTCCGGGGACGTGAGAATGAGGCGCCATAACCGGACAGCCCACGGCCCCTACTCGCGCCTGCCGAGGTGGATGTTCCTGCTTTTGTGGCGGTGGCCCCTGGACGGGGACGTGCCGTGCCTTGGTATCCAGTCGTCGCTAGAGCAGCCTTCTTTACCTTCTTCTCCTCCACGGCATTTTGGCCTGTCTTGGACTTGGCGCCAGCCGGGGCTGAGGGGGTGATGCTCCGCTGACGGTTCGCAGTCGTGCCGTTGGTACCATTGCGGGTTGGCCCAGCTGTCACACCGCTCCTCCCGGTAGTCGGTGGCCTTACATCCTTCTTGCCCTTCTTCGCTTCCTCGGCCTTTAGTTCCTTGCGTTCCTTTAGGGTCAACTGCTTCTCCACCTTCTTGTGCTGAATCTTCCCAACGGATGACAGCATGGGCTGATTGGCCTGGGCCCTTGCCATGATCTCTGCATACGAGCGTTTCTTCGGAGGTCCAGAGCCGGCGACAGGAGCGCTAGAGGCGGGTCGGCTGACGAGCGGTCGCGAAAGTGGAGCCTTATTCCCATTCGAGCTTGTCCCTCCCACCTTTGACTGCGTCGATGTGGTCTTGGTTAACACCGGAGCTGTTGGTTTCGTGGACGAACGTGGTTGCGCGGTGCCAGTGTAGCCAGTTGTTTTTTCCGCGGGACGCGTTGGGTTCGCATTTCCTGTGGGGCGCTCCGTCGGTCGGTCGGCGGGGCGCGCTGTAGAAGGTTTCGATACGTTTCCATTCGGCCGGGCACTTCCATTTGTCGCTGATTCGGTACGCGGGGCCTTTGGCGCAGAACCTCGAAGGTCATCGTCGGCCTTCCGTTTAGATGCTGCTGGGACATCTTTCGTAGAGATCGATGATGACGACGGCTTTTCGCCCGTTATCGATGCAAGCAAATCCGAAATCTGCACACGTGTCAGCCAGCCTTTTAAAGGGCAAGCGCACTAAAAGAATGGCAACTTACCGGCATGACTGCGGTTGTATCGGTGGAATAACCTTCTTTTTACCAGCTTTGCTTATCCTTCTCCTGCGTTCAAAAGACGGAGAGTTGTCCAGGCATCGAACAAGAGGAGAAGGAAGTAGGTGGCAGGGTTTTATATGCTTTCGTCACAGATCGCCTTCCGCTGACGATGCAGATGCACAGTGGGACAGGCGCGAATGCTTTGGCAAAAAAAGACGGCGAAGAATGAGCGCGAGTATGCGAGGTCGCCAGTCGCCCGATAGTGCCGAAACCAAGAATAAGAATTGGGCTGTAGATGGGTTGTTGGCGAAAGAAGAACAAAGAATCCTGCGTGATCGGGGACTTGGTTTCGCAACTTTTGCTACCTAGGCAGAGACAGAGACGGGAGCCAGGATGGTCAGCGTAGTGAACGACCCACCCAGTCACTTCTGGTCGGAGCGGTGAATCGCGGTCTCCGAGGTCAAAGTCACAGGCCCAGACGGTCCAGACCAGCAGCGTGCCAAGCCGCACGTCACCGAAAAGTTGTGTTTATTGCCAAGAGCGCCCAAGGCGTTATGAATTGGCCAGCTTTTTATGTAATTGCAAGCGGCCGGCAGGCAATGACGGAGAGGAGCTTGGCGAGAAAGAACGCACGGGATCTGCCCTAAGTCGAGTGGATTGGTCAGGTGATTTGAGGCTTGTGGGCTTTCGTGGGGCGCAAAATTGCGGGGCTTCACAGGAACGAAATTGTAAAAATAATCCGTGATCCGGTCCCGTCCGCGAACTTCTTTCCGAAACAGTGAACTTCCACCCCCAAGAACCTAAGAAGAGTCTTTCTCCGCCACAACTCAGCGGTTAAACCTGATTGACATCTCTGGTTCTCCAGCTCAGTAAGTTTTTTGGTCCAGCCTTCCACAGCCGTAGGATTTCCGTCTAACAACGCGACCTTCAAGACAGACAAAATGAAGCACTTGGCCGCTTACCTCCTCCTCACCCTCGGTGGCAACACCGCCCCCTCTGCCGCTGATGTCAAGGCCGTCCTTGAGTCCGTTGGCATTGAGGCCGACTCCGAGCGCCTTGACAAGCTCATCTCTGAGCTCGAGGGCAAGGACCTCGACGAGGTACGACCATTATCTGGAGAGCAAACTTGAGTGTTCGGCGCACATAGCTAACACGATATAATACAGTTGATCGCTGAGGGTTCCGCTAAGCTCGCTTCCGTCCCCTCCGGCGGTGCTGCTGCCCCCGCTGCCGGTGGTGCCGCTGCCGCCGCTGGTGGCGCTGCTGAGGAGAAGAAGGAGGAGAAGGTTGAGGGTAAGGACACATTCAATCGCTTACGCCGTCGCATTCAGCTGCTAACTGTCGGGTACAGAGAAGGAGGAGTCCGACGAGGATATGGGCTTCGGTCTCTTCGACTAAGCGTCTCCTACCATTGTCCGGTAACATGGCATGGTATTTTCCGAGAAACCTTGACGGATTGTACACGCGGTTCAAAAGTCACCTGCATCACATTCGCCTCGACGGCGGCAGCAGAGCTGGAGTTCTTGGGATTACAAGGGCACGTCTTTTATGAGGGCGTCAAACGGCACATAGGCGGAACAATACAAGTCGCAAGGTTTTCTTCGGACCTTTTTGTCCCTTCGTGATCATATGTGTGCGTGCTGCGCTGTTCTGGACATCTGCGCCTGCAGCTAAAATTGCTGGGAATATGCTGCCTGGACATGCATGTGTTGTGAGCTCTTCTTTTTTTCCGTTTCTGTCATCGCACTAATATGGCGTCCCAGCGGCGACGCCCTGCGAGAACGTTGGTAAACAAACCCCTTGACTTCCACTTGACAGGAAGCTCCATTGTCGTCTCCATATCCATTTATCGATACGCACGGTTGCATGTGGCTTCTTGAAGTCGGGCTTCCCTGTTGTTTTTGTAGTTGCTGTTGTAAACAAAGCTTGGCAAGCTCATCACTGGAGTTTGCGTTTCCCAGGGAAAGGATCCATTTCAGCGGTTGCCGCGAGCAACCATGCAACATCACCCCGTGTTTTGATTGGTCGCAGCTCCACAAGTCAAAATACTCGCTCCTAGCGAAAGCCAACAGTCAGCACGCACCCAGGACCCCAATCCAGAGCGAAACCCCCCATCGTCTCCTCTAGCTTCCGTCCACGACATGCTTCATTCGCGCCGCACCACATGATTTCTCGCTACCCTCGTTATTCTTGGTTCCATGCGCTACTCTGGCACGTAGATTCGCAATCGCCCACGCAGCCCTGTGCTTATTAGGTATCATTTCCTTCGATTTTGGACTGAATTTAAAAAGGCGGCAAACCAGGCGCAAAACAAGAGCAGGATCGTCCGTGGCTGCGAAAGACGGGCAAGGTTCCAAGCTCGCAACAGGACGAAAAGTTAGGTCCACCCAAAGCCGAGCCAGCGCATTTGCAACCGCAACCAAAACAACAGGGGCGGTAAACAAAACACATGAACGACATGTCGTCCATTTCGCCAACGCCCATGGGCGGTGGCAGCCACTTTACGTCTATGGGGAGAAGGACATCCGCTAGACAAGCTTTGCGACGTCCGCCATCGCGGCCCATGCTCAATCGCAGCGAGTCGAACCCCCAGTCGCAATCTCAACAGTATTCCAACCTCAACGACAGCTCGGACGACGAGATCCCCGTACCCATGAAACTCAGCGCCTTAACCAAGGCTCTGCTTAACGACGGCCATGCATCCGAAGCCTCATCTTTTGCGCAACATGGCGCTCCAGAGGATCTGCATTTATCACCCCCAGCTCGACCACCATCACGCGTTACTAGAAGAAGCGCGTTGTTGTCGTCAAAGTCGGAGGAAAGGTCGGAAGGTGTGAGGACGCGGGAAGCGAGGCGGAGTATCAGAGGAGGAAGCCTGCAGCCCATGGACAGGCCGACGTCGCCAGTCCAGAACGACAGCAGCAACAACCGCGATGGCAGCCCGGTACCTAGGAAACGAGTGGTCCGCCTCAGCAATCCCGTGCAGGGTCCAGTCAGTTTTTCAGGAAATGTCCGGAGACTCTCATCAACGACGGCAAACCAGAGGAGAACCAGGACGGAGAGCAGGGAAAGAGAGGTCGAGAAAGAAATTCCATCGTTTCTACAGCAGCAAGGAGATGCAGGATCAGATTCAGCGGGAGATGCCCAAACGCCCGTGATCAGGACGGTCAGGATTGCGGTTGGCTCTGGGTCTTCAGGCAGCAAAGGTCGGATTTCTCTAGGGGGAGGAGGAGGGTCGTCGGGTAGTTCGTTCGCTGGTGTTTCCGGGAAACGCGGCACAGGATATAGTGATCACGAAAATCCCGAGGATCCTGCAACCATTGGAAGGCCACAAACGGTAGCACCACAAAGCTCAATGCGTATCAAGAGAGTCGCAAAGGTTCCAGGGAGCTTTCTCAGCGGTCCAGCGCGGCGAGGGCGGAGAAGGCAGAGCGATGAGGACGAGGCAGCACATGGAGAAAACGAAGCTATGGGCATGAACCAAGACAACGATGGGAATTACGAGAGCCACATGCAGAGTCATGTCGAAGCCGCTATGGGCGAGCAACATTTGTCGTTCTATGGGTCCAACAACAACTATCGCGACTATGCCGCATCCGGAAGTCCTGTTAGCGGCAAAGCTGGAGCGGTGCGCAGGCGAGAATCCAACGTCAGAGCGATGGAAAGAGATAACGGGGAACTGGGTTACAAGATCGCTGAGCCTCATCCAGATATGCCCATGAACAACGACAAGGAGAACGAGGCACCGCCGACCTTCAAGAGGGCCAAGCTGACCCCGTCTACAATGCTCGATCACGAGATCCCGAAACCGGTAATCCCCGAACCCATGGCCCTTGACATTGGGCGAGACATTGGGCGGGATCTTAAGAGGCTTTCGATTTCACCCGACCGCAAAGCCCTGGCGCATAAAAGTCAGAACACACCACACAGGCCGGCGCCTCCACCTCCACCAAAGATGTCAGTTGTCGAGACTGCAACAGCTGCGGCTGGAGCTTCTGCGACTGCTGGGGCGGCCAAGAAAAGGCAGGTCCTTTTGCGAGTGAACGGCCGAACATACACCCGCATTGACTGTATTGGAAGGGGTGGTTCTGGCAAGGTTTACCGTGTTTCCGCTGAGAGTGGGAAGATGTTGGCCTTGAAGAGGGTGTCTCTTGAACATGCCGACGAAAATACCGTGAAGGGCTTCAAGGGCGAGATTGATTTGCTGAAACGTTTGAACGGTGTGGAACGGGTCATTCAACTCATCGACCATGAGTTGAATCTGGAGAAGCAGGTACTCAGTGTGGTAAGTAATTCATCAACTCCAAAGGATTCGTACTGAGTACTAACCCCACCATAGCTCATGGAAGTAGGCGAACTCGATTTCAACACGCTTCTTAAAAGCCGCCAAAGCACTGCAGAAGGCGCTCGTCTCGACCCAACCTTCATTCGGTATTACTGGAAAGAGATGCTCGAATGCGTGCAAGCCGTGCACGCCCGCGACGTTGTGCACAGTGATCTCAAGCCGGCCAACTTTGTCCTTGTCCAGGGCCGCCTCAAGCTCATCGATTTCGGCATCGCCAACGCCATCCAGACCGAAATGACAGTCAACGTGCACCGAGAAACGCAAATCGGCACGCCCAACTACATGTCGCCCGAATCGTTGATGGACTCGAACCAATACGCCTTCACGTCCGCCCAGAACGGCAAGTTCTGCATCCCGCCGCCGCTGAACCACCGCCAGCACGGCGCGCCCAAGCTCATGAAGCTCGGCAAGCCCTCGGACGTCTGGTCGCTCGGCTGCATCCTGTACCAGATGGTGTACGGCCTGCCGCCCTTTGGTAAGATTGCCAACCAGATGTCGCGATGCCAGGCCATCATCAACTGGTCGTACCAGATCGATTTCCCGGAAGCCACCGAGGACGGCAGCCGCGTGCCCCCCTCGGTCATCCGCACCATGCGCCGATGTCTCAACCGCGAGCAGCGCGAGCGCCCCACGTGCGACGAGCTGCTGGCCGACACGGACCCGTTCCTGTACCCGCAGGAGTTCGATCCGTCAGTGTACGCGGCGGCGGAGCATGGCAGGGTCCTGCCTGTCACAGAGGAGCTATTGTCTAGGCTTATCCAGAGTGTCGTGCAGAGATGCAAGGAGAGGATGCCCACGGAGGCGGAGGTGGTGAACACTTGGCCGCAGGCGTACTGGGCGACTGTGAGGAAGGCGGTCATGGGTGCCGGCAATAATGCTGGTGGAAGTGGAGGTGGGAGTGGGGGTGGCGGCCACCAAAGGTAGTAACTCGGAGGTCGTTTTCTTCTCTTACCTTTTCTTGTTGTTTGTTGTTCACACATGTTGGAAGATGGATGGATTGTTCTTGTTAAGCGTTAATGCTTGGATACGATACCCTTGTTGTTGTCGGAAGTTTCTGTTGGATACCCCCCCGATCAGACCTCGGTTGGTTACTGGGAGTTTTGTATAGATTCCTACCACAAGACGTGTGGCGGTTAGGAAGCAAGCGATTGCGTCTGGGAGCGGCTATGTTCGGGTTTGTTCTGTGACTAACGAATGATGGATTAAACGGGTTATTGATATCGTGTTCGCTGAACACCATGTCTATCTGGTCGCACGCACGGGTTGTATAATGGTGGAAAGTTGGCCGTTATTATTTTCTTTGTGTGGAGCTTGCTTTGTTTCTCTTTTTACTACTTGTTAGTGATGAAGATTATGACTGGAAAGGATGCATTGGATTATTGGTGGGCGGGCGTTTCCGTTCCTTTTCCCTGACTATAGCTTTATTTCTTATTTGCTTTAAACCGTCCATATTGTCATTGTTCAGAAGCTCTGTATCAGGACAACTCGATAGAAGCGTTTAGTTATCCGTCTCATTGCTTCTCCCTTGCTGAATGATAAATTTCATGTACTATGTCGTAGCGATAGGCTCGACTTGTTTTAGTGTTCCCAAGGAGGCCAGAGTGTAAGCCTGTTTCAGCGATGATGGTTTGGATATCAACATTTGGCCCAAAAACTCAACGCTATGCTTCAACCATCTTCGAAGTAGTCTTCCTTAGACTGCTTCGACCTCTGAAGACATAACAAACTTCATCAAGCTCAATATGCACGCTTGGTACTAGCCATGATTCCAATCCCCATTTTATAATATGAACAAGAACAAATATGATACATGCCGAATATGTCGGTATATCCCCTTGATCTTACACAACTAGTCTATAGTTGATCTGTAATCACTCCCTTTCTAATCGAAGGACATACAGATGTATGACAGAAGAAGCCCAGGCAGGCCTTGCTACCCTTTTCTAAAGACCTCGGCTTCAACGAGCAGTGCTTGATAAATCCCACCGCGTCCGCCATCTGTTGCACATTTGGAATCCATCCAGCAGCAGCAAAACATTGGAAACTTCCTCCATCCCCATTGTCAAGTGTTTGTGTGCTATCCGTGTGCCATGCGGTCGGCTGTTTTGGGCTGAACGGTGTTGTTCGATATTGGCCTGCCCGGGGTTGTCGGCTTCCTCCTCTCCTTCTCCCCTCCTCCACTATTTATCCACCACCCCTTGCCCCATCATCTCCTTTCAACAGTGGCATTCCAGCCTCACTGTTTTCTGCACCCTCCCTTCTTTCAGCAGTAGCAACCCACTGTGACCCATTCAAAGGCTCGACACATCATTGATCTTCAACTGGTTGATCCTGAGAACCGTGTACTTGTGCTTGCTGAAAACATGCTTCTTCTTCCTGCACCTCCGCTTCTTCTTGATCATGACGCGCATCGGCTCGCTCTCGGTACCCATGACAATGGCGCGGCACTCAAACAGGCGCTCGTCCACGTACGGCGCGCCCTGGAGGGTCAGGTCGCGGCTGCCGATGACCGAGGCCCGGTTCAGGCGCAGCACGTCGCCAGGTGCCACGCCGGGCATCTTGAACGGTAGCTTCACCGTGTCACCCTCGGTCACGAGGTACGGCTTGCCGTGGATGTGGATGGTCGTGTAGTGGCCCGGCTGCGCGGCGAGCACGGGGAGGAGCTCCTTGACTTGCTGGCTTATCGGGGGTTGTTGAGAAAATGGTGTGCTGGTGGGAACGGCTGCGGGGGCCTCTGGTGGTGTGGCGGTAGTGACCTTTGATGGGCTGGCCTTAAGCAGGGTGGCGGCAGCAGCAGCAGCATCGGACTGGCTGGTAGGCTCAACTTGCTGGGCAGTCTGGTGGAGGAAACGAGCGGCGGGCGCGGCGGCGGCGGCGGCGGCGGCGGGACGGAAGGGGAGGAGGAAAGATGGTGGGAGGCACGTGACGGGAGTGCGCAGCTCCAGGACGGAGCGCAAAAGTGCCCTGCTCATGGTTACGACTGGCGGTGCGGTGCGGTCAGGGGCGCAACGAAAGGGAAGTTGTCGAGAGGTAGTGACGGAGGCTGTTCGTTCGGGCTTCGGTGGTTCTGGCTTGGACGGAGCTCCGCAATCCCGCGACCTGACTGCCTGCGTCTCGAAGCTGGCGAGGAAAAATCGGGCCCCGTTTCTGGAGCGAAGCGTCGTCGCACACGGCACCGCTACGCCGGCAGAAAATAAAGCGGGGCTCCGGGACCGCATTCACCAATCGAAGTCATGGGTCTTCACCTGGGTGAGCACTTTCAATATCAACATCACGAACGACAACACGGTCGATTTTCCATTCCTACATAGGGGAGAGAACTACGAACAAGTTTACGGATACACAATGACTGAAATCTGCGCTGCTCATTTCTCGATTGAAGAGCAAATTCAGCGCAAGAAGACCGCCACGCATGACCGCGGGGTATGGCCCGGCAGCCTTTACGACGCCCACCTCTCCTCGACTTGTTGCGACTTACGAGAAAGAGAACATCCAATGGAGAGAGAGCACAGCAATCTTCGGTTCCACAAAAAGAAAGACAAAAATGAATCGAAGACAGGGACGTGGGTGCGGCAGTGTCATCAGCAGCGACCAAAAAAAGCGAAAAAAAGAAGATTCCCCTCGACCGGAATCGAGCCGGTGACCTTTCGGTATACAATCTTGACAATTACAGCCGAACGTGATATCCAACTACACCACAAGGGGTTTATTTGTTGAAAGAAGTTTGGATTTGTATGCTCTTATTCTTTGGACAAAACCGCAACACCGATGAACCATTTGGAAGGCAGTATCACCACACGCAGTCACGCACCGATGAAGATATGCCATTCAAATCCGCACGAGGCCTCATTGAGCAGCTAGACATTCGGACAACTTTATGTATGTTCACGGGTCACTTGCGGAGAATTATTTCGAAGTATCTTCTTCGCATCGTTTTTTCACACTGCACAGAGCACATTGCACTTCTAACTTCCTCTACAAAATCAGTACGAATATTTATTAATTCCATGAGGTAGCACCAAAAATCCATAACTCCCGTCTCCAAAGCTCTACTGTTTCCATGTCACTACACTGTCAAAAGCCTGTTTGACCGTTATCGCCCGTTGCTGACCTCCGCTCATACCTAACAAAGGAGATCCAAGAAAAAGAAACCGAACAAAACCGACATGCCACTGTTTTCGGGGGGATTTTCCAATAAATGATAATTGCAAACAAACCAATGTAAAACCAGCAAATGGACAAAACAATAACGATATAGCCCAACGCGCCCATCCCCTCGTACCTCATACCACCTGCCAAAAAGAAGACGATTCGAGAAACATGGAAAGTATCCAGCACTTTCCCATCTTCCCGTCTTCTACCCACACCTTACACCTGCCGCTTACCGTTGCATGTAATAGGAGTCACCTGCCTGGTAGCTCATTCTTCTCCGTGAGGTAGTAGTCGCGCTCGGCCGAACACTCTCCCCTCTCTCAAGCGCCCGACTGTCAGCGCAAACCCATTCATCCGAGTCGCTTCCATCGTCATCATATTCATCGTAACCGAGACCAGCTTTGAGCTTGTTCATAAAAGAGCTAGCGGCGCTGGGTTGCTTTTGGTGGTGCTTCTTTTCACCCTTGTCGTGCTTGCTGCCATGTCGGCTACGAGAAAGGGACCGCTCGCGGGTCTTGCTGGCTGATCTACTTCTACCGCCGCAATCGTCAATAGCTTCAGTGTGTCTTGTCTTTGACAGTCTTCTGCGGGGTACCTCGGTGTGGTGACGAGAGGCATTCGGGGGGTAGGATACTTGCCCTTTCTGCTGCTGTTGCAGGGGCAACGGCCTGGGGTCGGCATTGCGGCCTCTTTCATGTGGCACGGGGTAAGGGATGGACGGCGCGGGGCCGGGGTTCGTGAACATCTGAGATTCCCGAATGTTTCCCCTCGCCTGGGACTCGGAGGGTCGACGGGGTCGGAGCGGAGCAGGTACCGCTGTAATATCGCGATCTGGAATGTAAGGGCCATGCCGCGGAGGAGGGACTAGAGGGCGGCCGTCTCTGGAGGTGCTTCTCGAGGTTGAAGCGAATGACCCTCCGATCTTTGAAGATTTCGAAGCGTTGGGAGGAAGATTAGGCAACGGCTTGCTCTTGTAGTTGGAGATGGATCCTCGCTGGGGCGGAATCGCTGCCTTGTCATGAGGGAGGTTGATCATGCTTGATCTTTTGTTACTACGAGTGCCTTCAAATTCGCTTCTGTACTCATCTCTGGACCTGCCTCTGGACTCTTTTGAGGGTGCCCCTTGTTGGAGGAAGAAGTCATGACGTTCAGTAGCCGATCCCTTGAGCAGTTTTATGTTATCATTGTGAGCGGGGGCATGCTCTCTAGACTTGCTAGCTGATCTGCCCTGCCTAGTCTTACTGGCTGCTCTTTCTCGGCACTTGTCGCAAAGGCCCTCATGCTCCTTCTTTATCTCTCGGGGGTGGGAGCAGTACTTGGCCTTGGAGGAGCGTAAGCAGCCCCATGTGCTGTTGGACTCTTTGGCCTTCTCACAAGGGCGAGAGGTCGTAGTGGAATGTCCACATTTGTACTCGGTCTCGGTGATCTTACACATTTTGAAGTTTGAATGTGCTTGAGGCGGTTTGTTGAGTTGTTGCTGGATTTTGTAAGTGTGAGTTGTTTGGTGATTAGGGTGTCGTTGGTATCGTTTGATGCTTTTGCTTTCTTGTCGAACTTGTGATTGCAGAAGAGCTTGTTGATTGACTCTTGAATCATCTCGAAGTGAAAAGATCTCACCCGTACTTATATGCATTCTCATGGCTTTTCTTGTTCTCGAAAACAGACCCTATTCCGTGTACAAAGGCTGCCGTCTTAGAAAGTCTTTCCGAGTTCCTTTGTGCGTCTACACTTTGGCTTAGAACAACCCCATTGTCTGGCCCGAAGAATAGTTAGACTGTGCTTCACCCAGCCAGTCTGATTCCCGCACAAGAGACAATGCCCATGTGCCGTCCCTATGATATTCGGCAGACACCTTGGGTCATTGACTTCCGAGTGTGCTGTTCAGTTTTGCTTAATGCCTTTAACACGGAGATCCATGTCCTCAATATATTTCATTGTACGTGAACAGTTGCGAAGGAGAGTAACCCGCGGCCTCGTCAGCCCGCCCCATGCCGGCTCTGGATTGTTTTCTCGCTGTACAGACAAGGGGTCACTGAGCTTTTGTTGCTTTCACTCGGCTTGTAGCGGCCACAATTACGAGTATCATCATTGATGCTGACAAGGCTCGTTTGTTCAAAGTCTATACTTCGTAAACACCATAGTGCGCAGGCAGCCTAAGTCTGAGGCATGGGCACGAGATGACAGGTCATGAGCATGTTCAACTTTGGCTAATTCTTCCTTTTTCGACTGATCAACTATGCAAGTAGCTTGGTGTATCACGGAGGGACTCAGAAACCACAAGAATTATGGTAATTGCAGGTTTAATTAGAAGTAAGCTATACTTACTAGGTTATATCAGTGTTCTTTTGACAAGGCCTTCCAGCCTTCAGATCCAACCAGACCAGCCCCGCTTGATATGAATCAGCTGGGTAAACGCCCTTCTCTTTCACGCTGAACCCCTTATGCTGACCTTTCTGCTGAATGAAATGGGCGTCAAATAACTTGCTTGCGCCGTTTCGGCTCCTGCCCTCAAACATACATTAATCGCAACATGTCAAACTCCTAACGGCGCCTACCTGCGCATGCAGTTGACCCTCCACGTAAATGCTAACTCCCGAACACCTTCCCTCGCTATGCTAATCATCCATCATTGCCATCTATCTGCCGTCTTTTGCCTGCTAAGCAAAAGCAAGATGGCGAAGGGCCAAGATACCAAAGCAAAAGAATAATAATACCGGCAAAACCGGTAATCTTGATGGCTTGTGAATGTGGGCATTAGCCAAAGCATACTGCCCTGAACAAGATCGACTCCAATCCCCCTAGCTCCTATCCCCCAACCAGCTGTCTTAGTAGAGGTTATCCCGAATGTCTTTGAGAATAAGCGCCTGCATCATCGGGCCCTAGTCGATCCGGATATGATCCAGAATGAGGCGCTCCATCTCAATGGCATGCCGAGTGCTCGGACGTCCAGTCTTCTCGACAAAACTCTTAACCATTGTCATGTGTAAGCTAGGCGGTAGGCGATTCTGGCTTGATTCCGTGGACTGGTAGATGCGAATTTCCTCCAAAATCTGACGGATGCAGGTCTCTGCGAAGCGAGCAAGCTCGGTCATGGGCTTGCGATGGGTGCTATCGTCAGTGCGGTCGACCGTCTTCTTGACCTTCGGCGGCTGGAAGACAGCCCAGAGCATGATTGTGCCATGGCGAAGACTAGCTTCCTTGAAAGCCAGGAGACGTTCCCAGCAATCAACATCGGCCATCAGGGCGGCATTCTCGGTGGCATAGGCTTGGCCAGCCCAGGAGACAAGATGAAAAAGATAGGCCAAGTCGAGTGGTGATAGGGAGCGAATGTACGCCAACTGGCGATCATGAATCTTAAGCATGGCCTCATCGCCATCAAGCTTCTGGCTAGAGTTGCCGTTGTCGGCCGGCAGCATCCACATCGACATGACGTCTGCCGCGCAATCTCCCAGCCTGTCGACCACCTTGAAGGTCTCTTTGAGTCGGGCCATCAGCAGCTCGCGTTCGATTTGAGGAAGATCGAGGAATGCTCCGGACGTCGAAAAGATGGAATCGATCTTGCTCCTCAGGGGCTGGCCTGGGCTCAGGATAATCTCCGTGCGGGAAGTGCGGATCTTGAGCTCGTTGAGGATATCGTAACTCTTTGGATAAAGATACTCGCGCTCAACGTTGTGCGAGGAGCTGATTGAGCCTGAAGGGGGGAACAGAGAGGAGTCGTAGCCGGTGTACAACGCAACAGCGTCCTTGACGATGGATTGTTCGTACCGAGTCACAAGCTCGTAGACGTGCTTGCTGGTGCACATCAAGGTGACAATGGTTTCGATGTCGCAGAAACTCGCAACGCGGAGAAGAACGTCGTCGTTTAGGGCGGGCATCGTGTCGATGTGATACCCTTTCGACTTCGTTGGGAGAATTATGCGTAGTTCCGAGGCTTTTCTGGCTTTGATGATTCCAGAAAGGCCGCAGGCTGTTGAAGGAAAGGGTGGACTTAATGCCAGTTGAACTCAAGGGGGTGTTAAAAATGGCGAGAGAGTAAACGAATGGAATAAAGCACGGGGTGGCACCTAGGTTTAAGATATCCTAGTGAATTGTGTCCAAGGTGGGGTGTATCCAAGTGAATGTGCCGTGAGGAAGCTAAAAGTCAATCATGTTGAGTTCCCCAGGTCTGGCCGCTGGTGAATATATAAGATCCGGTGAAGAGTAAGAAGAAGGGACCTGAAGTCGGAGAGGGAACTGGAGGTGAAGATGAGCGAGGAAGTAGTTGCAGGGGTCTGCTCTTAAGGTTGTCCATGACGATTGGCACATGGGACGAATTGGGGACCTTGACGGCCCCTACCAGTCATGATAAGTGCTTTGGACCGTTAGGGTGCCCAACAAGGTCCTCATTCGTCGGCAGCCACAACCCAGGAACTGGCGCAGAATGACATGGAATCCCGCCTTCCCAGAGGAACAACAAGTCAAGATTTGGGCCTAGATATATAACACGATGAGTTTGTCGCCTACCCATTGTGAACCCTACCATATCGCCCCATACATCCCTTCTCGTCTTGCTGAGCGATAATAGGATGGCAAATGAATGTTCGGCACATCGATAGTAACGCGTATCTTTTTTGCGATGTACCCCTGTGGGCAGAAGGCCAGCCATCAAGGTTACTAGTGGAACCCTTTATTGTGGAGAGGTGAATGCCATGTCGACATCTTCGGGACGGAAAGTAATGGTCTCATGCTCGGACGGCCCGGACAGGTTTGGGTGACGTGCACGCCATGACCTATTAACGTGGTATTAGGGCGACATCGTTGATTTATGAGCGAACGGCCTTTTTTTTCTCCTTCTCGTGGGTCCTTACTTTGACGCACCTGAGCCTGCAACACCACCACAGGTTCTCGCGATTTTCCCGCTCCATCCAACCTTCTGCTGACAAGCCTAGATATATGTACGCATGAGCCACGACCAGCCATTTTGATGCAATCGCCCTATTATTGAGCCTATCGCGCCTCTCAGCGAAGTAGGCGCACGCCGATTCCACCACGGTTTTCAAACTTGCAAGGATCGACGCTACGTATAGGGGTCGCATAGAAATGTTGTGTTCAGGGCGACCCTTTGGCTGTAGCTGGCGGGAATTTGTTTGGCCTTAAAAACAACCAACAACGCCATATCATGCGGGAAAATGCGTCTTAATTCTTCCTTCCGACTATCGATACATGCTTTCGGGCCGAAATGCCGTTATGGCGCCACGATATCCTAAGTCGATTTGGAGTGATTTGTCACTGTGAGTCGCTTCCCCGCTAGTGACATGATCTTTTCGATCAGTGTTTTCTCCTGGTCAAGCTTGGCAATGTCGTCGGAGCCTCCTATGCTTATTCCGCCGACGAGAATATTGGGAACTGTCTTCCTTCCTGTCCTGTCGCCGAGCTCAGCCTGGATTCCGGGGCCCAATGGATGTTGGTCCAATTCGACGACGTAGGGCGCAGGGTCGATTTGGTAGTCACCCAGCAAAAGGCTCTTCGCTTTCTTCGAGTACGGGCAATAGCTTTTGGAGAAGATGATGACTGGTGAAAACCTGGTCAGCGCTGGTTTTGAACGATGGAATCGTGAATGATTGTATGTAGAAATGTAACGCCTAGACTTACTTGGTGACTTCTTGAGAATGCTCCTAAGTTCCTCCAGGATCGCGTGGTGCTCCTCGGTCTCGACGGAGTCTCCCTTGCCGAGATGGTTCTGTCCATGGGCCGAGCTGCCAACGCCGACGACAGCTTCCGGATCGTCGGGCTTGTTGGGCGCCTTTGCGTTGGCATTGCTCTTGGCCATCTGCTCTGCTTTCCTGAGACGCTCCTGCATTGCCTTGGCCACGATCGCGTCGTCCTCGTCAAACTCGACCTTCTGTGTCCCAACCACGGCCTGTCCTCTCCTACTGCCGCCGCCTATCCTTGACCCTTCCATCGCACTTTTGGTCTTGTGGTAAAAATCTTGGATCGAGCGGGGGTCGGGCTCTTGTGCATGGCGGGCACGTGAGGTGAAGAAGAGTAACGTAATGAAGCCGGCCAAGGCGATGTATAAAAGCGCCCTCATGCGTCGTTGGGATGGCATGGTGGGCAAATATGAGAACTGTAACTGGTAGTTTGAGGATGGTCTAGCAAAGACGTTTACACGGACTGAGCGTCGACGAACGTAGGGGCGACGGCCAGTTATGGGCGTGGTGAAGATGGTGTAGAGGTTGCTTCGTTTGACGATGGAGAGGTGCGCAACGATGTGTCATTCTCCGCGCCGTCAGGAGAGGCCGCACCGCAGCTTAAGTATGCTGTGTGCCACTGTTGCCAGAGAAGAAACGAGCTTTTGATGCTAGATGTGCTTGCCTTCGATCACAAATACAGTATATGGATGAGGGGGTAGCTGAAAGAAGTCGCAGCGTGTTTGTGGTAGGTCGGAGCCGAAAGAGTTGGATCGAAACTGGGGACCAGAGAATGGATGTCGTCGACAAGGGAGCTTCGGTTGGGGTTCGGTTTCCAGGCAGAGGAAGCACCGCGGGGGGAGGGAGAAAGAAGTGAAAAGCAAGAAGGGTGGAAGTTTGGAACGGCGACGGAGACGGAGATGGGGACCGACGACGCCCTGGTAGGCGCGACATGGAAATTGGGACTTTGGACGAGTTCCCGCTGTAATTCCCCCACCAGGCTCTGTCAAGCCGTCACGAGCCCGTAACCGGCACCGGCCACCATTCAAAAAGGAGCTATAGCGGTAGGGAATCGCCCTGCATTTTTGTTGTGACCCTCTTTCATCTCACAGTGCGCAAGGAAGTAGGTGCCGTGGTCCTCTGATCACCTCGGCTGTGCTCAACTGGAACTCACCCAGTCCTTGCCGCATTGGTGTGTCTGAACTGCAAATCGAGCGCCTTCGGGGTCAGTCGAAAATGAAGGATTTTGTCCATATCGGGAATCACTGGAAGGGCATGAGTGAGACAACGACTTAGAATAAAATCGTCGACATCTAGTGCTGACATTGGATGCTGCATGGGCATCTGAAGGGTCCGTGTTTGAGTGCAGGGCAGTGACGTTAAGGGAGTTAAGCCAGGGGACAGTACGGGGCAACTGTGCCGAAATCCAAGGGCATGTTCCCCGCGTGCCGATCATGCACACTACCTCTACCGTTCCGGCTGCAGGGGCAAGTATGTTAGACTGCCCGGGATTGTCAGCCTAGGAATGGTTTATTTTCAGAAAAAAAAAAAAAAAGCTCCGAACATCTTGATCTTTTCCAGTCCCCTGTTTCACTTGGGCAGGACTTTCAACTCCTTAGGTCGATCTCCAGATCGTCAACCGTGATACCTAGGTTTAACCATTTGCATAGCCTCGACTTGTCTCAGCTTATGTTTTCTCATGTCAAAGCTGGAGCGCTTGACCGGAGCGGGCAACGAAGAAAGGGTCTTCACGGGTCCTGTCTCCAAGCTTCAATTCCTCCTCAGTAAGCCATCAAGAGGCAACCACATCACGCCGCCGTATTTGCAATTGGACTTCTGGAGGGGCAGCATTGATCCTCCTGGGCGAAGCAGAATATCGCAAAGACCAAACATTGCCAATCCACACACAGAAACGCAACAAATCTCCGCCGTGCTAAGGCCTGTGTGCTATCTGATCAACACTGCAACATGAAACCAGCCGTTTAGAATGTTTGGAGTTTTTCCCTCCTCTTTTACTAATCACCAACCCAGGAAACATGCGTTACTAATCAATCAGACCAATCAATATTCGGAAACGCCATGGAAGTTCCTTGCATACGCACCGGTTCTGAAAGCAACGCAACTGCATTGCGCGTGAACATCATGGATCACTCTATCCAGCATAAGACCTTCGACATAAGAGTTCGCAACTATCTTATACTTTCTTTTTACAGACGAAAGACTCCGTCCCGTCCCGGCTCGGCCCTCGAAAGGCAAAAGGAGAACCGTGCTGTTACCAAGCGCTTACAGCCGGTAAAAACCGATGAGGGGTTGAACCAAGGACATGGATAGAGGTACAAGTAAAGAGAGAGCAACGACCATTCGACATACCTACGTCGTCGTGATTGTTGCTTATGGCTTCTCTCAGCTTCCTAGATTTCTAAGCAAGTCTCCACCAAACAAACAGCGACATATGGAGATGCGCTTAGAGATTGTATACTCTTCTGAATCGTGAACACCATGATCACGCAATCCCAAATCCCCCACAAAAGGGGAGATTTATCACTAGGTGAAGAAACACAAGTTATCAACTCCTGACAACCTTTTGTTCTTTACCATCCTTTTTGTTGTCCAACCATTGTTCGGCTCCCAACGGCAAAGCATACACTCCGGCTTGGACCCAAACCCAGCAAACACCATGGCAGCCACTACCACCCTCCCATCCGGCATCCCACCCACCCATCCAGCTGTAGTCGTCACGGCCCCCCGTGCCCCGCTCTCCATCATCCAGCGCCCAACCGACCCCCCGGGGCCCGGCGAAGCCCTCGTCCACGTAGAATGGACCTCATCAACGCCTCTCGACCTGCACCAAGCTGACGGTGGCCTTCTCATTGATCTCCCGTATGTCGCCGGCTCCAGCTTCGGGGGTACCGTCCTCGCCCTCGGCCCCGCCGATGCCAACACCCCTGCCGCTCACCACAAGCTGCGTGTCGGCGACCAGGTGTTCGGCATGGCCTGGCGGGAGCCGCGCGAGCGCGGATTCCAGACATTCATCACGACAGCGACTTACCTGATGAGTAAACTACCCGAGAACATTACGATGCAAGAGGCTGTGACGGTGCCGACGAATTTGGTAACGGTTTTGCATACGTTGACTGAGGATTTGGGGTTGGAGATGCGGTGGCCTCTTTCTGATAACTCAAACGCAAAGGAGGAGAATAAAGGGGATAAAGATCAAAAGAAGCAGTGGATTCTGGTCTGGGGCGCGGGGAGTAGTGTCGGCCAATACGCCTTGCAGGTGTTGAAGAATTGGGGCTACCGCAATGTGATTGCTGTTGCGAGCAAGAAACACCACCAGGAGCTGCTGACCTTGGGCGCTGCAGTGTGTTTTGACTATGGAGAAAAGGACGTGACGGATTTGATCCGGAAGCATGTGGAGACTGCGTCGTCGTCATCAGATGATGCGACAATCCCCTTGGTGCTCGATTGTATCGGGTCATTGGAAGGTTCGCTGAGGCCGTTGACTAGGCTGGCCGAGAAGGGAACGAAAGTGGCGATTATGTTGCCTGTCATCGTCAAGCATGCTACTGAGGATGAGTCGCCAGAGTATGCGATGGATGTCACCAAGCTTTTGAAGGGAGAATGGAAGGAGGGTGTTGTTCTGAAGGGGGTGAGAACGTTTTTATACACCCAAGTGAGTCTCTCAATGAAAGAACCGTCAGCGATATCTTGGAAGAAGTCAGCTAATCTGAGTGTTAGAACGAGTTCATGAAGAATCATGCCCAGCCGGACATCGTCCCGGCTTTGTTGGAGCAGGGTGTGGTCAAGCCGAACAAGCAGAGGATCGTTGAAGGTGCCACATTGCTTGAGCGTGCTACGAATGCCCTCAGAATCCTTAGGGATAGAGCACAATCGGGCGAAAAGCTGGTGTGGAGAGTTGACGAGAAGTCGGCTCAGGATCTGTTCCCGGACCTCTTAGTATCGAAGGCTGATCCCACGAAAGCCGAGACAATCATTTGAGCCACTGACTTTGCCTTACTTTCTGGCCTAGGACGACTCGACGACTACCGAGCTTTGTATCAGCACTACTCCTTGCTAAGACTTATTGGAGATAACCTTTTTTTACTGTTTGTTCTTCAAGGCAGCTGCTTTGAGATTCCTTGACATTGTCCCCAGTGAGACCTATGAAACTATATATCCATAGGAGAATTTGCCTGCACCTATGGATTGATATCGGCCTTTACTTTCGCAAGCCTTATGACAATTGGCTTCAGCCCGGAACATACAAGGCCGCGTCCTGATGTAGTGACCGAAGACTTGGCCAGAAGTACTCAAAAGAGCCCATCACGTTCCCGATTCCTCCAATCAGGATGTTGTTCTGTGACCGGGTAGAGGAGCCAGCAGTGAGAAACATGAAACAGAAAATATCTCTCGGGAATCGGCTAAGCGTATGTACATATGTACTGTAGTTTTGGGGTGGATTGACCCAAGAGCTCGTTAAGCATTTTGCGGGGTAGTAGCAGCGATGTTTCGGCTGTTTCGAGCCGTATTAGGAAATATGATGAACTCCTTCCGGGAAATTGATGCCCTGAAGAATCAAACGAAACATTAAAAGGACCGATGTCCCGCCCCAATACCCCCATTCGCGATGCCACCTAAATTCCATCAATCAGGCAGCGGTGAACGGTTTAAGGAGTATGGCAGTGTCATCGGCGCTTGACGGCGACAGTCCTTTTAAAGCCTGGCATGTCCGCTCCAGCGTTAACAGTCATGGTGCTATTCTCGACAGGACCACAGGTTTTCCCCCGTTGAATATTCGCCATGCTTCTTTCAGCATTGTCGGCCGTCCTCGGCCTTGCAGGCTCAGCGGCTGCTGCCCTGACCTATAAAGGAGTCGACTGGTCGTCTGTACCTGTTGAAGAGAAGGCTGGCGTCTCTTACAAGAACGTGAACGGTGCTGCCCAGTCCATTGAGCACATTTTCCGAGACAGCGGTGTCAACACGGTCCGCCAACGGGTGTGGGTGAATCCCTCCGGGGGCACGTACAACCTGGCCTATAACATCAACCTGGCCAAGAGGGCGAAGAACGCTGGGCTGGGTGTTTATATCGACTTTCATTTCAGCGACACTTGGGCAGACCCCGCGCACCAAGCGATTCCTTCCGGATGGCCGACCGCCATTGACGACCTGGCCTGGAAGCTATACAACTACACATTCGATGCGTCGAACCAGTTCCATGATAATGGTGTGCAACCGACCATTATTTCTATCGGCAATGAGATCACCGGCGGTTTGCTTTGGCCGACGGGAGGCACTTCTTCGTGGTATAACATCGCGCGCTTGCTGCACTCAGCGTCTGCCGGTATCAGGGACTCGAGGCTGAACCCCAAGCCCAAAATCATGATCCATCTTGACAACGGATGGTAGGTCCCCTTGCTGTTTAAAACCGGATCCTGTATAGAGCTAACATCTGGCCAACCACCACAGGAACTGGGACACCCAGAACTGGTGGTATACAAATGTGTTGAAGCAAGGGCCTTTGGTGTCTTCCGACTTTGACATGATGGGAGTCTCGTTCTATCCCTTTTACACGCCCTCGGCGACTCTGTCGTCCTTGAAGTCAAGCTTGACAAACATGGCCAACAGATGGGGCAAAGAGCTCGTCGTTGCTGAGACCGACTGGCCAAGCTCATGCCCAAACCCGGCATATGCGTTCCCGTCAGACGCCAAGAACATCCCCTTCAACGCCGCCGGCCAGTCGCAGTGGATCAAGGCCGTGGCAGACGTGGTAGCTTCTGTGCCCAGGGGCAAGGGACTGTTCTATTGGGAACCCGCTTGGATTCACAATGCCAACTTGGGCTCATCGTGTGCGAGTAACTCCATGTTCTCGAACTCGGGGCAGGCCTTGTCCAGTCTGTCAGTGTTCCATAACATCTGAAGAGGAGCGGCTGAAGTTGAGAGAGGATAGGAGGGAGGGGAACTCAGGTCCGGCGGATATCCAGACTAGGGTGGTAGATAAGATAAGAAGCACAATGTGACCTTAGTACAAAGTTGCCTGCCTCGAGAAACACCAAATGTGAAAAGATGACGAGAGGGAATGCGTGACCGGCGAACTGCTGGCATGCTTAGTGCTTAAATATGTGTGTGAGGCCAATGCTGTAAATGACCTTAATGCTCGGGCTTTTGGCCAAAAGCGGCGAAGAAAGTTGGGAAATGACAGAATGTAGTCATCCGTTGGTTGGCTTCGTACCGGGATGACACGGCGAGAATGAACGAGGTGATGATGCTTCATCCGTCCAGTCGCGACGAAGACCGCGTTACGTACGGTGGTCGGGTGTGTACTAATGCAAGTACCGTGATGGCCAGTGAAGAACGTGGTGCGCCACAGGTTGGCTCATGCCGAATTCACAGCAAAAATCTGGGTTGTCCAGCCACATCCACGGCTCCAGCCACAGCATGTATCAAGCGCGCTGGGGCGGGGCTGTTGAGGGCACAGAGCCCTACGAATTTTCCCCGGTGGGTCCTACGGACAGACGTGCACCGCCCACCCGCCGCCACTGGCTAGAGGTTTTGCTTGCTGTGAGGGCCGGAATCCTAAATCCACTCCCATCATCGCGACAGTCAGATTTTCGCTCTTCGATACCCCGACGAACAGCGAAATCGTGATCACCAACCACCTACCGCAAAGATGGCTGACGAATACGTACGTGCCCTTCATTTTATGATAACGATGATGCCAAACACATATCATCGTGTACTTCCCAGCGGACGGCGGCCATAATTGAATTGGTCCCCTCCCGACGACAACGACCACACACACAAAAAATTGCACACCCTCAGAATGAGAATGAGGAAAATGGGGAGAATGGAAGACTGACCTTTTACGCTGTAGAACGCCGAGGAGGCCGCTGAGCTCAAGAAGAAGAGAACCTTCCGCAAGTTCTCTTACAGGGGTATCGATCTCGATGCGTAGGTTCTCCCGCTCGTTCGCCATTTTGAGGTTCCAAATTCCGAAGAGAGCAAGCCGGCCAGTCAGCTAGACGACCAAACCAAACCGACCGGGAATATCACGATATGGTTCGAGCCAGACATGCGACGTCATTCCATTACCGATAAGAGAGGAAAGGGGGAAGCGGCACTCACTCGACATCAACAACTACTGGGGGATTGGGCGGTTTTGGATGGCTCGGTCGGCTTGCTCAAATCAGAAGGGAACATATGCTGCGCTCGCGATGCGCCATGACACATGAAAGCACATGTGCTGACAGCAACCTCTTACGTGCAGTCTCCTCGACCTTGGCTCCGATGAGCTCCGCGATGTCGTCCACGCCCGTGCCCGTCGCAGGATCAACCGTGGCCTCAAGCGCAAGCCCATGGGCTTGATCAAGAAGCTCCGCAAGGCTAAGCAGGAGGCTAAGCCCAACGAGAAGCCCGACCTCGTCAAGACCCACCTCCGTGACATGATCGTTGTCCCCGAGATGATTGGCAGCGTCATCGGCATCTACTCCGGCAAGGAGTTCAACCAGGTTGAGATCAAGCCTGAGATGGTTGGCCACTACCTCGCTGAGTTCTCTATCTCCTAGTACGTTTCCCTGCCCCCGTCAAATAACCAGAGAGATATGTGTGCTAACTCCGGTTACAGCAAGCCCGTCAAGCACGGTCGCCCCGGTATCGGTGCTACCCACTCTTCTCGTTTCATTCCTCTCAAGTAAATGCTCTGGGAAATGGGTGGTACTTGCATTTTGTCTCAAATCATGGGTTCGGCGAAAACGGACGCGGGTTTGCTCATTTGGTCATGGCATGGACAAATGTGCCAGGGACTATCTTAGTTTTGACGAGATAGTACAAACGAGTAATGATGAGTGCAACGTTCTAGGTGATCACACACATAGCTCTTGTCCGCGGATTCCTTGACTAAGCTTTGCTGAATGAGGAGCACAATAAAAACAGAATATCCTTGATCATCGTGTCTAGCCTGCCTTGTTTATCATTTTGCTGATTGATCCTTTCTTAGTATCAAGACTTGAATATAAATCATAAACACACATATTCACCATTACGGAATTCGAACCTACCCTCGCCGAGTAGGCCGTTTCCCAGCATACCAACGTCATCGAACATACAGGCCCTCATCTGTTTATCATTCTCCCAGCACTCTGCCATGGCCTTGCCTCGCCTCACCCATCCTACACCACTCACCATTCACCACCCAAGCGACCGAACACAACCTCCCTCACAGCACGCCGCAACAATACCCCATAAACGTACCCCTACACGTCGCACATTCACACACGAACCCTTTTTCTTTCTTCCCATAGTCCCACGTCAGCTGCTCGCCTTCTTTGATATCTCTCTTAGCCTGCACGCAAATGTGTTTTGGTTTCACAAAGTGGGCCAGCCCCGAGGCACCGATGCGCCACTCGCAATTTGGGCCGCGCTCGGTGCGCTTGCGCATCACGTAGGCCGAGGAGGAGGTGGAGGGCGAAGTGCAGCAGTGGTTGATGAGGGAGCCAAGGAGGTAGATGCAGGCGTCCGAGTTTGTGGTTGGTGTTGGGGGTGTGCTTGTGGATATTGATGCGGAGGCTGTTGAGGATGATGTAATGGGCGATAGGGTGTTGGTGGTTACTATTGTTGGTGAGACCGGGGGTGATGGTGAAGGCAGATGAGGGATGTCGGACGCGGGTGGGATAGCGGTGGTCCGTTTAACCTGGAAGGCATAATGTTTGAAGAAATCCAGACACGCCTTTTGTCGGTCTTCCTCCGTCGGGTTGGCGATGAGCATCTCGCTCACGCCAGCCACGTACGTCTCGTACTCTTCCCGCGTGATGATCGAGCCGGCAAACCGGCCGTGCACGAGGTTCCTGCCGAAGAATTTCTTCCTTGAACTGGTCACGTCGGGCTCGGTAGACTCGGCAGAGAAAATAGGCCCAGCGTCTTCCCAGGACGCAGGCGGGATACCGTTGCGGGCGGCGAGCATGGGGAAGGCGAGCGTGACGATATCTTGGCCGCCGTCGGCTAGGGCGGCCTTGTAAGCCTGGTATTGGCTGTGCATCAGGGAGGCGTCGGCCGAGAACTTCTCGTTGAAGAGAGCCGTCATGAGAGGCGCCTCGTGGAAAATGAATTCGTCCTTAGTAAAGTCGCGGGCGGCGAAGAGGCCGTAGCCTACGCCGGCGCCCACCAGGCCGATGCGTACAGCCGGAGCATCCTTGGGCGCGTTACGTAGGAATCTGGCTGGCAGCTAAGTGGACGACATATCAGCAAGGTGTGTGAAATGAGAGAGAGAGAGAGAGAAGAAAAAAAAGAAGAAAAAAGAAATAAAAAAGAGTTGAAGCTGATGATGATAGAGGGGACGACTTCGACGACCTTGACAAGACACTACACGATGATAGACATGGTTGAGTCTTGCAGGCCAAACATATGATGAACGATTAGAATGCTCAACATGCCTTCGCCTGCTTCGCGGCATCGAATCCTTCGTCTTCATCAGAGGTCCTTATTCGTTCCTTTGATCGATGAGTATTCGCCATCCTGGTGTCAGCTTTGAGCCCTGGCTGGGAGAACCAGTGGGACGGTGGTGCGCATGCCTAATCGCTGCGCAACGACTCAAAGAGCTTAAGACGAAGAGAAATAGCAGGCCGGGTGTTGCATGAGAAAAGTAAAGTACGGAAGGGGGGAAAAAGTAACAAACCCGTGATGATTTCGGCAATTGACGTTGGTGGGTTTGGTGGGTCGATATTCCAGGTACACGTATGAGGAAGGTAACTTTCTGATGTTGCTACGAACCGACGGCTCCTGTCTCAATAAGATGGGAAGGAGGAGCAGTCTAACGTCTGACTTAGATATAAGAAGAGGAAGTATGCAATTACTGCACGACACTTGTCTAGTTGGCCGCCGCCAGCTTCTTCGCCTTGCGCTCCTCTTCGTCAAGGTGCTGCTTCCTGTAAACCTCGACAACCTTGTCCAAGCTGATATAGGTACCGGCCGGGACGTTGCGCGCGCTACCGTGCTGGAAGACCCTGTCACGTGGTCAGCTTTTAGGTCGCACCAATGGCATCTTGTGTTATGTGAAGCAGAAAAGCAAGGATGGGAAGCACGATGCCAATGGCAAGCTGTCAGACACACGAAGCAATTGATGGCGTCCAATGCCAAAAGAACAACATCTAGTTGCCTAAGCCCGGACCACAAGCTCCGAGAGCTCTCCATATCGTGCAACAGCAGCTGTGACCTGTCGATGCGTGAAAATGGGTGGAATGCCATTGGGATGGTGGTGTTGCGCGAAGTTGGATATGACAGAGGAGGGAAGCAAATCCTTGGTCGCAAGACTTCCCCGTCCACTTTAAAGCTTCGTAATAAGACATTGGGATTGATAACGTACTCGGGATATTTCATTTCGTAGTGTCCGCTTCTCAGTTGGTCGACGTAATAGAAAAGATGCTTGTCGTGAGCAGCCTGCTCGAGTGCCGCTGTGACCAGAGCGTTCTTGTCCGCCAAAGCCTCTTGGTGCTCCTCCCACTTCTGCAACCACTTCGTGATACTGTTCGGCTGTCCGTCCTTGCCCGGCCGAGAGACATAATAAAGAGCACCGAATGCGGGGATGGCGCCGAATATCACATAGAAGGCAGTCTGTCACTACCAGGTTAGCCTCCAAGTTGATATAACAATAGTATGCATGCTATCACGGCAAGATGGCCCTGTTCCCCACACTGTATTCATGAACGTACTCCAAGCTCCTCGTTGGCATCTGCGGCATTGGCGTGGTGGTGCTCCCCATGACCGGCAGCGCTGTGGGTGTGGTCGGCAGGACCGTGGCTGTCGGAGGCATATCGCCTCGTGTTGCGCACACAAGGGGCCCGAACCTGACGGGCGACCCTAGAGACTCCAAGTCTAAAAGAGGACATGGCTATCGTCGACTTATATCGTGTAATTGACAAGTGCGGAGCGCGAGTCGTGCGTCGACGGGAATAGTGGACCCTTTCTCTCCTCCTGGCGGAGTGACGCCGGGATCCTCTTTCTGCGGGGAGATCGATAAGAAGTTGACCTGGAAGCGGTCTCGGGAGAGTGAAGCAATTGCGCTAACAGAGTAAACGCCGGTGGTAGAGAGTGAGAGCCTTTCGGGCTTTGCAGAGACCAGGCGCGCAAGCTGCAACCAAGATCGTCGTTCGAGTTGACGATGTGATGAGCGCCGGTTACTGTAGAGGTAGAGGTAGCTTGGCTCGGTACGCAGCCCATTATCTGCACGTGACCGAACCTTAACAGTGGAAATGGCTAGGAGGGCCCTGCGTCGAAAAGAGGAGCTTACACGATGCCAAGCCCTGTCTCATCACAGAAGCCTTCCGAACGCTGAAGTCGATGGAAGCAGACAAGGTGTTCAAAGACGGGAGGCAAAAATCGGCTAACATCCACTCGATAATCAGACAAACTGTCCTTTTTATTATCGTCTATTATATATATATTCTACTGCAAAAGCTATACCATTGGAAAGCGATTGGTCTTATTTTCATTTACAGTCTCAGCATCATTAACTTTTTTTGTAGGTTGTTAAACCCTACAGTACCATAGTTCTATAGGTACATCTTCAACCTCTCTATCACAGCTCTTACTTTCCTCCGCCTTCCCCAACGCTAGGCTTGTAAGAGACTCAAAAATATCAACATCCGTCACTCGCTTCGAACAAAACAAACAACACACACCTAAACACAATGTCGAAGCCAAAATTACACTCCCTCCCACTGAGTCTCTTAGCACTTCTAGGGGTTGCCCTAGCCGGCGTCTCAGCTTCAGCTTCAGCATCACCACCAGCCGCCGAGAAGCCATCCTCACCCTCATCATCAGCACAATCGGACGAAGTGGAACTCATCTGCCACACCTCCGACCCAGCAGACTGCTACCCCAAGATCTTCCAACCCACACACGAGTTCCAGATCGTCCACCCAGACCAAGATCTTCCCACGGGTCTTCACGTTCGTCTGAACATCTACACCGGCCAAAAAGAAGCCAAGATCAACGTCCCCGATGAAGCTGTCGACCCGTCCCTTGAGGGTCTCCCAGTCGACAACTCCATCGTGATCGTCGACCCAGAAGATTCCTCAGAACCAGAAAAACAGCAAAGTCAGGGGCAGCCCCTCAAACCGCCCAAAAATGCGCCCGCCTACGACCCACACGGCAAGATCAAGGAGCCCAATATGGAAACCGCCGAGGCCCAAGATGAAAGCTCAGCCTTCTACAAGTCCCTAGCCATCCTCAAGAAGGGCCTGGACATCGATCAAGCACTCGACATGCTTGAGGAGATTTCCCACGATATTTACTACGGGCTTAAGATCGCTGAGGACTATGATACCGTCCGCGAGTTATTCTGTCTGGCTAACTCGCCGTCCATCATCTCTTCTTCTTCATCATCTTCCTCCTCCTACTCCTCATCCGGTTCCACCTCCTCTTCTTCACCAGAGACACCAGAAGCAGGAGGACCCTCAGAAAACGACCTCACCCGGTCCCGCCTAGCAGCTTCCATCATTTCATCTACTGTGCAAAACAACCCCAAAGCTCTGGCGGAAATCACCAAGCACTGGCCCACGCTTCAACAAGACCACTGCACCAAGTCCAAATCCAAGGACGCCTCTGGCTCGGAACCCCTCCGAACCTCCGCCTTCCGTCTTCTGCCATCTCTCCCCTCGTCTGGCTCCCCGTCCGACTCCGGACCCATTCCCTCAATCCCTCCCTCCCTAACCAAAGCCCGCATATCCGCCATCTCCGGCCTTTTGAAATCCCCCTTGATTCGACAATCTTTTCTCGCTGCTGGCGGCATGGACCACCTCCTCCAGGTCCTTCTTTCCGACGCATCCCAGTCTCAGGGTCAGGGCGCCGCCGAGGAATGGGAAAAACTCCGTCGCCAAGCCGGCCACTTGATCCTCGATAACTTTTTGGACGCAGACATGGGAGCCGTTTTGGGCGAGTGGCCCGGTGCTACTGGGGACGTGCAGGCTAGCGATAAGGAGTGTGCTAGCCGTGCTGCCAGCCGTGGTGATGGGGAGAAGAAGGAGGGTCAGGCTGACTGTTGGGATTGGCACGCCAAGCAGCTTGCGGATAGGTACAAGAAGGAAGGAAAGGGAGGGGAGGGGCATTGGAGCTGGGAGTTGTGGAATAAGTTGAAGGAGCAGAGGAAGAATGCTTCCAGTAACAAAAAGGAGGAGTTGTGATGGGAGCCTGGTTGTGGTTTGCATCATGGCTGGAGTTGTGTTCTAGGCTCATTAAAGGGCATCATGTAGAAAAAGAGTTCATACCCGCATGTTTTGGAGATACGATACCACGTCAATCAACTTGAAGCGACGTAGTCCAAGCATTGAAGATCGCCGTCTTAGTGTACACATACTTCATCACGATCACGAAAACGACTTTTCAAATCGGGACAAGCCGCGCTCATATATTAATCTACTAAATCTAAACTCATCGACTTTTCCTTTTCCTGTTCGTACTGATGAAAGCAATCAGATAGGCTACGAGTGATATAGGCGCTTTTACTTCCAAGGTCCGACCAATCGCTGGCTGAACGCAAGCCTTGCGATGAATTCCCAGCCAGCATGCAAAGAGACTTCATGCGGAAAGGTCGACGACAAAACGCGATCGTACCCCCATCTGTCCTTGCTAAACTGACCCTGAAGAACTTTATCCGCCCTACTCTCGTCTCTGGACATCAAAGCCCGCCATCCTTGCGACTTTTATTCCCTGAACCAACATTGGGGAGAGGCATATGACCCTTGACGAAAACTGCCGCGGTATATACCGACTTGAAAGCACTCGCACTCGTTGTCCTTTTTTTGTTTCATGTGATTTCTTGTTTTTCTTTTTCTCTGTCATAAATTGTCCGTCTTAGGCTTCAGCTAGAAGTGCCAGTAATGACAACAACTTCCTCTCAGTCCGCATGTAGGCATGGACGCTAATGAGATGATTGCTTATGAACGCTCCTTAGTGGCCTAGTGAACGTTCAAGTGGTGTCTTGGTCTGTGGTCCTCCTTCTCGTTGACTTTCATAACGACTCTGCCCAGCTTGGTGAAGGTTAAAAGAAATTATGGGCGGCGAACTATGCGCCTACATGCTTGCGACCTTTGAGAGCCACTATTGCCTGTCTTTTGAAGTTCGGGATACTCTGTCTTCAGAGAATGTCGCTCTTGAGGGCACATGCCCAGATCGTCTTCAATGAATAGCTCCTCCGCTGCTCCCGGTGTCCGAGGTGGGATGAATAATGAAACAAAAACAGATCGGGGACCTACAGCCAAGGCCGACTTGGAGATGGCTGTTGAAAAAGGACGTAATGTTGTTGAGTGAAATATGAAATGAAAGACTGATTCCTTTGTTCTCTTCTCTCTTAAAACACTCCGGCGGTTCTTTTTCGGACTCGCTTGGTTCCGACAAAAGACAAGAGGAACCTATTTATCATTAGGTCGCACGCCCGTATTGCCGAAACCGCTGAGATTCCATCCCGGATACTTGGACGCCGACGCGTTTGCGTTGGGGGCTTCGGGCTGTGGGGGAATGCTTGGGAGACCACTTCCAGCATCCCTCTTCAATGGGTTCGGCGGGAGCGATGCAGGCCCTGTAGTCTGAGGCTGGGTGTTTGACGTCGCACCGCCACTTGAAGATTGAGATGCGCTCTTTTTTTTGTACGCACCCTTGTCCTGAAGGTATTTCAAGGCCTGGATAATTGATAGGTCTTCCTGCTCCTTATCGTTCAGGAGCAAACGCTGCTGGAGGGTCATCTTTCCTCCGTTAAGTTCGCGCTCTCTCAGAGCCTTCTCACGCTCATTCGGATCATGGACGAAACGGCACTTGCCCCGCTTACCGCAGTTTCCTCCAGTCGAATAGTACTTGCAGTGCTTCGACTGATCAGCCTTCCTGGCCACAGGGGGGACAGCATTTTCTTCCGGACGAGTAGACAAGACTTCTGGCTTCTCGTCGTCAGACTTTGAGATGGTTGAGGGAGATGAGGGTTCTGACTGGCGCATCTCGTCGCCTTCATCCTGCTGTTCGCGCTTCCGCTTGATGCTGGACTCGACTTTTTCTAATTGTTTGCGGAGCTTCTCCGCCTTTTGTTCTTGCCTCATAAGGAGAGAAGCCTTCTCGTCGGCGGCCTTTGCCTCAGCAGTCTGTGCCTTGACAGCAGCTTTCTTGGCTTCAATTTTGGCCTTTGATGGGAAGTTGGCCCGACGCTCAGCGATCCAAGCAGCAAGTTCTTCATTCGTGATGGGACTGTATCAAGAGTTAATGTTATTCTTATGAGACAGTAACAGCGGGACACACTTACTTGGGAGCATCAGCACCAATCATCTCATTGAGACGTTCCTCTTCGTTCTCATCGTCCTCGTCGGACTCATCGCCCGGAGTAAGACCTAGAGTGTTGGTCTTGCGCTTTTTCTTCTTTCCACCAGAGTGGTCGTGCTTCTGATGGTGAGCGGGGGGACTAAAAGCCTTCCCACCGCGGCTGTTGTGGCCGCCAGCATGACCATTTCGGCCGCGGACCTTGTCACCACCAAACTGAGGACGATGGCGAGGATGGCCGTTGTTGTGACTACCACGTCCATGGCGGGGCGCGCCTGCGGCAGGAGCACCATCATAGACGGGATGTGCTGGCGGTATGTAAGTAGTAGGAGGCGGATAGGGCTGGTATGGCGCAGGAGCATAAGGCGCCCCGTGAGGTGCACCATATGGCTGCGGCGGATACGGAGCCGGAGCGGGCGGTTGCGCAGGTGCGCCATCAAATCCCATTCTGATAGGAGGTCCCATCATCTGGCCCTTGGGTCCAGAACGATCACTATGGGAGCCTCTTCCACCTCGGCTGCTGGTGTTGTAAGGGGTCTGAGGGTGCGACTGATGGTGACTGGCCCATGGCTGGGGAGGCGGACTAGCCTGCGGTGCGGGGGGAGCATACGCCGGGCCGTAAGGAGTTTGTGGCGCGGGTGAGTATGCGGGCTGGCCGTATGGCTGCTGAGCCTGGGGGTAATGGGACTGTGTGCCGTAGCTGGGCGCGTAACCTTGAGGAGGGGGAGGGGCAGGAGGCTGTTGCGGGGTATGCTGGCCATGCTGCTCTGAATGCCACTGCTGTTGTGGCGGGGGGTAGGCACCCGGCTGGGGCTGGGGCTGATGTGAAGGATACGGGCTTGCCGGGGGCGCCTGTTGTCCGTACGCAGAAGGTTGCTGGCCATATCCGTAAGAATGAGAAGAGTGGTAACCGCCACGATCTGAGCCACCACGGCCTCGTCCAGCATAAGTGCCGCGCTGGGGAGCAGCCGGCTGGGGCTGCTGCTGTTGATAAGGCGACTGGCCATAGGTGGCGGGGTAGCCAGCAGGCGGGTTGTTGGGCGGTGCCGGTCCCGGAGGCGGGGGAGGCGGTCCGTAGTTGTAAGCCATGGTCTGTGTGTTCACTTTCGAGCTATGGCCCGGAGGAAGAATGGATATAGATGAATCTTGATCTTGCCAGCTGGTGTATGACACTTGTAATTTTCCCTGCGTAACAGGGTATTTGCTGCTCAGCTAGTATTGAGCTGCCGTCACGTCCCTGCAAATTGGACGTTTTGAGTGTACTCGGAAGAATTTGAATCAAGCAGGAGGAAGGAGGGATGGCAGGTATGGCCTCTAGACAGTTCAGACGCCGCGTCGATGGTAAATCGGTAGGATTGTCGTTTAGCACCCCGGGCTTGTAATGGTCGGTGTGGGCTTCTTGAATCCCAAGGCTGCAAGCTAGACAACACGTGATGGGATTTGAGGCCGTTCGAGTCCTGTCGGAGATGCCGAGAAGGAAGCAGATGCAAAGATGTCTCTGCGACTTGGGTGTGGCAGTCCTGATCGTCAAATGGTTTGTGACGGCAGCAACTGATCCCTTTTGACACGGGCAAGATGACAAGCTTTCACCGGCAGTGTTAAATGCCCTTGGACAGCAGACTTTGCCGATGGTCAGGATTTGAGTATCCTTCACTCAGTGAGGGTTGGTAAGATTCAACTTGGCGTCAAGCAGCAGTGTTGGCGAAATGTTACACCTCAACTGGTTGCAACTTGGGCTTTGCTTCCCCAAGGTGGACTAGAATTTGTTAGAACGAATGAACGGCGGACGTTGCGAAGGAATGTGGTTTGAACGAAGTGGGTTTCAGTCCGACGACCGCGCCTCGCCGTACAATGAACCTTATGGCCACCGGCGAGTTAACTCGCTCTGATGGCGTGGTGAGAATCCTCCGACGCGGGGAACAAGATCAAGGGTCGACTTCGACCAGAAGCTACGGGCACTTGCCTGTTCGCAACACACGAGGCAAGAAAAATACTCACGGTTTAGGCTAGGTTGGCGATCAAGGGCACAAGTGAGTGCCGGGGTCGAGAAGTACGAAGTAGAGGTTGAACGCAATCTATCTCGAAAAGAAGGTTTGGAGATGGATGGAGGGGTGAAGTTGTGAAATGGAGGTCGAAGGGTGAAGGAGAGAGACGTGGAGTGTCGAAGGAGATGCGCGTTGGTGGGTCCACACTTAAGGTTCCCTGTCCAAGGGCGGTCAGCCGATCTACGCAGGGGTAGAGGCGGCAGAATTCGAATCTCTGTTTTCTCAGGGCAGGGTCGAGGGCCCGGGTGTTGGCAGGTGCGCTGCTGCCCGCGTTATTGCAGTGGTGTTTGGCGTACTTTCGGGCAGGCTCCAGCACAGCTCGACCGGATTGCAGGCGCGCAAACTGCAGCACGGCAGGCAGACCTCGAGTCCCAAGTGCAAACCAAGTGGAAGTACCGTAGAGGTGCGCTCCCGTCCAGTGCCCGACGGTGGGGCTTTCAACTTTCACCTTCAGTCCTGATTACACCAAGGGCAGCACGCAGGCAGGTGCGCGATCCAGTAAAACTGCGTGGTGACATTGAAGGAAGTTGAAAGAGACGAGGGGACTTTTACATAACCTTTTTGATCATACCCTCTCGAATCTTGGTTGAGACATTCATCTTCATCGTTGCATGAAATTTGACGGACCTCACGATCAATGACCGCCAAAATAATCATTATCTGATATCGTCAAAAACCGTAGAGTTTCCGCCCCCCGTCAAAACTTTTTGCATGCATTGACATTCAACAACACTACATATCAATCCATGTCCGGACCAATGTGTAGTATTTTCTCTTGAGCATTCGGTCCCCTCTCACACAACCACTTACATACGGTCGTCACATTTCGCCCAAACCGGTCACCACACCACTATATCAAGCTGAGAGTGTGTCCAGTAACAATCCATACCACCATCCATACGTTTAGTCTGGTGCAAACCCCAACTTGAGAAGGAAGAGCTCAGCTGTACGGCACAAGGACCCTTCTCACACTACAATGTTCATCACTGTTCGTAAACTTTCATCTTTCCAGTGCGTTTGCAGTATGCTATAATCGAATGGAGTCTAATATCAGATAGACGAAAATTGCCGACTTGGTGCAGATTGCACCCGAGGACTTTAGCAAAGAGAGTTTTGTCGCGATTGAAGACAACATCAACGCCAAATATGCAAACAAGGTGGGCAACAACATCTTTGAACAGGCCCACGAAACCACCCATCTAACAGCTGTCTTCGGTCTACAGGTAGTACAGAAAGTCGGCCTTTTCGTCTGTTTGTGGGATGTCACTTGGACATCAGAAGGTCAGATAGGTCATGGCAGTGGTTTAGTCAACGTGAACGGTATGATCATATTCGTATCCTAGTGCTCTCCTGTCACAATCACTGACATGTTATGCAGTTGAGTTTGAGATGGTGGTCTTCAGGCCATTCAAGCACGAAGTCATTCTCGCACGCATCACCCATCAGACCGAGGAAGGCATATACCGTCAGTTCCATCCTTCAATCACCGTCTCTGTCATCTTTGGTTTCCTGTCTTGAGCCTAACACGTTAGTTCTCCTGCAGTTGGCATGGACTTCTTTAACGACATCTTTGTTCCCGCCGCGGAGCTGCCGGACAACTCAGAGTTGTGAGTACCAGTTCATTTCCCCTGGTGTCTTTCTGGGACATGCTAACATCTCATCCTAAGCGACACAACCGAGAAGGTCTGGGTATGGAAGGAAGAGGGCCAGGAGCTGTACTTTGACAATAACGAGATGGTCCGCTTCCGAGTTATCGGCGAGGAGTGGCACGACCAAACACCAACAGGCCCGGTGGAAGTCGACCAGACTGCAAACCAGCTCCTACCGCCATATAAGATCACGGGTTCCATGAAGGAAGGAGGACTGGGATGCTGTCTGTGGTGGGAGTAGAATGGCCCACTCCGTCACGCAGGCGAGAGAATCAAGGCCTAGACCAAGCATTGAGAGGGCGTTTTGTCTTATTATCCAATTATTATTTTGCACCCTAAACTGATGGCGGCGTGTAGGATTTTGTGGTCTGGTTTCGAGGCATCTCAAGTTAGGCCCTTTGTTTAGTTTATACCGTAATGCCCTCAAGAAGACGCTCCTCAACATCGTCGAGGACCGAGTAGTGCTCGATAACTGCGAGGTTCTCGGCCTCGGCCTTGAACTGCTTATCGGGATCGACGCCAGGGCCGAACATTTGGGGCGCCGCGCCCATCCCTCCCATCTGCTGAGCCATTTGGCTTGCAGCTGTCACAAACCATTAATACTGGAAGTCAAAGTAATCAAAGAGTTAACAACACTTACCATTATCGCTGCCGAGCAAGAAGTTAAAGACGGACTGAAGACCGAAGATACAGAGGAAGTACCAGCTGATGCTGGACATCCATCTGGGATCCATATCCTTGGTCATGACGCCAGCCTGAAGCATGCTCTTGAACTTGATAGTCAAAGGGAAAGGCAGTTTCACTAACACCTCGTTAGCCACCACAACGCTCTTGCCACGGAGAAGACCCGATCCAACCACATACTGATAACGTAACCACTGAAGAACGCATTAATCCAGCTCATGATCAGCGTGTTGGGGATAATCATGGCCATCTGGTTCTTCATCATGCCCATCATGCCCTCCATCGAGCTTGGATCGCTCAGTGGGTTGGGCTGGCCCTGTCCGGCGCGCTCAGGGTCCTTAAGGTAGGCGCCCGACTCGAAGGCTGTGACTAGGGCATCGCGGCGTGTGGCGAACGACTTCTTGGAGAGGGCGTGGAAGTTGCCGCGCAAATTGATTCCATGGAGAAGGGAGCGCTGTTCGCGGATGGCCTTCTGATCGAGCTTCTTGGGGGCGGATTGCATCAACACACTCGCATAGTGTCGGAGTACGCCCGTCAGGATCTACATTGTCGAACGAAGTGTTAGATGATAAACTCGTGTTTGGTTGGAAAACCTCATGACCATATTCAGAATCGGTCGGTTCGTACCATGACGATCGTGATGGGGAAGAGGATCCAGTAGCTGTCAACACCTAGCAGTTAGCAATTGGACTTTCTAGCTTGTCTTTCATGGCTTAGCGGCGCATTTGGGAGGCGCTCACAATAACTGGGGATCCCTATGGATCGTTTGGACCGGAACTTGGGCCATTGTCGCGATATCTGTTGAAAACCGTTGGCAGACAAGTTTGTTGATATCACACGGAAGGCTGTGAGATCGGATGTCGTCGTTGTCCCAACATCCAACGTCCAAGTCGCTGTTGACCGCGGGCGGGGACGGTGCGCTACTGAACCCTGTCAATCATTGCATCAGCTCCCAGCGCCCCTGTCTTCCAAGAGGTAGGTAGGTACGTACCGGTATCTTCTCGGAGCTTGTGCACTGACCAGAATACCGCTTTATCACCGCTTATCGTGCCTGCCGGCGCAGCAGGACCATTCCACCAAGGTGGCCTTTCCCTGCCCGCAATGTCCGTCAAGCACCTCTTTGGCTTCACGTTATGGGAGCTTTCATTGACCTCCAGCCTCCTCCCATTTCAACCACTTTCTCGCACATCGCTATCATCATATCATTCAACTACTAGTAGACCTCTGACAACATTCATAGGGACAGTCCGTCCCTCGATAATTGAAGCAAGATGGCGTCAACAGAAAAGATCACGGTCTACAACGTAGCCGGTAAGCACTTAACACGGACCATTGGGATCTATCCATGCACGTACTAGGTAACTAACACTCGTGTTCGCAGATCTCCGAGCAACAACCGACGACGCCCTCGTCAACTACCTCAACAGTCTCGGCCTCGTGCAATCCCACACTCTACTCGACACCCGTCTCGCCCTAGGCTTCTCCGCCTTCCTCCTCTCCGCCGCGTGTTTCGCGTGGGACTACAAGCTCGGCTTCGAATCCACCAAGCAATACACTTTGATCGCCGTGATCCTCTACACTCTACTCAATGGCGCCCTGACGTACTGGATCATGTTCGTCGAGCGGGGAACCATCTACGTCGGCTCGACCAAGGACGGCAAGACGCGGATCAGATTGATTAGCGATAGCAAGAAGCCCCAGCAAAAGGGGGAGGCGCCGCTGTATAAGTTGAGGGTGGAGGTGGAAGACGTTAAGACGGGAAAGAAGGAGAAGATTGAACTGGAGAGGAAGTTCAGCGAGTGGTTTGATGCTAGTGGACGGTTTGTCGCGGCGCCGTTCCAAACGGTCTTGGCGCAGGGAATTCCGTTGGTGGGGAAGTTGGATCCTAAGCGGGCTGTTGTTGCTGCTGCTCCTTCTTCTGAACAGAATGTCGTACGGGAACAGTTTGCGGAAACACCAGGCTATACGGCGGAGATCTTGGACGCTATTGCTAGTGGCTTGGGAGAGAGCTCGACAACGGCGGCGACGACGGGGTCTAGTGCGAACCAGGATGCTGGGAAGAAGAGAAGGAGATAGAGATACCGTCGCTTTCAACCGTACCATTTTGATGTGGCGCATGGTGGTAATTAGGCAAGAAAGGGAAGGGATGGTCGCCGAATTTAGGCCAGCGTTGCTTTCACCTTCGTTATATCGGGTTGCGTCGTCCGCGAATAGTCTGATAGCATGATATCTTTACTTCACAGCGATTGTGCTGCGTGTTCTTGTTTTGTTTCCAGGTTGAAGTCGGACTAATGACCGGACTAGACGGCCTTTGAGAAGGAGTCAAAACTTGTCAATTGGACGCGTGTCTGCTTGCTTCGGTACCCATACGCTCAGCGGAGAGCCGTCTCGATGAAAGAATAGAACGTTGTTCCATATGATCACCACCGTGCCTCGTTTTGAGCATCCATACATCGTCACTCTGTCACCTTGCAAAAGTATCAGCGCATAACTCAAGAAAAAAAACTCCGTTGATCCCAATCCGCCCCGAGCTCTAACCACTATGCATGCCTTGACGGCCCATATATCTATGAATGCATCATAATCCTGATACCCCCGCCTACCCAGTCGATCATCCATATGTCCTCATCCCTAAGCATCTCTCAACCTCTGACCTCCCTCGTTCTACACAACCTTGGCCCAATTCTCCCTAGCAAGCAGCGCCACCTTCCTCGCCTCTCTGCTCTTATCTCCGCTAGCCGTGGCTAACATTCTCTGCATCGGCAGCGCATACGCCAACAAATGCCTCTCCTCAAACTTCTTCGGGATCGCCCCCAAAAGCTGCAGCGTCAGCTTCCTCACGGCCGCCAGAGCTCTCGCCACGTTCCCTTTACTCGTGTTCTTGGCCGCCTCTTCGTACGTCTTCATCCCCGCTGTGATGATCGCCTTCAGGTGTCCCTTGAGTGCCTCGGGCTCGTTTGCGAGGATTTCGACGAGGACTTCGAGAGAAGTGGCCACCTGCGGTTGGGTGATATCCCCGGAAGCGGAGGAGTTGTTGAGGGCAGTGATGAGCAGTCGGACCAAGTGGCCAAGGTCTTCTTGATAGACTTCAAAGGGACAGTTGCTGACGAGCGAGAGGATGGCAGTGGTGTAGCGGCCCGCGGCGAAGGCGGTGTCTTCGTCGCCTGTGGGTAAGGCCAGGTCGTAGAGGGGTTTTGCGAAGTGCGTGTAGGCCCATTGCTTGTAGAAGCGCTTGACGACTGCGTGGTTTTCGGGACTCAAAAGCTCGTTGGTCTTGACGAGACCGCCGATGGTGCGGGCGACGATGGCGCCGTTGGGGCCAGGGCTGGCAATGGCCTCGTGCAGGATGGGGACCAGGGCCAGGACGTTCTTGTCCTGGCGGGCACAGGCGCCGGCGAGGGTGTGCATGGCTACGGTGTTGTAGACTTCGAAGATGGCTGGGTCGGTGTCATCGGTTGTTGTGGCGGTCTTGATTTGCTCGCCCCAGAAGTTGAGGACACGCTTCATGGTTTCGGACTCAGGGTCGAAGGTTGACTGGCCGCCCTTGTACTTGTTGGCTAGAACGGCGCAAATGGTACCGCGGATCTCGCCGACTGCCAGCAGGACGGTAGCCATTCTCGACGTGTCACACATGAAGGTCTCGGCGATACCCTGTGGTGCGTACTAGAAGGGATGTCAGTGCAAATGTTGACAGGAAGAGGGGCATCACGATGCTACGTACCAGTTCGGCCATTGCTGCGGGACGGAGCCCTTGAAGAATTCCGAGGATGAGCAACTTCCTGAAAGGCGCAATCGAGCTCGGCCCAGACGGTGAGAGGTTCTCGGGGGAGAAGAAGTTGAAGGCATTTTGGGCCAAGTTGCAGGACTTTTGCAGGTTCTCGTCAAGACTACGCACCACGAGTGCTGCCAGGTTGGCCGCTTGGGCAAACACTCGCTCGCTCCAAGGAGCTTGCTTTCCGTAAGCAGCCTCTCTGTAAAGATGTCTGACGATGAACAAACAGATCCTGAGAAACTCGCGGTAGACCTCGGGGTCATCCTCCTCAATTACCACCTCGGACGAGCCATCCTCTCGTTGCAGCTGGTGCAGCCAGTCCTTCGATAGACCTTTGAACTCCTCGAGCCAGTTCCTGTCACTGCCTGAATACGCTTCCAACACCTTTGGCTCGAACTTCTCGAAACAAGCGTCGCGGAAGTGAAGGATACCGCCATGTAGCGCAGAAATAATATAGGAGTTCGCCAACGACTCCTTTTCCGAGGTAGGGAGTGGAGACAAGGGGAAGAGATCGTGCAGGGTTGTTGCAAGTTTGAGGAAATGCTGAAGGGGCTTAAAAGTCTTGGGAGATTCACCATCAAGGGCAACATTAAGGGGGATACGCGAGCACCCAATAAAAGCAAGTCGAGACAGGATGTCTCGGAGAGCATTTAAAGTGTACTTTGTAGGGCTCGTCCAGTCGCGCTTCTCGATTTCGGCCTTTGCTCTTTCAACGAGCTCTGCATACCCGTCCGTGTAAGTTGCAACAACTGCCTGCAGAGCCAGCACCGCTTCATCCTCCACCGCAGCGTCGGTAGAGTTATCGTTCTGGCTAAGCGCCAAACCCTTGGTTAATGTGTGTGTCAACAAAGAGCAGATCTCAGAGCAAACTGAACGAGAGACCAGCAAAGAGATTTGTCCATCGGGTCGAAGAGTCTGCTGAGTGGCGAGCGATGCGAGACCTTGGACGACCTGTTTGAGAACCTCTGATGTAGTCTCTTCCGACTTTCCAGTCCAGATTGGTAGGTAGACATCGTGATAGAGAGCGACCAGATGATCACTAGGCTCCGTCTTAAAAGCCTCCTCGTCCTCGGGATGACCCTGTTTCCTGTTCTTGAAAAGATCCGCCCGAGACTTCAGGGTGGAGTTCAAAAGAAGGAGCAGGTCCTTTGTATAAGAAGGAGATTTTGGTAGACGGAGGTTTTTCCTGATGATGTCAACGAAGGCCGCACTTTCAAGGGTATATGCACGGATATTAGTGGTGATGACAGTCATCAAGAGAAGTCCAGCCTGCTTTGTGTATGTCGGGTTCGCCAAGTCATCGCGGCAGTCGTCGACTACAGTATCGATGTAGTTCTTGAGCAAGGATACATCGAATTTTTGTGTTGACGTGCCGTCAAGCCTATTCGCAATTGCTCGCAATACATCCAGGGTAGCATCGATAGTCTCCTTGACCTCCCCGTTTCGTACTTCGTACTTGAGGGAGTTCCAGATCTTGTAGATGTGCGGGACAATGCTGGTTTGTGGGTTGTCGTACTGTTCGATACAGGCCTTGATCGTTTTGAGGATGTCGAGCTTAACCGAAACTGTTACTGCATCACCCTGGTCGAGCTTTCCAAGGAGGAATGGAAATGCAAGCTTGGCTACTTTATAATGAGATGCAAAACACGCCCTTACGGCGTTCTTAAGGTCGTCCGCAGTGATGCCGATCGGGGTAGCCGAGTTCCTCAGTGTGATGGGGAAGTATGCTGAGAAAGCCTTGAAGATCTCCTCGGTTACCTCGTCGGATGTCGAATACTCGGTAAGGAAGATGGGAAGCAGTTTAAACCATAGCATAAGATTCCGCGGGTCTCTCTCGTTCTGGCAAAGCTGAAGGATCTCGACGATGAAACCGCTAGATGTGCCGTATTTGTCTTGCAGTTCATTGTTCACTGACTGGTCTTGGATGAGACTGAGGAATAGCTCGTAAATTTCGAATCTGGTGGCTGCCGTTTGTAGTTTGAAATCTTCCTTGAGCTTGCAGACGTCCTCGATCATCTTGACACCGACTGCAGGCTTGAATCCCTTCATGGCGTGAAGCTGGCGCAGTGCCTTGGCCGAGGCAGTAATGCCTGCTTTGTGGTCGTAGGAAAACATGGCACCAAAGAAACCCACGAGACGGATGACTTGTTCAGGTCGAAGTAGACTCTTGTCCAACGCTTCGAGAGTATCGGCAAGGAAGCCCAAGGCCTTGGCCCGTGCTATTATGTCACCGCTACCGCTGTCGTCATCGTCATCGTCTGACTGATCATCGTCTTGTTTGGTGATGGTTATCCATGGCTGGATTGAGGCAGCCCAACTTCCCACCGACGCACTGCTGGCTCTTGTGTTCTCGATTTCTGGCCATAACAGATCAGCCCCTGTGCTTCGCCGAGGTGAGAGTCTCATAACCTACCTTTGGCCGCCTTTTTGGCAATCTCACTCTGAGCAGTCTCGTCGTCCGCGAGCACGTATTGCAGGGCCCAATCCTTGAAACTCGACATGTTGAAAGATTGAGATGGAGGTGGTAGTGGTGATGATGATGGTCCTTGGCGTTATATGTTGTCACAGGCAGTAAGGTGGATTGGGGAGAGCGCAATACAGAGCTGTGAGAGAATGAACGACGAAAACCTTCAACGTTTCCAAATGATGTGCACTCAACCTGGACCTCAATGGATTGCCGTCGGTGTGGCCAAGTTAGGGGGTGGTGGAAGCTTGGGCCAACTTCAAACACAAGGTTATGTATGGGTAGACTCAAGTGTATGGACGGATCAGAATGATGGACGGGATTGTAAATGGAGATGTTTCTAAACTTGTCACCCGGCGGTCGACCAACAAAGCGAATAGAGATTAGTCTGGTCTAACAGCGGTAGCATAGGTACCTAGTCAGACACAGGACAGACCTACGGTGACGGTGATGGGAAGGGTGGATTGAAGATGCTGATGAGATGCCGTCAGTGGCCGATGCCCCTGGCCTGTGGCATGGCCGGGGCAACATCGATCATCACGCTGCCGTTATCGCTGAGAGTTCCCCGCCGATATGTGGCAGAAAACGGCGTTATCGCGGGCGGTGAGGCTGAAAAGCTATGGCGTTTCGCGGGATCCGATCGTGTCTGGGGTCTCGAGATTTACACTATGCCGATTTCGGCAAGAGGGGCTTCCTTTGCGGCATGGATGTGTCGGGCAAGTCTTGAAATTTTAAAAAAAGTTTTGTTCCTTGCCTGGCCCGATATTGGAGGGACCTCCACCGGCTGTGACTCTTACGAGTGCCCTGTAAAAGAAGGCCTGGAGTTAATGGGCCTCGCTCCCCGTGCTTTCAGTGTCACAAAATGCCGGCCCACGCGAGAATCCACTCGAGTCGCGCTGAAACGCCCTGGATTGGCGCCATGTATAAGACGACGAGAGATCCCCTGTACCAGAGAAAGAAAGTCGGCCACGCAAGATCGTGGCCCTCATCCCATACTTTTTACACTTTCAATTTATACCCATAGATTCTACTGCCGTCTCTGTTGTAGATCACCAATTGACCCGTCAAAGGTTCATCTGAACTGAAGCATGTAGGTGCCTCATCTCAACTTGACAGTGGGGGAACCGCGGGGTACCTCGAATACCACCTCAATTCAACTTCCCTCAGGTCCCCAAGGCACAGGCTGTCCGTCTGCTTCGATCTTCTTCAAACGAGCTCTTACAAGAACAGACTGAGGAATTGCGAGCATATTACTATTAGGATATGACCAATTGGCCGTTTGGGATGCACCTCAGACATGCGCCCGACTAGAACTTCGGCTAACTTGTTTGTGCGGCTTTCCTCCAGACAGCTTTTTACGAAGAACATCCCGAGACTACCACCACCACGAGTCTTCAAAACTCACCAGACCACCAACTCTCACATCGACATCATGGAGGCGCAACAAGTACCCAAGACCTGCAAGGTCATCCTCTCCGATACCATCGCCAAGAAGCTGCTTTCCGAGGTCCGCGAGACTCTTGCTAAGATCGAGGGTCCCAATGCCTCTAAGCCTACTCTGGCTGCGTTCCTGTCTACCGATGACCCGGCCGCTCTGCAGTATGCTGAATGGTCCAAGAGGACGTGTGAAGAGAAGTGAGTATCTCGCAATCGCTCAATGGGTCAGTCCGGACTTGCCCCAACACCAGGGTCTAATCACTACCCCAGTGGCTTCAACTTCGACCTCCGCAAAGTCGACAAGGAAAACCTCGAGGAGGGCATCATCGCCGCCAACAACGACGACCAGGTTGACGGTATTCTCGTCTACTACCCCATCTGGGTCGGCAACCACAGCCAAGACAAGTACATCAAGGAGACCGTCGCCCTCTCCAAGGACGTCGAGGGTCTCTGCCACACCCACCTCTTCAACATGTATCACAACGTCCGCTTCCTCGACCCTCCCACCAACCTCAAGAAGTCCATCCTCCCTTGCACGCCGCTCGCCATCGTCAAGACCCTCGAGTACCTGCAGATCTACAACCCCATCCTGGCCTACGGCAACCGCCTGTTCGGCAAGACCATCACCGTCATCAACCGTAGCGAGGTGAACGGTCGCCCTCTTGCTGCGCTGCTCGCCAACGATGGCGCCACCGTCTACTCTGTCGACATTACCGGCGTCCAGGTCTTCACCCGCGGCGAGGGTATCCGCCAGTTGCGCCACCAGGTCCACGACAAGGAGGGCTGGGAGCTCAAGGACGTCTTGCCGCTCAGCGACGTCGTTATTGGCGGTGTCCCGACCGAGAAGTTCAAGGTGCCCACCGAGCTGCTCCGTGACGGTGCCGTGTGCATCAACTTCTCCAGCTTCAAGAACTTTGACGGTCCGGCGGTTAAGGAGAAGGCCAGCATCTACGTCCCCAGCATTGGCAAGGTTACTATTGCTGTTCTTTTGCGCAACCTTGTGGTGAGTACTTTCTCTTCTCTTTTTCCCTTGTCTCGCTACCAAGTTACACCCCAGCCATATACAACCAGTTGAGAGACTTGCTAACAACAAATCTTTCTCTTCAACAGCGCCTGATCGCCAACCGTCCGCGTCCCGAGGGATCTGCGCCCGAGGACCCTAAAGATGCCAAGGCGCGTAGCGAGGCCTTCATCGAGGGTTGATCGGAACATTTTCCCCCAATATTTTCGCTGAAGATCTGCGTATCTGCGTCTTTATACAATTTCCTTTGATCTTTTTTTCTCGAGTTCTGGAAGGGCTGTTTGCTGGGTAGAAAAAAAAAACCGGATGGTTAGGGTTGGGTAGGATGGGAGCAAGGGGTTGGTTGATTGTACTAGAATTTTGTCCAAAGTACATAAAGAAACCATCACATACGTACATGAACAAGGGAGTTGGTTTATGATTTTTTTCACGCTTCGATGTCTAATCTAGAGATATAGAAGGATCTGGGGACACCAGAAAACTGGGTTGTAACAACACCCTTCATCAGAATACAAATCACCATAGGTAGTCTAGACACCACGATAGACCAAAGGAACAAATGCTCGCATAAATCAAAATGTCTGTTCAACCTACGACAACGCTCTCGTCTGCTTCTTTCAAACATGGTTCTGTGACTCACTAACACGAAAACCGTCGAGTCACTAATATAGGCACTAGCCGCTGGGGTGGAGCAGCCTACGCAGTGTAGTCCGGGTAGCCTGTCCGGGTCTTCGGCAGTGTACTTCTCGGCTCCTCCGTCTTGCTCCGTCCGGCTCGTCCATGCGCCTTGCGAACCCCGGTAGTGAATTCCGGCCCGGTCATCCGATATCAAATAGTAGTAACAACAAGCATTGGCCGTTGGAACTACCGGTACATACCCGGAATTGTCGTTATATTTACAGTAGATACAGACTTATGTACACGTAGAGTACTTACACTAGCCCTCGGGAAAAGAAAAAAAAAACCTAGGGGAATATCATCATCAGTTGCTGCTCCAACAGTAGCAGTAGAGCTACTGTAACCAGCACAAGATTCCCCATCATGTCATGCGTATCATGTCCCTTTAAAACCGATTCGCTCAAACTGAAGAACAAGAAACCCCAAACAGCAATTGTAACAAACAAACACACCTATGTAGTACCTAGACCAAGACCTGACCGTACCTATGTATATATGCATCGCTATGAGAATGAAGCCCCCCATGAAATAACGTGACCAGATGAAAGAGAAAATGAAAAAGGAAAAAAAGAAAAGAAAAAAAAAAAAAAAAGAAAAGAAAAAAAAAAAAAGGGATCGAGAGACCTGAAAAAGAGAGCCGAGAAGTACCAATACCGAACGGGTCACAACATGAACATAACAGTTGAAGTTAAAGAAGAAGACTGTTGTTCTCGACATAAGAAAAAAAAATCAAAACTCGCCGCCGGACACCCGCCATGTTCCCCAATCCGCCCATCCGTCTGCCCGTCCGCCCGCTTTCCAAAAAAAGAAGAGACAGAAAAAAGGAAAAAAAAAAGATGGTCCGGATATAATCATCTGAATGTGATGATGATTTTGTTTCGCTTCCATATACACATACACTCATACACCCATCCATCATAGCCCCAGTTTCCGATCCTAGTCTTGATGAAGACAATGTCCTTCTGCCCGCTCGATACATTTACTTCCCAACATCTATCATTCTGCTCCTCCAACAGACAAAACTCAACATGTGTTATTCTGATCCGCCCCCCCTCCTTTCTCATTCTCCGGCTCTTGAACCTCCTCCTCCGTTTCCTCCTCCCACTTTTCTCCCTCTCACTGTCTCTTCGACTCGGCACCGACCCATCCCTGTCCCCAACCCAGGCTTAAACCCCCCAAAAGCGCGGCCCAGCTCCCTTAGTCAAAGGCTCGATCCGATAGCGCAAGCAGCATCACTGCACCTTGCGACTTTCAAACAGCATCAAGTTCACCGCCGTGTCGTTCTCCCCGACCTGGCTGGTCGGCTCGCTGAGCATTTCCCACTGTCGGAAGTTGAAGGGCGTCAGCCGCTCTTGCGGTCCACCCATCGTAGGCACCCACGAGTAACCTCCCCAGGGGTTGGCTACCATCATCATCGCTGGTCGCGTTGGGTTCATAGGAGAGGGTGTGGGCGGGTTGCTGTTGTTGCCAAGGTTAAGGTGGGTGAGGTTGGTATTGATGCTGATGGCTGGTGAGGGTATGGGCCCTGTGCCTCCTTGTTGTTGCTGTTGCTGTTGCTGTAACTGATACTGTTGTTGTTGCTGCTGTGATTGTTGTTGTTGTTGCTGTTGCTGCTGTTGAGCGGCATGCCATCCTTGTGCTTGAGCCTGTTGCGTATGACCGGGAAGACTGAAGTAACTTCCACCATTACTACTACCACCAGCGCCGGAAACAGCACTACCAGCACCACCTGCGTTCTGTGGCCCAGGAGTAACGCCTGGCGTGTGTGTTGGGGTGGTCCCAGGGGCTGGCGATCCAGTGCCAGTGGCAGTACCCATGGCCATCGCCGTCGGCCTCTCCTTATGACAGAGCATTAGGTTTGCATGTGGGTTGTCCTGATAGCTGAAGATGTACCTAAGCTTCACATCTGAAGGAGACTTGAGAGCTTGGATACACTGCAACCGCGCATCCTCGGCAAGGTTGTCAACTAACACGCAAGCCAGATCGAAGATGCGCCCACCTAATTGACGAGTGTCAAAGTCGGGCCCGTGGATCAGGTCGAGTTCCCTGATAAGACCAGCGCACACCATGAGAGCTCTGCCGCGAACTTCGTTTCCGGGCTTGCTGGTGTCAAAGGTTTGGGCATGGAGGGTGAGGAAATTGAGAAAGAGGGGAAGCCAATGGTTCAGAATGTCGCTTTTCAGATCAATGTGACTGTCACCGCCGGCGGCGGCAGCACTGGCACCTTGGCCTCCCCAACCTCCAAGACCACCTGCTTGGCTAGGGAATGGTGTCAGAGTTTGTAACAGCTCCAGAATGTCAGTGAACCTTTCTACCATGACCGGAACCAGTTGGTGCTGACGAAACCCCATTGGACCGCTTCCACGTATAATAGTATCCATAATGGCGAGAAAGTTCTCGGCTTTTTGGAGGCGCATCTGGAGCATAGACCTGTCTAACGTCATTGAGGGTGGATTTCTGGCCGAAGGCAGAAGGTTCAGAAACCGAGCCTGAGCCTGGTTTTTGAGGTGGTGTGTAAGGTCGGGAGAGAGAGAGGGAAGCATTCCAATCCATGAGACCCGCTGTGCGTCCATCGATTTTTCCATGGCGTTCATAAAAAGTTCTACGTTCGAAGGAACTCGTTCGCCCGCATCTGCCGCGTTTTGCTGCTGGTCATTGGACGACAGACTCAACAGAAGCTTAACATGGCAGAAGGGGAGAGTGAATTCGTTAGTGAGGTTGAGAACTTGCTCGAACGTCACGCGTGTGCCCTCGCCAGCGGCAGTGACAAGCAGCTTGGTAGTCATGCGATCGATCCAGCCGTCAACTTGGGCATCAGGTCCTCTGATTTGCAGCGCCTTGGCAACTCCTACAGGGTCCTTTAACACAAGGAGCTTCAAAAGCCCAAGGAGACGATCCTGATTTGCTTCTTTATCCAGGGGTAGTTCTTCCAGATCGTTTTGAGCACGAGCACAAGTATACTCGGCCAAGGCGAGTTGGATCAAGCAGAGTAGTTCTCGCGGGCTCTCCTTCTTGGCCTGTTCTTGAAGTATGCCAAAACGGTAGCGCTCCTCTGGCGTCAGTAAGCTTTCAGACGAGACTGGCGCCATGAAGAGTTGGAGCACTTCTTGCATATACCTAGTACGAAAGGTGGTTTGAACAATTTGAGATGTGGCGACAGCTGATTGAGGATGTCGTGAATTACCGGCTCCAGGAGCATTGGGTGATTCCGAAGCTGTTGCCAGAATTGCAGGCATTTCCAAACAACCTATAGAAACCAAAAGAGGGTATAGGTGCAGGATCGTTGCCCGCGTGTCAAGACCCCGTACGTGAAGAAGCCATCTTGTCATGAGCTCGTCGAAATGTTGTGGATTGAACATTCGCAGACGCTTCAGGAGAATACCGTAAACCCTCTGCTGTTCATCCCCCTTGGCCCAGTATGCCTGTAGTCGCTGAATCACCGCACTGAAAAGCCGATCCATCGTGTTGCGATCAAGACTAGTACCGTTAGCCAGAAGCTTCTCAACCTCTTCATGGAGATCGCCATCGTGGTCTGAAAGACGAGAAACCATATTGTCACTAACAGGTGAACAGGCGTCTACAGGGTTGTGCCGGTCGCTCACGGCCAAGTCGGACTTCAACTGCGTAGCGACTTCGTCCATCCCAGGGACCCGGGATGCCAGGTAAGCGAGCGACGCAAGTAACGGCCGCGCTCCTATCCCCTGCTCTTGCACCTCTCTGAGCCTGCTATGAAGAATGCTAAACAGATTTTTGAGACAGCTGAGAGCAGCAAAAACAAAGGTATACCGAGTGATCGTATCCGCGATTGAGGCGAGTACTTCAGGATTGGAGCATTTTGTCAGCATTCGGAGGACATCAGCAAATACTGAAAATTCCTGGGCGGCCTCGAATACTGTCCTTATCGAGTTGAAAAGTCTGGTAGAGAGGTCATGTTGACCAAATGCGTTGAGAGAACTGTGTTCAAGTTCTCCTCCAAAGACTGTATTCCTTAGCCAGGAAGCGATCTCTGCCTTGCGCGCTCGGCTGGCGTCTTCGATGCGCCGGGCTATTTTCTTAATCGGAAAGGGCCTGCCCATTGACATGGCATCAGTAACTCCTGCAGGCAGACCTAGTGCATGCCGGAGGTGTCTGATGGCCATATCTGCATCTTGTGCGTCGTCTGCGATGCGAAAGCCTGCCCGGCGAAGCAACGCATCTCTAGATCGTTTCTGTGAGCTGCCCAGAATATGCGATGGAAGCTCTGCAAGCAGCCGAGAAAACGGGGGACCGTCCGGCATGACCAGTTGCGGATCAGTCAGCCCACCACGCGTGATCAGCCATTGAATGTACTGCGATACCAGAAAAATCCCCGAGCGAACTAGCTCGGATACGAGGTGATAGAGCGCGTCCTTGCACTCCATCTCTTCAAGGGCCTCTCCTTCCATGAAGCCCAGCACAGCTGAAGTGACGTCCAACCGCAGCGTACTCCAGTGCATCAATATCCGATGGGCAACATAAACTTTTGCGAGTCCCGGCCTGTATGGTGTCGTACACCACTCGAGGAGAGCCCTGACTAGGGCAGCCTTATCCTTGGAGACAGTCCAGCACTGCGCCGGAAACTCATCAGGCATCGGCTTCTCCAAGATGACCTGGTCCAAGTTCCTCACAAGGATAATTCGGGCAGCCGGTTGAGACCTGTTGGCGGAGGCGACTAGTTGTTCGTTCCGATAGTTGATACCGGCAAAAGATCTATGGCGTGCTTCGTCCCCTTGAGGCAGACATGTTTTGAGAGCGTCTCGGTACTTGACCCACACAGAAGGAGATACGAAGTTTTCGGGTGTAGCCACCATCAGCGTTCCTAAAAGGCGCGATAGCTTGGAAAGCAGAGGAACATAAATATCTCTGTCTTCGT